GCCCCACCTCTGGGACCAGACCGCAGGGAGGGAGGGCGGGCGCCGCCGGACACGCCGCATGCGTGCAGCGTGGCCACGGCTGGAGGTGGGCGCCTGCGGGGGCAGCGCCCTCATGCGGGGGCTTCGGTCGGGGGCTCCGGACGCAGGCCCGGCACAGAGGGCCCGGGGTGTGTCCGAGCTTCACCGCAGTGGGGAGAACAGACTGGAAGAGACAGACCCGCTCGGCCGCACACGCGGCCTCCTCGTCCAGCGGGCACCGGGGCCACGCCCGGGGCGGGATGCCCGACCCTCTCCAGGCCGCCCCAGAGGTTGCCGCAAGCCGGGACGGGGCGGCCCCCCAGCGGCAGGGCGCGGCCGTCATGTCCTGCCGTCGGGCCTGGGAGCCGAGACGTTTTTTAAAGTGCGTTTCTCTGCTGAGGCCCAGCGAGCACACCGCACGCCGGCGTCGCCACCGTCCGAGGAAAATGAGCGCCCCAGGGTGGGCGCGGCTGGGGGTGGCTCGTGGGGTGAGGCCTGGCATGGCCGTGGCGGGAAGGCGCCCCAGTCTGTAAAGGCGGCGGCGCGCAGGCCCCCACAGGCGCCCGGGTTCATCTGCTGGGCCCCAGGGGAGAGTGGGCAGCAAGCGCTGGCCAAGTGCGCGCCGGCGCCTGGCAACTCCCAGGACCGGGCTGCAGGTGTCGCGAGCACGGACGGGGCCTCCTGCGCTGCCTCGGCTGAGCTAGGGCTTCCCCGCACGCGAGTGCGAGTCCAGCGCCAGAGAGGCCGGACCCGGGAGGCCGTGGGGGCAGCAGCCGATTGCCCGGCACAGGCGCGGGCAGGCCATGGGCAGAAGGGAGGCCTGCGGGGGGTGGGGGGGTGTCCCCAGCAGCCATCGCCCCGGCCACCCCCAGCCCTGCAAACAGTAACCAGGCGCAGGTGGAAGCCTGGACGAGACAGACAGCCCAGGGCCTCTCTGGCGCGCAGGGGTCAGTCTGCGCTCTCTCCAGCCTCTGCAGCACCAGGGACCCCGGCCAGGCGCAGCAGACCCCGCCTGTCTCCCCGCTGCGCCCCTCAGCAGTGCGTTTCAGCGGATCCGCCTGTTCCGCTCCCCACTCTGTCTCTGGGGAGTCCTCTCACCCCCGCACCTCTGGCCTGTACCCCAGTTCTTGTGCATAAATAAATCTTTAAAAAAAAAAAAAAACGAGGGCCTCCCCTGGTGGCGCAGGCGGTTGAGTGCTGGGCTGCAAAGCTGCCCGCAGCCTCTGAGCGCTGGTTCGATTCCCGGCCTCCAGCGAGGGTCCCGCATGGCGCGCAGACCCCTCCTGCCGCCCGCTGCTCCCCTCAGCAGTGTCCTTCGGTCCTTCTGCCTGCTCTGCTCCCCGCTCTGGCTCTGGTGAATCCTCTCACCCTCCCGCGCTTCTGACTGTACCCCGGGCTTGTATAAATAAGTAAATAAATCTTTAAAAAAAAAAAAAGACAGCCCTGACCGGAGGGGAGGGCGCCTGGGGCCAGGCAGAGGCCACTCGTCCTCGGGGCCCAGACGCCCCTCGCGCACCAGGGAGCAGCACGAAGGTGGACACTGTCCTTCAAAAGCCGCTGCTGAGAGGCTGAAGGGACGCGCCGCGGTGGGAGAAGCCCTGGCCCGGGAGAGCCGCCCGTGAGCCCCGGCGCGTTCCGGCTGGCTCCAGGGCACCGGTCTGGGTGGGCGTCCCAGAAAGTGGCGTGTGGCCCTCAGCACCCCCAGCCACGGCCGTGCGCCCCGGGGTGGGCGAGGACGCTGCAGGGGGCTGACCGGGTCCTGGGAGGGCCGGTGGGTGGGGGGCCCACGCCCGGTCACACGGGCGCTCCCACCGGGCGGGCAGCCCTGGCACCGTGGCGAAGCAGGGGCAGCGGGTGGCTCTCAGGCCCGTCAAGGCCCCGTAGCTCAGAGCCTCCCTGACTGGCCCCCTGCGTGGGTTTCGCCTCGTGAAGCAGTTTTTCGGGCCTTGAGATGCGCCGTCCTGCGCTTTCCTGGCCCACGGGGCGGCCCGGGGCTGTGATGCAGGAGGGCCCCCGAGAACCCAGGGCATGGGCAGGACCCTCGACGCGGAGCCCAGGCCTGCGGGGGGCGGGGCGAAAGGTGCCTGCCAGGCGTGGTTGCTGGGACAGCTGGCCCTGGGCCCGCCGGGAGGGGCCTCCCGTGCCAGGAGTGGCTTCTGCGTCAGACCACGGGGCAGGGCCGGGGAGGGCAGCGCGGGCAGGAGGGCCGGCTGGGGGCTCCAGGGGCAACCTCCCTCCTGGCCTCAGTCTCCTGGCTCTGGCCTGGAGGGTGAGCTGCTGCCCAGGCTGAGGGGGTTTAGTGAGGTGGGAACGGGACCCTCAGCCGTCTGCGTGCACCACAAGCTCTCGGGGGGTGGGAGCTCTGTGGCGAACCCCACCATCTCAAGAGACTGCGGCGTTGATCTGGCCGCCCGGCCCCAGCCCCGCCCGCCCATCACACGCCCACTGCTTACCACCCATCTTCCGCCTCTCCCTCTGCTTCCCCCAGGCCCCCCGAGCTGAGCACATCTACTGAGGCTGGCCCCGAGGGGCCCCCACAAGCTGCTGCCCTCAGGTGCCCGCATGCTAGCAGCTGCGGCCCTGCCAGGTAGCCAGGACAGTGCCAGGCAGGGGCGTGACGCGCCGGCCAGCAGTTGAGGTCTCCAGCAGCGCGGGGCCCCCCAAGGAGGCGGGGTGGCTGGCCTGCACCCTCAAGGGGGGCCCAGCCTGGACACACGCGGGGGGCGTGTAGCAAAGTCCCCCGTTGGAGCCTTGTGGGCGGAGGAGGGCGCGGTTGGGCCCACGTGCCCAGGCCTCCCCCGCTGATGTCGGGGCCACGGAGAGGCAGGCGGGGGTCAGCGTCCGGCTTGTCCGGCCTCAAATCCTCAGCTGCTGCCCCGCTGGGGTCTCCCTCGGGGGTCCAGAGGGCCGGGAACTGCACGTCCTCCGGCCGCCCTCACCCACCCCGGGGCCGGGGCCAAGCGGAGACCTGGCTGGGCCCGGCCCGAGAGCAGCGCGTGGAGACAGACGGGCGGGGAGCCAGGCTGCCCGGGCGGGTCCTGCAGGCCGCGGGAAGCGTGGACGGGGGGCCGAGGCGTGAGGTTCCCCCCTCCGCGGGCCTCGGGCTCCGGCTGTGGGGCCCGCGGCGAGGCCTCTCACCCGCAGCACCGCAGGGGCCTCCGGCCACGGGCCGGCGCTGAGGACCAGGCCAGGAGGCGCCTGGCCGGACAAGCAGGACAGCAGCAGAGGCTGCTGCATCCTGGGGCCCTCCCTTCCCCCCAGCCTCTCTCTCCCCTCCCCTCCCCCTAGTCCCGCCCCTCCCACGGCGCCCCTTCCCCTCGGGGCTCCCCCTGCCCCGTGGCCCCCGCGCTGATGACGCAGGTGTGGACGGAGGCACAGTCACTCTAGGAAGCTGCGTGACGCCTGCGGCCCCCTCCCTGTGGCCGCGGCCGTAAACCCTGTGTCACCGGGACAGTGTTTGTCAGGCAGGCGGGGCTGGGCTGGGGCTGGGCCGAGGGGTGCGGCGGCAGCGTGACCCCACTGCTGCTCGGGGGTGCGGGGAGAGTGGTGCCATCCAGTGCGGCCGGGCCCGTGGTGGACACAGGTGCAGCCCGGCCTGCGGGGCCCAAGTCCTGGGCCGCGGCCCCTCGGAGCAGGGCCCGTGTGGAAAATCACCGGCGGTCTTGGGGTTCCCGCCGGGGGGGCCGGCTGCCCGCCCACGGGGAAGTGCACAATGGCCGCAGCTCTGGTTCCTAATCCCTGTGCCCGGCTCAGGTCACACGGGCTCCCCTGCGCCGCCCGGCCGGGCCTGTCCCTGGGCTGGCTGGTGGCTGGACAGGACCAGGGCTCCCCCTCAGCCCCAGGAGCCGTGGCCCAGCTGGGGCACAGACCCAGGCCCCCGAGTCCTTGCCCCCGGGTTTCATGGGGCGGGCCTGCTGCTGTCGCGGGGTGCACAGGCCACGCAGCACGGCCTGGAACCCCGGGGTGCTCGGGGGGGCCCGGGGAAGACCCCTGGTGGGGATGACCCTCGCCCTTGGCCGCCAGCTCGGGGTCCACAGCGGCCCACGCCCCGCCGGGCCCCTCGGGTCGCGTCCGCCTTCAGGGGCGCTTGTGGCAGTGGCGGGCCGGGCTGCAGCGGGACCCGGGAGCCAACGCACGGGCGGGCTCCTCCCGGCATCCTCACAGGCTCCAGGCTGCACTCGGAGGCTCCGTCGGGCGGGCAGGGCCTCTCCGTGGGGCACACAGGCCCGGGAGAGCCTGCAGCCACCCCCGGCCCGGGGCACGGTCCACCCGGGCCAGAGCCCAGCCCCACTGCCTGGGCGGCCGCCGTGGCCCGGAGCCGGTTCCCCTGTGCCCCAGAGGGCTGGTTCTGGCCCCTGGCCGGGCTCCCCAAGTTCCGATTACATGTAATTCCAGAGACTGGCTCAGCTGGGAAAAGAGGGGATTAGAGGCCCAGTGGGGCCTTGTGGAGCTCTTGAGCAGCCGGTGGGGGCCCCGGGCCCCCCGAGGCCCGCGTCACCCCGTCCCAGGGCCCCCTGCCGGGGGGGCGGGGTGCAGGCGGGCAGGGGCCCTGGGTCCCGCCCCAGGCACCGGGCCTGGCTGGGAAGGCTGCGCCCAGGGACGGCCCGGCCGGGTCCGCAGAGCGGGGCACAGCGGACGGGGGTCCGTGGGGCGCCCGGGGCAGCCAGCGCAGCCCACGGACGTGCCTCGGCGGCCCTCCCCGCCGCCCCGCAGGAGGCTGGCCTGGGTGTGTGCTGGAATCGGGGTAATCGGGGTCCTGTGTCCTAAGGAGGCTCACTTTACCCGGGTGCAATAAAAAGATAAACCTCAGATAACCTGAATCAATATTTCCCCACGGGAGCCCCCACAGCTGTTTTCTGGGCGCGTGGCACATGCCCCACCCACCTCGCCCCTCCCCTGCCGCCGCCCTCTGACGGCCCCGCTGGGCATAAAAGGCCGGGACCCCTGCGCTGGCCGCTCTCCTGCCCGCCCTCCCAGCCGCCATGGGGCTGCCGCTGGCCCGCCTGGCGGCCCTCTGCCTGGCCCTGGCCTCGGCCAGGGGCGAGGAGCTCCTCAGAGGTGAGGGGGCGGGCGCCACACCGGGCTGGGCCCGTCCTGCCTGGGAGGGTGAGGTGACCCCTGCCCGGGCGGGCCGCCCGGGCGGGCAGAGGGCGGAGGGCTTGGCCGCGTCCTCCCGGGGACGCCGCGGCGCTCTGCAGACGCCAGGGCCGCGGTCCCGGCCGGGGCAGGCAGGACGGCCGGCCGGTGGGCCGAGGGAGGCGCAGGGGCCGGCCCGACGGTCGAGGCCAGCACGGCCCTGGGCTCGGAGGTGGGCGGCCACCTGCCGGGGGGACCACTGTGGCCAGAACCGCGGGACTCGGTGGGGAAAGGGCCGTCCGTCCGGGCCACGCTCCGGGGGCCCGGCCCCGTGGCCTCTCGTCCTGCTGCGGGTGAGGGGTGGCCAGAACGGTGAGGGGGGGCCGAGGGGCCGGGTGGCAGTGGCTGGGGGGGGCGCCGGGCGGCCCCCAGGCCAGGCCCGGCACAGCTGCAGAAGGTGGGGGGGCTGTGGGGGGGTCGGGCGGGTCCGCGGCGGGCATGGGCGGGGCTGCTCACACCGTCCCCCCAGAAGGCAGGACGCGCGACCACGGCCACAACGTCTGCAGCGCCTGGGGCGACTTCCACTACAAGACCTTCGACGGCGACGTCTTCCGCTTCCCCGGCCTGTGCGACTACAACCTGGCGTCCGACTGCCGGGACTCCTACAAGGAGTTCGCTGTGCACCTGCGGCGGGGCCCGGGCCGCGGCGGGGGCCACCCCCGGGTCGAGTACATCCTGCTGACCATCAAGGACGACACCATCTACCTCACCCGCCAGCTGGCCGTGGTGAACGGGGCCATGTGCGTGGGGCCGCGGGCGGGCTCCGGGCGGGGGACCCCCGGGCGGGCTCCGGGCGGGGGACCCCCGGGCGGGCGGGCGGGCGGGCTGCCGGGTGGGTGGGCGGGGCCGTGCGGGTGAGGAGGCCGGGCCGGCTCGGGTTACAGAAGCCGCGGGGGGCCACGGGAGCCCCCCCTATTGTCCGGCTTTGTCTGGGGAACAATGAGGCACTGAGGCCTTCCTGGGGGGTGGGGGCACCTGCGGGGCTCCCCGGCCTGAGCGGCCTGAGCGGGGGATTTTGTTTCCTGCACAAGGCGGCTGAGGCCGGCCCCCACCTGGCCGGGGAGCCCAGCAGCCGTGAGCACGGCGCAGCCTGCAGGGCCGAGCGGACGCTCTCGGGCGCGGGGCACCACCCGGGACAGAGGCCGGGGTGGGGGGCTGTGGCGCTGCCCTGAGGGCAGGGGAGCGGGCCGGCGCCACACACCGCCAGCCCCAGCCAGGCGGCGGCCGCGTGGGTGACCTGCCTGCCCACCCCAGGGTCAGCACCCCGCACTACAGCCCGGGGCTGCTCATCGAGAAGAACGAGGCCTACACCAAGGTGTACTCCCGCGCCGGCCTGGCCCTCATGTGGGACCGGGAGGACTCTCTGATGGTGGGTGCCGCCGCCCCGCCCCGCCCCGCCCCGCCCCGCCAGCCCCCGTGCGCCCGCTGACCGCACCCTCCCGCCCCGGCCCCCTCGCCCGCAGCTGGAGCTGGACAGCAAGTTCCGGAACCACACCTGCGGCCTGTGCGGGGACTACAACGGCCTGCAGACCTACTCCGAGTTCCTCGCGGACGGTGAGGCCCGGGCGGGCGGCGGCGGGGGGCGGGCAGGGTGGGCGCGGGCCGGCCCCTGACCAGCCCGTCCCCAGGCGTGGCCTTCAGCGCCCTGGAGTTCGGGAACCTGCAGAAGATCAACAGGCCCGAGGCAGCCTGCGACGACCCCGAGGAGGAGCCCCCCAAGTCCTGCTCCCAGCACGTGAGTGGCTGGGCGCCCGCTGGCCGGGCGGGCGGGGAGTGGCCGGAGCCTGTCCCCACCGCCCCTCTGCCCGCAGCGCGAGGAGTGCGAGCGGCTGCTGTCGGCCGAGGCCTTCGCGGGCTGCCGCGGGCTGCTGCCCCTGGAGCTGTACGTGAGGGCCTGCATGGAGGACCGCTGCGGCTGCCCCCACGGCACCGCCTGCGCCTGCAGCACCCTGGCCGAGTTCTCCCGCCAGTGCTCCCACGCCGGGGGGCGGCCCGGCAACTGGAGGACCGCCTCGCTTTGCCGTAAGCCCGGGGCGGGTCGGAGGGGGCCGTTCGGGCGGCCGCGCCTGGGGTCCTCGACCTGGGGGGTCCCGCGGCCCCCGCCCCTCCCGCGGCTCAGTGCCTGCCTCGGTCCTTGTAGCCAAGACCTGCCCGGGGAACATGGTGTACCTGGAGAGCGGCTCGCCCTGCATGGACACCTGCTCCCACCTGGCGGTCAGCAGCCTGTGCGAGGAGCACCGCATGGACGGCTGCTTCTGCCCGGAAGGTGAGTGTCCCGGGGCCCGGGCTGTGGCCCCTGCCGTGGCCTGCACGCCTTGGGCCTGGGCTCGCGGGGGTACCAAGCGTGCCCCCCAGGAGGCTGGGGGACGGCAATGGCACGGGAAGGGAGGGACAGTGCCCCCCGAATCGGGGGCCAGGTCCAGGTGGCAGGGCGGCCTGCCAAGCCCTCAGGGGTGGCTCCAGAGGGGCCTCTGCGAGGACGCCTGGGGGCCTCACCCCTGTTGGACACACCTCCTGCCCGACCGGCCCTGAGCCTGGAGGCGAGTCCCGGGCTGACACCGGGGGCACCGCGCGCCCCTGCCCTTCCCGCGGGTGACGTCACCTGCGCTCTGCCAGGCACCGTGTATGATGACATCGCGGGCAGCGGCTGTGTCCCCGCGGACCAGTGTCACTGCAAGCTGCACGGACACCTGTACGCGCCCGGCCGGCAGGTCACCACCGCCTGCGAGCAGTGGTAGGTCGGCGGGGGCGGTGGGGCGCCTGGGGGCCGGCCTGGGGCTGTGGGGGTGTCTGGGGGCGGGTGGGGCGAGCGGCTGAGCCTCCCCCTGCCCATGCACAGCGTCTGCCGAGCCGGCCGCTGGGTGTGCAAGGACCTGCCGTGCCCGGGGACCTGCGCCCTGGAGGGCGGCTCCCACATCACCACCTTCGACGGGAAGAAGTACACCTTCCACGGGGACTGCTACTACCTGCTGACCAGGGTGGGGCCCGGCGGCGAGCGGGGGGCGGGGGGGTGCGCCCGGCGGCAGGGGCCGGGCACAGCATGACCTCCCGCTCTCCACAGGGCGAGCACAACGACTCCTACGCCCTCCTGGGGAGCTGGCGCCCTGCGGCTCCACGGACAAGCGGACCTGCCTGAAGACGGTGGTGCTGCTGGCCGACCGGAAGGAGAATGTGGGTGCCCCCCCGCCCCTGGTCTGCCCCCCCGCGCCCGCCCTGCCTGCAGCCCCCTGAGCCCCGCGTCCGCTGACCTGTCCTGCAGGTGGTGGCCTTCAAGTCCGACGGCAGCGTGCTGCTCAATGAACTGGAGGTGAACCTGCCCCACGTGACCGGTGAGTCCCGCGGCCGCCGGGGGGGGGGGGTGCCCAGGGGTGGGGGGGGTGCCCCGTGCTCAGCGGCCCTGTCTTGCAGCGAGCTTCTCCATCTTCCAACCTTCCTCCTACCACATCATCGTGAGCACCGCCTTCGGCCTCCGGCTGCAGGTCCAGCTGGTGCCCGTCATGCAGCTCTTTGTGACCATGGACCAGGCCGCCCAGGGCCGTGTCCAGGGTGAGTGACCGACCAGCGCCCGGGGCCCCGCCAGCCGGCCGGCCCTGCCCAACGCTTGGCTCCCCGCAGGCCTGTGCGGGAACTTCAACGGGCTGGAGGGCGACGACTTCAGGACGGCGGGCGGGCTGGTGGAGGCCACCGGTGCCGGCTTCGCCAACACCTGGAAGGCGCAGGCCAGCTGCCACGACAAGCGCGAGTGGCTGGACGACCCCTGCGCCCTCAACGTGGAGAGCGGTGAGCGGGGGTGCGGGCTGGGGCGCAGCGCCCCCTCTGCTGGGCGGCCCCAGAGGCGAGGGCGGGCGGGGCCGGTCCAGTGCCCCCCGGACCTGGAGGGGGGGGCCGGGCGGGGGCCGCAGGGGGGCCCTGCTCCCGCGATGGGGCGCCCCGCTGAGGCCCTCGCCCCTCCAGCCAACTACGCGGAGCACTGGTGCTCCCTGCTCAGGAAGGCGGAGACGCCCTTCGGCAGGTGCCACTCGGCCGTGGACCCCGCGGAGTACTACAAGGTGGGTGGCCAGCGCGGTGCCCCCGAGAGCCGGTGCCCGCGAGAGCCGGTGCCCCCGGCCGCGCCCGCTCACGCGCCTGTGCCCGCAGCGCTGCAAGTACGACACGTGCACCTGCCAGGGCGACGAGGCCTGCCTGTGCGCCGCGCTGTCCTCCTACGCGCGCGCCTGCGCCGCCCGGGGCGTCATGCTGTGGGGCTGGCGCGAGCGCGTCTGCAGTGAGTGTCCCGCCGGGGGGCGGGGGGGGGGCGGGGGGCGCCGCGGCCCCCCCTCACCGCCGCCCGCCCCGCCCCCCAGACCAGGACGTGGGCTCCTGCCCGGGCGCGCAGGTCTTCCTGTACAACCTGACCGCCTGCCAGCGCACCTGCCGCTCGCTGGCCGAGCCCGACGCGCACTGCCTGCGGGGCTTCGCGCCCGTGGACGGCTGCGGCTGCCCCGACGGCACCTTCCTGGACGAGAAGGGCCGCTGCGTGCCGCTGGCCAAGTGCTCCTGCTACCACCGCGGCCTCTACCTGGAGCCGGGCGAGGTGGTCCTGCGGCAGGAGCAGCGCTGGTGGGTGCCGCGGGGCCGGCGGGGGCGGGGGGCGAGGGGGGCGGGGGGGCGCACCCCCGGCCGCGCTGACCCCGCCCCCCCTCCCCGCAGCGTGTGCCGGAGCGGGAGGCTGCGCTGCACGCAGGTCAAGCTGCTCGGCCAGAGTGAGTGACCCGCCCGCCCCCAGCGCCGCGCCCCCCCCAGCACCCCAGCGCCGCGCCCCCCAGCGCCGCGCCCCCCCCAGCACCCCAGCGCCGCGCCCCCCCCAGCACCCCAGCGCCGCGCCCCCCCGAGCGCCCCGCCCCCCGCGCGCCCCGCCCCCCTGAGCGCCCCGCCCCCGCAGGCTGCGCCGCTCCGAAGGTCCACGTGGATTGCAACAACCTGACCGCGCTGGCCGTGCGGACCCCGCGCCCCCTCAGCTGCCAGACGCTGGCCGCCAGCCAGGTGCGGGGCGGGCTGGGCTGGGCTGGGCGGGAGGGGGGGGTCCACCGCCTGCGGGCGCCCGGGGCGCGCCGCCCTCACCTGGGGCCTCGGGGAGGGGCGGGGGCCGCGGCACGAGGGGCGCCGGCGAGAAGGCGGGGCGGCAGGTCTCCCGGGGTCTCACGCCGCCCCCCGCGCGCCCCAGTACCAGACGGAGTGCGTCAGCGGCTGCGTGTGCCCGGACGGGCTGCTGGACGACGGCCGCGGGGGCTGCGTGCGGGAGGAGGCCTGCCCGTGCGTGCACAACAAGGAGCTGTTCGCCCCCGGGGACGAGGTCAAGGTGGACTGCAACACCTGGTGAGGCCTGGCGCGCGGCCGGGCGTGGGCGTGGGCGCGGCCTCGGGGCGGGCGGCTGCCCTGACCGCCCGTCTCCGCCCCCAGCACCTGCCGGCGGGGCCGCTGGGCGTGCTCCCAGCTCGCGTGCCACGGCACCTGCGCCGTCTACGGCAGCGGCCACTACGTCACCTTCGACGGGAAGCACTATGACTTCGACGGGCACTGCTCCTACGTCGCGGCCCAGGTGGGTCCAGGGGCTGGGGCCTGCCCGTCCCCTCCGCCCAGCGCGGAGGCCCAGCGCGGCCTGGGGGTGGCGCCCGAAGGCGCCGCTGGCCTCCTCCCGCTCCGGGGAGGGGCCCCGCTTGCCGGGCGCCCGATGACCGGGCTCACGACCCACCCAGGACTACTGCGGCCAGAACGCCTCGCGGGGCTCCTTCAGCATCGTCACCGAGAACGTGCCCTGCGGCACCACGGGCGTCACCTGCTCCAAGGCCATCAAGATCTTCCTGGGGGTGAGCGGGCCCTCCCGGGCGCGGGGCCCTCAGGGACCCTCGGAGCCGACCGGTGACGGGGCCTCTCCTCTGGCAGAGGACGGAGCTGAAGCTGGAGGACAAACACCGCATGGTGATTCAGCGCGACCAGGGCCACCACGTGACCTACACCACGCGGGAGGTGGGCCAGTACCTGGTGGTGGAGGCCAGCCTGGGCGTCATCGTCATCTGGGACAAGAGGACCACCATCTTCATCAAGCTGGCGCCTTCCTACAAGGTGCGCGGCGCCCGCCCCGCCCCACCCCGCCCCGCGCCCCCGCCCCAGGCCCGGCCTGGCCTCCCTGACGCGCTGGTCTCCGCAGGGCTCCGTGTGTGGCCTGTGTGGGAACTTCGACCAGCGCTCCAACAACGACTTCACCACGCGAGACCACATGGTGGTGGAGAGCGAGCTGGACTTCGGGAACAGCTGGAAGGAGGCCCCCACCTGCCCCGACGTGGGCAGCACCCCCGATCCCTGCTCCAAGAACCCGCACCGCCGGGCCTGGGCCGAGAAGCAGTGCAGCATCATCAAGAGTGACATCTTCCAAGTCTGCCACAGCAAGGTGGGCATCGGGGCGGGGCGGCCGGCGAGGTGGGTGCGGGCCCGGCGGCCTCTCTGAGCCAGCCGTCCTGCTGCATCACTGCGAGGCCACTGTCGTCAAGTTTCAGCTCCGTCCTATGTCCTTTGGACACGTGACCGGGTGGCCAGCCTCCCCTCTAAGACCCCTGGCCGGACCCGCGGCCCTGCTCCCTCCCAGGCGGTGGCAGGGCGAGGCGCGAGGCTTGGGACTGCGCTCTGCTCTCGAGGGCAGGGGCCTCCAGGGGGCGGGCAGACCCTGCCCGGCGGGCTCTGGCCTCCGCTGTCAATGGCCTTGTGACCTGACCCTGTGGCAGGAGCAGGGGGCGCCCCGGGGATGCCCCAGAGGGTGGCGGGACCCAGGCCCACCGTGGCTCCTCCCCAGGTGGACCCCAAGCCCTTCTTCGAGGCCTGCGTGAGCGACTCCTGCGCCTGCGACTCGGGCGGCGACTGCGAGTGCTTCTGCTCGGCCGTGGCCGCCTACGCCCAGGAGTGCACCAAGGAGGGGGCCTGCGTGTTCTGGAGGACCCCCGACCTGTGCCGTGAGTGCCCCCGTCCGGGGCCGCGGGTGGGCGCAGGCGGCTCCGTCCCCAGGCCATGGCCGCCACCCCGCCCCTGGGGGGCCCAGCGCCTGGGGTGGCCGGCGGCCCCCTGACGGCCCTCCCCTCCCCCCACAGCCGTGTTCTGCGACTACTACAACCCCCCCGACGAGTGCGAGTGGCACTACGAGCCCTGCGGGAACCGCAGCTTCGAGACCTGCCGCTCCGTCAACGGCCTCCACTCCAACATCTCCGTGTCCTACCTGGAGGGTGAGCGGGGGGCCTGTGGGGGACCCCGAGCGCCAGGTGCAGGCTCACCTTGCTGCAGAATGACCTCACTCGCCGAGCCGCGGGCCCCACCCAGCGAGGGGGGCGGGAGGTGCCGAGGGCGGGGGCGCCTCTGCCCAGAGCCCCCGGAGGGCGGCCCGGCTGTGCCTCAGGGGTGGCGGCCCCTGCCCCTCGGGCCCGGCTCTCCCGGGAGTGTCCCCGCGGCGGGGCGGGGCGGGCGCGGCGGCTGGGCCGGCGGGGAGGGCCTGGTGCTGCGGGGTCTTCCGTGGGGGTCCAGGCTTGTGCCCTGTGCCGCCAGGGTGCTACCCCCGGTGCCCCAAGGGCAAGCCCATCTACGACGAGGACCAGAAGAAGTGCGTCCCCGCGGACCAGTGCGGCTGCTACGTGGAGGACACCCACTACCCGCCGGGGGCGGCCGTGCCCCCCGCGCACGTCTGCCAGGCCTGGTACGGGGCTCGCGGGCGGGGCCTCTGGAAGGCGGGGCCTCCGGGGGCGGGGCCTCTGATTGGGCGGGGACTCTGGGGCGGGGCCTCTGATTGGGAGGGACCTCTGGGGCGGGGCCTCTGATTGGGCGGGACCTCTGGGGCGGGGCCTCGGCGGGGGCGGGGCCTCTGGCGGGGCGGGGCCTCCGGGGGCGGGGCCTGGCTGCAGCCTTGCCTTCCTTGCAGCCTCTGCGCCAATGACTCCAAGGTCGTCTGCCGGCCGGATGACGGTGAGCAGGCCCGGCCGCCGGGGCCCTTCCCGGCGCAGGACGCCTCTGGTGGGCGGCAGACCCTGGAAAGGCAGCCGGGCCGCGTCTGCGCTCCCCGGGGCGGCTGCGGGCGCTGGCCGGCCTGCGCCCTCGGGCACTGGCTGCGCCCACGGGTGGGGGGGCACGCGGGCCGCCCCTTGCCCGGACGGGTGAGGGGGAGCGTGAGGGTGGGCGTGGGCGTGGGCTCGCCTCAACCCGCCGTCGCCCTCCCTGCCCCCAGGCAAGATTCTCAACTACACCCAGGACGGCTCCTTCTGCTACTGGGAGGTCTGCGGCCCCAACGGGACGGTGCACCAGCACTTCAACGTCTGTACGTCCACCCCGTCGCCGCCGTCCAGCTCGACGCCCACCCCCACCCCCACCCCCAGCGCCACCTCCAGCGCCACCTCCAGCGCCACCTCCAGCGCCACCCCCACCAGCCACGGCCCAGGTGAGCGCTCGCGGACCTGCCCTGGCCTGGCAGCGTGCGGGCCAGGGCGCTTGGGGCGGACACCTCTGGGCGGCGGCGGCCTCGGGCAGAGCTGACGCGCCGCCCTCCCGTCCCCAGAGCTGTGCTGCTTCTGGTCCGACTGGATCAACGACGACCGCCCGACGGTCGGCAACGACGGTGGCGACCGGGAGACGTTTGCCAGCGTCTGCCAGGCCCCGGAGGACATCGAGTGCAGGTCGGCCACGGAGCCGCACCTCAGCTGGGAGGAGCTCGGCCAGGTGGCCCAGTGTGACGTCAGCGTGGGGTTCATCTGCAACAACGAAGCCCAGTTTGCGAACGGACTGTTCGGGCTTTGTTATGACTACGAGATACGAGTCAACTGCTGTCTGCCGATGGATCAGTGCCCCACGCCGCCCACCACCAGCTACACCACCTCCCCGACCTCCACCTCAGTCACCTCACCAACGACGACCTCCACCTCACCAACGACCACTTTCACCTCCTCAAAGACCACCACCTCACCGACCACCACCTCACCTACCTCTACCTCCCCGACCTCCACCTCGACCACCTCTCCGACGTCCACCTCTCCGACGCCCACCTCTCCGACCTCCACCTCCCCGACCTCCACCTCCCAGATCTCCACCTCAACCACCTCACCAACGACCATCTCGACCTCCTCAAAGACCACAACCTCGCCGACCTCCACCTCACCTACCTCCACCTCAACCACCTCACCTACCTCCACCTCCCCAATCTCCACCTCCCCGACCTCCACCTCACTGACCTCCACCTCAGTCACCTCACCAACGACGACCTCCACCTCACCAACAACCACTTTCACCTCCTCAAAGACCACCACCTCACCGACTTCTACCTCCCCGACCTCCACCTCGACCACCTCACCAGCCTCCACCTCAACTGCCTCACCAACGACGATCTCGACCTCCTCAAAGACCACCACCTCACCTACCTCCACCTCACCGACCTCCACCTCGTCCACCATCTCGACTGCCTCACCAACCTCCACTTTGACCACCTCACCAGCCACCACTACCACCTCATCAGCCACCACCCCTGGTATCTCCACACTGACCACTCCATGTGTGGAAGACTGCAAGTGGACCGGCTGGCTGGATTCTGGTAAACCAAATTATGGCAAACCAGGAGGAGGTGACAAAGAATCTATTGACAACGCCTGTGAAGCTGGCAGCATTCCAGTCAACATTTCCTGTAGAGCTGCCATGTTTCCTGACATTCCTCTCCAGGACCTGGGACAGAAGCTGGCGTGTAACCTCTCCATTGGCCTGGAGTGCAAAAACCAAGAGCAGAAGCCAGGGGGAGTAGCCAACATGCCCTTTTGCCTCAACTATGAGATCAATGTCTACTGCTGCAATCGATGTCTACCCATAGAGACCCCAAGCACGACACCCACCACCGCCACCACCACCACCACCACTGAGATCCCACCTCCAACCACCACCGCCGTCACCTCTCCAACCACCACAACACAGAAGACCCCATCATCGACCCCCACAGGAACCACCACTGAGACCCCAACACCAACTTCCACATCCACAGGGACCCCAACCACCAGCACCACCATCACGAAGACGCCAACGCCTGAATCCACCACCACAGGGACCACCACTGAGACTCCAACGCCAACCCCCAGCACCTACACCACCACCACATCCACCCAGACCCCCAGCCCCACCCCCACCACCTCCACTGAGGCCCCGACTCCATCATCCACCACCCCAGGCACCCCAACCACCAGTGCCACCACCACCACAGAGATCACAACCCCAACGTCCCCCATCATAGGGACGTCTACTCCCAGCACCTCAACAGCCACCCCCACCACCTCTCCAACCACTACCTCTACAACATCACCAACCACCACCCCCACCACCTCTCCAACCACCACATCACCAGAGACCACCACTCCATCATCCACCACCCCAGGTACCCCAACCACCAGCACCACCATCACTGCGACGCCACCACCCTCATCCACCACCAGAGGGACGACAATTGAGACCCCAACGTCAACTTCCACCACCACAGGGACCCCAACCACCAGCACCACCATCACGAAGACCACAACCCCAACCTCCCCCATGACTGGGACATCAACCCCCAGCACCTCAACAGCCACCACCACCACCTCTCCAACCACTGTCTCTACAACATCACCAACCACCACCCCCACCACCTCCCCAACCACCACATCACCAAAGACACCAACTCCATCATCCACCACCACAGGGACCCCAACCACCAGCCCAACCATCACTGAGACGCCAACTCCCTCATCCACCTCCACAGGGACCACCACTGAGACCCCCACGCCAACGTCCAGCACCTACACCACCACCACATCCACCCAGACCCCCAGCCCCACCCCCACCTCCTCCACTGAGACCCCAACTCCATCATCCACCACCCCAGGCACCCCAACCACCAGCACCACCATCACGAAGACCACAACACCAACCTCCCCCATCACAGGGACGTCAACCCCCATCACCTCAACCACCACCACCACCACCACCACCTCTCCAACCACCACCTCACCGGAGACCTCAACTCCATCATCCACCACCTCGGGCACCCCAACCACCAGAACCACCACCACTGAGAGGCCAACTCCCTCATCCACCTCCACAGGGACCACCACTGAGACCCCCACGCCAACCCCTAGCACCTACACCACCACCACATCCACCCAGACCCCCAGCCCCACCCCCACCACCTCCACTGAGACCCCAACTCCATCATCCACCACCACAGGGACCCCAACCACCAGCACCACCATCACGAAGACCACAACCCCAACCTCCCCCATGACTGGGACATCAACCCCTAGCACCTCAACAGCCACCACAACCACCTCTCCAACCACCACCTCACCGGAGACCTCAACTCCATCATCCACCACCACAGGGACCCCAACCACCAGCACCACCATCACGAAGACCACAACCCCAACCTCCCCCATGACTGGGACATCAACCCCTAGCACCTCAACAGCCACCACAACCACCTCTCCAACCACCACCTCACCGGAGACCTCAACTTCATCATCCACCACCACAGGGACCCCAACCACCAGCACCACCATCACTGAGATGTCAACTCCCACCTCCGTAGGGACCACCACTGAGACTCCAACACCAACCCCCAGCACCTACACCACCACCACATCCACCCAGACACCCACCTCCACTCCCACCACCTCCACTGAGACCCCAACTCCATCATCCACCACTACAGGGACCAGTGCAGAGTCTACAACCTCGAGCACCACCACCACCACTAGGACGCCAACCCCGCCACACAGCACAACCCCCACCATCACCTCCTCAGAGACCCCAACTCCATCATCCACCACCCCTGGCACCCCAACTACCAGCACCACCACCAGCGAGACCACAAGTCTGACTTCCAGTACCACCTCGACACCAACTACCACGCCTACCACCCCAACAAAGGAGACCCCAACCTCGGCCTCCACTGTCAGAACCACCACCTCAGCAGAGACAACCCCAACCTCCCCCATCACTGGGACATCAACCCCCAGCACCTCAACAGCCACCACCACCACCTCTCCAACAACCACCTCTACAACATCACCAACCACCACCCCCACCACCTCTCCAACCACCACATCACCAGAGACCCCAACTCCGTCATCCACCACCACAGGAACCCCAACCACCAGAACCACCATCACTGAGACGCCAACATCCTCATCTCCATCATCCACCTCCACAGGGACCACCACTGAGACCCCAACACCAACGTCCAGCACCTACACCACCACCACATCCACCCAGACCCCCAGCCCCACCCCCACCTCCTCCACTGAGACCCCAACTCCATCATCCACCACCCCAGGCACCCCAACCACCAGTGCCACCACCACCACAGAGACCACAACCCCAACGTCCCCCATCATAGGGACGTCTACTCCCAGCATCTCAACAGCCACCCCCACCACCTCTCCAACCACTACCTCTACAACATCACCAACCACCACCCCCACCACCTCTCCAACCACCACATCACCTACCTCCACCTCCCCGACTTCCACCTCCCCGACTTCCACCTCACTGATCTCCACCTCAACAGCCTCACCAACGACAACCTCCACCTCACCAACGACCACTTTCACCTCCTCAAAGACCACCACCTCACCGACCACCACCTCACCTACCTCCACCTCCCCGACCTCCACCTCGACCACCTCACCAGCCTCCACCTCAACTGCCTCACCAACGACGATCTCGACCTCCTCAAAGACCACCACCTCACCTACCTCCACCTCACCGACCTCCACCTCGTCCACCATCTCGACTGCCTCACCAACCTCCACTTTGACCACCTCACCAGCCACCACCCCTGGTATCTCCACACTGACCACTCCATGTGTGGAAGACTGCAAGTGGACCGGCTGGCTGGATTCTGGTAAACCAAATTATGGCAAACCAGGAGGAGGTGACAAAGAATCTATTGACAACGCCTGTGAAGCTGGCAGCATTCCAGTCAACATTTCCTGTAGAGCTGCCATGTTTCCTGACATTCCTCTCCAGGACCTGGGACAGAAGGTGGCGTGTAACCTCTCCATTGGCCTGGAGTGCAAAAACCAAGAGCAGAAGCCAGGGGGAGTAGCCAACATGCCCTTTTGCCTCAACTATGAGATCAATGTCTACTGCTGCAATCGATGTCTACCCATAGAGACCCCAAGCACGACACCCACCACCGCCACCACCACCACCACCACTGAGATCCCACCTCCAACCACCACCGCCGTCACCTCTCCAACCACCACAACACAGAAGACCCCATCATCGACCCCCACAGGAACCACCACTGAGACCCCAACACCAACTTCCACATCCACAGGGACCCCAACCACCAGCACCACCATCACGAAGACGCCAACGCCTGAATCCACCACCACAGGGACCACCACTGAGACTCCAACGCCAACCCCAGCACCTACACCACCACCACATCCACCCAGACCCCCAGCCCCACCCCCACCACCTCCACTGAGGCCCCGACTCCATCATCCACCACCCCAGGCACCCCAACCACCAGTGCCACCACCACCACAGAGATCACAACCCCAACGTCCCCCATCATAGGGACGTCTACTCCCAGCACCTCAACAGCCACCCCCACCACCTCTCCAACCACTACCTCTACAACATCACCAACCACCACCCCCACCACCTCTCCAACCACCACATCACCAGAGACCACCACTCCATCATCCACCACCCCAGGTACCCCAACCACCAGCACCACCATCACTGCGACGCCACCACCCTCATCCACCACCAGAGGGACGACAATTGAGACCCCAACGTCAACTTCCACCACCACAGGGACCCCAACCACCAGCACCACCATCACGAAGACCACAACCCCAACCTCCCCCATGACTGGGACATCAACCCCCAGCACCTCAACAGCCACCACCACCACCTCTCCAACCACTGTCTCTACAACATCACCAACCACCACCCCCACCACCTCCCCAACCACCACATCACCAAAGACACCAACTCCATCATCCACCACCACAGGGACCCCAACCACCAGCACCACCATCACTGAGACGCCAACTCCCTCATCCACCTCCACAGGGACCACCACTGAGACCCCCACGCCAACGTCCAGCACCTACACCACCACCACATCCACCCAGACCCCCAGCCCCACCCCCACCTCCTCCACTGAGACCCCAACTCCATCATCCACCACCCCAGGCACCCCAACCACCAGCACCACCATCACGAAGACCACAACACCAACCTCCCCCATCACAGGGACGTCAACCCCCATCACCTCAACCACCACCACCACCACCACCACCTCTCCAACCACCACCTCACCGGAGACCTCAACTCCATCATCCACCACCTCGGGCACCCCAACCACCAGAACCACCACCACTGAGAGGCCAACTCCCTCATCCACCTCCACAGGGACCACCACTGAGACCCCCACGCCAACCCCTAGCACCTACACCACCACCACATCCACCCAGACCCCCAGCCCCACCCCCACCACCTCCACTGAGACCCCAACTCCATCATCCACCACCACAGGGACCCCAACCACCAGCACCACCATCACGAAGACCACAACCCCAACCTCCCCCATGACTGGGACATCAACCCCTAGCACCTCAACAGCCACCACCACCACCTCTCCAACCACCACCTCACCGGAGACCTCAACTCCATCATCCACCACCACAGGCACCCCAACCACCAGCACCACCATCACGAAGACCACAACCCCAACCTCCCCCATGACTGGGACATCAACCCCTAGCACCTCAACAGCCACCACAACCACCTCTCCAACCACCACCTCACCGGAGACCTCAACTCCATCAGCCACCACCACAGGGACCCCAACCACCAGCACCACCATCACGAAGACCACAACCCCAACCTCCCCCATGACTGGGACATCAACCCCTAGCACCTCAACAGCCACCACAACCACCTCTCCAACCACCACCTCACCGGAGACCTCAACTTCATCATCCACCACCACAGGGACCCCAACCACCAGCACCACCATCACTGAGATGTCAACTCCCACCTCCGTAGGGACCACCACTGAGACTCCAACGCCAACCCCAGCACCTACACCACCACCACATCCACCCAGACACCCACCTCCACTCCCACCACCTCCACTGAGACCCCAACTCCATCATCCACCACTACAGGGACCAGTGCGGAGTCTACAACCTCGAGCACCACCACCACCACTAGGACGCCAACCCCGCCACACAGCACAACCCCCACCATCACCTCCTCAGAGACCCCAACTCCATCATCCACCACCCCTGGCACCCCAACTACCAGCACCACCACCAGCGAGACCACAAGTCTGACTTCCAGTACCACCTCGACACCAACTACCACACCTACCACCCCAACAAAGGAGACCCCAACCTCGGCCTCCACTGTCAGAACCACCACCTCAGCAGAGACAACCCCAACCTCCCCCATCACTGGGACATCAACCCCCATCACCTCAACAGCCACTACCACCACCTCTCCAACCACCACCTCTACGACATCACCAACCACCACATCACCGGAGACCCAAACTCCATCATCCACCACTATAGGGACCCCAACCCCCAGCACCTACACCACCACCACATCAACCCAGACCCCTGGCCCCACCCCCACCACCTCCACTGAGACCCCAACTCCATCATCCACCACCCCTGGAACTCCAACCACCAGCACCACCATCATGAAGACCACAACACCAACCTCCCCCATCACAGGGACGTCAACCCCCATCACCTCAACCACCACCACCACCACCTCTCCAACCACCACCTCACCGGAGACCTCAACTCCATCATCCACCACCACAGGGACCCCAACCACCAGCACCACCATCACTGCGACCCCGACTCCATCATCCACCACCCCATCTACCAGCACCACCACCACAGAGACCACAACCCCAACCTCCCCCATCATTGGCACGTCAACCCCCAGCACCTCAACAGCCACCACCACCACCACCTCTCCATCTACCACGTCACCAGAGACCCCAACTCCGTCATCCACCACCTCAGGGACCCCGACCACCAGCACCACCATCACGGAGACATCAACTCCGTCCACCTCCACAGGGACCACCACTGAGACCCCAACGCCAACTCTCAGCACCTACACCACCACCACATCCACCCAGACCCCCAGCCCCACCCCCACCACCTCCACTGAGGCCCCGACTCCATCATCCACCACCGCTGGGTCTCCAACCACCAGTGCCACCAGCACAGAGACCACAACCTCAACATCCACCATCATAGGGACGTCAACCTCCAGCACCTCAACCACCACCTCTCCAACCACCACGTCACTGGAGACCTCAACTCCATCATCCACCACCTCAGGCACCCCAACTCCATCATCCACCACCCCATCCACCAGCACCAGCACCACAGAGACCACAACCCCAACCTCCCCCATCACTGGCACGTCAACCCCCAGCACCTCAACAGCCACCCCCACCACCACCTCTCCATCCACCACGTCACCAGAGACCCCAATTCCATCATCCACCACCTCAGGGACCCCAACCACCATCACGGGGACACCAACGCCCTCATCCACCTCCACAGGGACGACCACTGAGACCCCAATGCCAACTTCCACCACCCCAGGGACCCCAACCACCAGCACCACCGTCACGGAGACGCCCACGGCCTCATCCACATCCACAGGGACCACCACTGAGACCCCCACGCCAACCCCCAGCACCTACTCCACCACCACATCCACCCAGACCCCCAGCCCCACCCCCACCACCTCCACCGAGACCCCGACTCCATCATCCACCACCAGGGAGACCCCACCGTCGCCCCCCAGCAGCAGCACCACCACCACCACAGAGACAGCCAGCCCGACCCCCACCATCACCACCACGACCCGCCCGGAGAGTGCCACCCCCACGGGCACGGTGCCCGGCTCCCCGCCGGGGTCCTCCCCGCCGACCTCTCCATCCCCCTCGCCCTCCTCCACCAGGGCCACCACCACACCAGCCGGCGAGGAGACGCCCAGCACCCCGCCAGTGACAACACGGGGCTCCACGCCCCCGCCGCCCACCCCTGGCAGCACCCCTCCAGGTATGCCCCCCGCGAGCCCCTCCCATCCGGCCGGTGCCCCTGCTCTGCCTGGCGAGGGCCCCGGATCTGCCTCCCGCTGCTGGCCGCTGCCTGCTCGCCGGCCAGCCCGGCCGCCCCGTCCCCTCCAGAGCTGTGCCCGCCCCGCCCAGGGCTCTTGTGGGCGGCCGGGGCCCGCGGGCCGTGGGTACCCCTCCTCCCCCACACCGCCCTCCCCGCTCTTGCCCTGGAACCCGCTGGCCAGACCCCGCAGATGGGCCCTCGTCCGGGGTGCCCGTCCTCCAGGCCGCGAGCTCTGGGGCTCTGGGCGGACCTCACGCCGCGGTCCCAGCACCCCGGGCAGACTGCAGCCCTGCTGGCTCTGCCCCCAGCCTGGTGGGCACGAGGCCCTTCTGTGCCACCGCCGGGCCCCAGGGCCGGCACCCCCCGGCTGCCGCCAGCCCTCAGTGCGCCCCTTTCCTTCCAGGCCCGCCGACGTCGGGGCCCGCCTCGTCGACACCCACGCCCACCGCGGTGCGCACGAGCACCACCGGGGCCCCCACCCCAGGGCGCCCCTCGACGACCGCGCCGGCCTCCAGCACCGCGGCCTCCAGCACCGCGGCCTCCAGCGCGCCCGCGCCCACGCTCACCCCCACCCCCGTGCCCCCCCCCAGCATCAGCATGAGCACCGGCACCGGGCCCTCCACCGCCACCCAGATATATTGCTGCGAGGTCAACGGCACCTACTACGCGCCGGGTACCGCGGCGGGCGGGGCGGGCCGGCCGGGCCGGGCCGGGCGGGGCGGGGGGCGGGCCCTGACGGCGGCCCCCGCAGGTGAGCTGGTGTACAACGGCACGCACGGCAACACCTGCTACTACGTGAACTGCTCGCTGGACTGCGACATCCAGATCTTCAACTGGTCGTGCCCGTCCACGCCGACCCCGACGCCCGGCCCGACGCCCACTCCCGCGTCCTCGCCCAGCCCGCCCACGCCCCCGAAGCCGCCCGGCACGGCGCCCCCCGGCTGCCCCGACTTCGATCCTCCCAGACAGGTCAGGGGCGGGGGTGGCTGTCGCCCGGGCGGCCCCTCCGGGGGCGTCCCAGGCCTCGGGCCCCTCTCCGCTGGTCCGGCCCCTTCCCACCACCGGGTCGCGGGTGGGCGAGGCCCTGGCGTCCCTGCCAGACGGGGCTGCCGCCTGCCGGCTCCCCCAAGGGCTCCAGGTGCCCCCGCGGCGCCCTGAACCCCGGCCCTCCGCAGGAGAACGAGACGTGGTGGCTGTGCAACTGCACGCAGGCCGTGTGCAAGCACGGGAACACGGTGGAGCTGGTGGAGGTGGAGTGCGAGCCCCCGCCCATGCCCACCTGCTCCAACAACCTGGCCCCCGTGCGCGTCATGGACCCCGACGGCTGCTGCTGGCACTGGGAGTGCGACTGTAAGCCCCCCATCGCCCCTCCCGCACCCCCTCCCCGCTGGGCCTGTGGCGCCCCTCCGTCCTCCCAGCCCGGCAGGGAGTGGGGTGGGCGGCCTCCAGGCTCCGGGAGCAGAGCTGGGGTCTGAAGCCAGGAGGTGGGGCCCCGGGGTTACGCGGCCAGTGGACGCAGACCCGCTTGCACGCCCCTGGGCCTGGAGCCCGGAGCCCACGTTTTGTCCCCTCGGCCCTGCTGGCCCTTCTCGCCTGGCCCTTGGCCCTGGGCGCCAGCTCAGCCCGCTCCCCCCACAGGCTACTGCTCAGGCTGGGGTGACCCCCACTTCGTCACCTTCGACGGGCTCTACTACAGCTACCAGGGCAACTGCACCTATGTGCTGGTGGAGGAGATCACCCCCAAGGTGGACAACTTCGGGGTGTACATCGACAACTACCACTGCGACCCCAGTGACCAGGTGTCCTGCCCGCGCACCATCATCGTGCGCCACGAGACCCAGGAGGTGCTGCTCAAGACCGTGCAGATGCAGCCCCTGCGGGTGCAGGTAGGCGCGGGCCCAGCTTCCTGCAGGCGGCCGGGCCCTTGGGCCGCTGACCCGGCGCAGAAGCCCGGCCCCGAGACAGGCCGGCCGGGCCGGGGCGGGCCTGCCGGGCTCCAAGGCACGTCCAGAGCAGTGGGGGGCAGCGGGGAGGGGCGGGTGGAGGCCGCCAGGTACCCGGCTCTGCCGCCGCCGGCGGGCGCGGCTCTCCAAGGCCAAGGCCAGCTCTCCTGGCGGCCGGGCGGGCGCCTGGGGCGCCTTTGGGGCAGGGGCGGGGCCGGTCTCCCGCGTCCAGCTGACTGGCTTGGGGCTGCAGGTGCAGGTCAACGGGCAGGCGGTGGCGCTGCCCTACAGGAAGTACGGGCTGGAGGTGTCTGCGTCGGGCATCAACTACGTGGTGAGCATCCCCGAGCTGGGTGCTGTCATCAACTACAACGGCCTGGCCTTCTCCGTCCGGCTGCCCTTCAGCCTCTTCGGCCACAACACCAAGGGCCAGTGCGGTGAGTGCTCCCGCGGCTCGCGGCCGGCCCCCTGCCGCCCCCTCCCCCTGCTGCTGCCTTGAGGGGCCTGGGGGCGGGCGGGGCGGTGGGGGCCTGGGCAGGCGGGGCGGCCTGGCGGCAACGCGCCTCCTCCCCAGGCACCTGCAGCAACAGCACGGCCGACGACTGCATGCTGCCCAGCGGGGAGCTGGCTGCCGACTGCGAGGTGGCCGCCGACCAGTGGGTGGTGAACGACCCCTCCAAGCCGCACTGCCCGCAGGCGGGCTCCACCACCAGGCGCCCGGCCACCACCACGCCCGGGGGCAGCAGCCCCCCCGGCCAGAGCTGCGGGTCCCCTCTGTGCGAGCTCATCCTGCAGAGGTGACCCCGGGCCCTCGGCCTGGGTGGGGGGCAGGTCCGGCCTCCGCGAGCCCCGAGGGCTGGCGGGGCGCGGCTGGGGGTGGCGGGAGGCGGCTGGGGCTCCCACGGGGGTGCGCTCCCGCGGGGCGGCGGGCTGTGCGGTCCGGTCTCCGCCTGGGGGGCCGGGGGCCCCCACGGGTGCGCGCTGGGGGCGCGGCCCTCCGGCGGGTGGGGGGCCCGGGGAGGGCGCCCGCTAACCCGCCGCCCCGCAGCCCGTTCGCCGCCTGCCACGCCGCGGCGCCGCCCCGGCACTACCACGAGGCCTGCGTGTTCGACAGCTGCTTCGTGCCGGGCGCGGGCCTGGAGTGCGCCAGCCTGCAGACCTACGCGGCGCTGTGCGCGCAGCAGGGCGTCTGCGTCGACTGGCGGAACCTCACCGGGGGCGCCTGCGGTGAGCGCGGCAGGGGGGCGTGGGGGCGCGGGGGCGCGGGGGCGCGGGGGCGCGGGGGCGCGGGGCGCGGGGGGCGGGGCCCCCTCCTGACGCCCCGGCCCCTCCGCAGCCGTGACCTGCCCGTCGCACCGCGAGTACCGGGCCTGCGGCCCCGCGGAGGAGCCCACCTGCAAGACCAGGTAGGCCGGGGCGGGGCGGGGCCGGGGCGCGGGCGGGGGGCGGCCCCCCTCCCGCAGCAGCGTCTCACCGCCCCCCCCGCCCCCGCAGCCCCCCGCCGCAGAACGGCAGCGCGGTGGAGGGCTGCTTCTGCCCCGAGGGCACGACGAGCTACGCGCCCGGCTTCGACGTGTGTGTGGAGGCCTGCGGTAGGCGCCCCCGGGAACCCCCGGCCCCCCCCGCGGACCTCCGCCCCCCCCCCCCGCCGGCTGACACTCTCCTTCTCCCCCCAGGCTGCGTGGGGCCCGACAACGTGCCCAGAGAGGTGGGTCGTCCCCGGAGCCGGGGTTCTGGGCGGGCAGGGCTGGCGCAACCCCAGAGGCTGGGAGGGGGGGGCTGCTGGGGTTGGGGCTCCGGGGCGCCCCCTGCTCACCCCGCGCCTCTGCAGTTTGGGGAGCACTTCGAGTTCGACTGCAAGGAGTGCGTGTGCCTGGAGGGCGGCAGCGGCATCATGTGCCACCCCAAGACGTGCCGCGGGCGGTCCGCGCCCACCTGCGCCGAGGACGGCACCTACCCGGCCACCGAGGTGGACCCCGCGGACACCTGCTGCAACGTCACCACCTGCAGTAAGCCGGGGCGCCCGCCCCCAGCCTGCCTCCCGGTTGGCCTCCGGGGACCCGGGTGGGGCGCCCTCCGCCCGCCCCGAGTCACCTCGCCTTCCCCTGCGCCCCAGAGTGCAACGTCAGCCTGTGCCGGGAGCAGCCGCACTCCTGCCCGCTGGGCTTCGAGGCCAAGAGCGAGATGGTGCCGGGAGGTGCTGCCCGGTCCACTCCTGCGGTGAGTGCGCCCGGCTGTCCGCGCGAGAGGGGCGCCCCGGCCCCCCCACCCCGGCCTGCACGGGCGCCGGGCGGGTCTGACCGCGCCCTCCTTCCCCCCAGTGCCCAAGGGCGTGTGCGTCGTGGACAGCGCCGAGTACCAGGTGCGGGGCCGGCGGGGCGGGCGGCGGGGGCGGGGTCCGCAAGGGGCGGGGGCTGGAGGGGTGGGGGGCTCTGCACCGCCGGCTCACACGGCGCCCCTGCAGCCCGGCTCCCCAGTCTACTCCTCCAAGTGCATGAGCTGCCAGTGCACCAGCCAGCGCAACAGCACCACCCAGCTCCACGTCGTCGCCTGCAGCCGCGTGCCCTGCACCGCCACCTGCAGCCCCGTGAGCGCCGCCCCAGCCCCCCACCTGCCCGGCCCCCACCCCAGACACACACACACCCGGCCTCCCCCCTCCCCTCCCCCCAAGCCCCAACCCCCCACCCCCCTGCCCCCCCACCTCCCCCTGCCCCCCACCCCCTGCCTCCCCCTGCCCCCAGCCTCCCCCCTGGACCCCGGCACCCCGCTGACCGCCTCCCCCGCCTGCAGGGCTTCGAGCTGGTGGCTGTCCCCGGGGAGTGCTGCGGCAAGTGCCAGCAGACACGCTGCGTCATCCACCGGCCGGGGGGCCAGTACCTCGTCCTCAAGGTGCGCTGGGCCAGGGAGCGACCCTGGGGGCCGCCTGGGCCCCGAGGCACGGCGGGATGTCCGTGCCCACCCCAGGGCTCCCGGGCTCCTCCCTGCAAGGCTGGGGGCCCCTTCGCGGCCGTCCCTCCACCGCCCCCCAGGGCCCGCCTCAGACCCCTCGGTGACCGCCTCCCCGGGATCCCGCCTCCCCAGTAGGGCCGAGCGTGCTGGGGTCAGGGTGTGAGGCGCCGGGGCCCTGCGTCCTGGCCCTGGCGGAGGGGCTGCGCGCACCGGCTCACCCGCTGCCCCCCCGCAGCCCGGGAAGTGAAGAGCGACCCGGGGAGCAACTGCACCTTCTTCAGCTGCGTGAAGATCCACAACCAGCTCATCTCGTCCGTCTCCAACATCACCTGTCCCAGCTTTGACCCCAGCGACTGCGTCCCGGTGAGCGCCCAGGGTGCAGGCTGGGGGGCCCGGGCGGGTGCGGGGCGGGCTCCTGCTGACTCCCCTTCCCCGCAGGGCACGATTACCCTCGCGCCCAATGGCTGCTGCAAGACCTGTGAGTACAGCTCAGGGGGTGGTGTCCTGGGGGGTGTCCCGGGCCGCCCCTGGCCCCCTGGGGGCGCGCCCCCTTGCGGGAGAGGCGGGAGGGAGCCGACGGCTGGGTGCCACTTGGGGCCCCGCACGTGGAGGGTCCTCGAGCCTCGCCCCTCCCCAGGCACCTCTCGCAACGAGACCCGGGTCCCCTGCTCCACCATCCCCGTCACCAAGGAGATCTCCCACGCCGGCTGCGTCGCCAACGTCACCACCAACTACTGCGCCGGGTCCTGCGGCACCTTCGCCATGTGAGGCCCCCCGCACCCCCTCCCTCCCCGCCTGGGCGACCCACAGGCGCCCTCACCGCCCCCGGCTCCTCCGCCCCCCCGCCCCCCGTTGGCCGCCCGCATGCCCTCACCCCCGGTGCCCGTCGGCAGGTACTCGGCCGAGGCGCAGGCTCTGGACCGCCGCTGCTCGTGCTGCAAGGAAGAGCGCACCCGCCAGCGGGAGGTGACGCTGCGCTGCCCCACGGGCGGGCTGCTGGCCCACACCTTCACCCACATCGAGAGCTGCCAGTGCCAGGACTCGTCCTGCGCGCCCCTGCCGGCCCGCCGCACGCGCCGCGGTGCCAGGGGCCCGGCCAGGCCTGAGCAGGCCGCAGCCGCTTCTCGCCGCCAATATTTATTTCTGAAACTGTTCATTTCCTTGCTTTCTGAAAATAAACGTGTGCAGAGACTGCTGGCTGGTGTGCTTGCGGGCCGGGGTCCGGGGGCGCTTCGGGGGCAGAGGGCCCCATGGCCTGGCCACTGGGCTCTGCCCACAGGAATTTGCCCTCATGGCCTGGCCCAGTTCAGCGAATGTGGGTGCCCCCTGCTTGGGCCCCCCCACAGGGCAGCCTGCAGGCCCCCATGCAGAGCCTCCCTGGGGCCCGAGCTCCCGCCGGGGTGTTTGTGTGTGCGCCTGTGGGTGCGCGTGGGCGTGTTTGCACGTGTGAGCTGCGTGTGCACACGTACATGTGAGTGCGCCTGCCGCGGGGAGGAGGGAGAGTCTTGGCCCCGCCGGGCAGCAAGCGTCTCCGGGGCAAGGGGCCGGGGCCTCACAGACTTGGGCAGGGGCTCCCCGCGCCCGGGAGAGGACCCCAAAGGCAGTCACGCCGCCGGTGAGCAGCCTCGGAGGCCTCAGGGGAGGCCCGGCCGCCGGCACCGGGACGGGGATTGGGGCAGGCCTGGGACAGGGCCACGTGGCTCTGAGGCTGGGCAGCTATGACGCCCCTCCCCCTGCCGGTGAGCGAGGGGGTCTGTGGGGAGCAACCCCAGAGTCACCAGACTCAGGACACGTGACTGGTCTTGTGGGAAAATTACCTCCATTACCACGTTAATATTTGTCTCTCCATTAAAGTCTGTTTAAAAATTGAAAGGGCCTCCCCGGTGGCGCAGCGGGTGAGCGCTGGGTGGCGAAGCTGCCCGCAGCCTCTGCAGAGCCGGTTCGATCCCCGGCTGCTCCCCGGCCACCGGAGGAGGGTCCCGCATGGCGCGCAGACCTCTCCTGCCGCCCGCTGCTCCCCTCAGCAGTGTCCTTCGGTCCTTCTGCCTGCTCTGCTCCCCGCTCTGGCTCTGGTGAATTCTCTCACCCTCCTGCGCTTCTGACTGTGCCCAGTGCTTGTATAAACAAACAAACAAACAAACAAACAAACAAATAAATAAAAATAAATCTTTAAAAAAAATAAAAAAAATAAAAATGAAAATGGAAAGGGCCTCCCTGGTGGTGCAGCGGGTTGAGCGCCGCTCTGGGAAGCTGTTCGCAGCCTCTGCAGCGCGGGTTCAATCCTGGCCGGCCGGCGAGGGTCCCACATGGTGCGGCGGACCTCTCCCGTCTCCCCGCTGCTCCCCTCAGCAGTGTGTTTCACTCAGTCTGCCTGTTCTGCTCCCCGCTCTGGCTCTGGGGAGTTCTCAAACCCCCGCACCTCTGGCCTGCGCCCCAGCTCTTGTGTGCATCAATAAAGAAATCTTGAAAAACTGAAAAACTGGAAACACGGCGGACGACGTGGACCAGCAACAAACGGCGCGCGCTGTAGAAGAACCCCCGACCTCGTCAGGCTCAGCTTGGACGAGCGAATTTCTGTGAAAATGAGCAATGACGGCTTCGAGGCAGGTGCCAGGCTCATGATCAGCATGTAAACGCGCTGCTGGGAGACGTGAAGAAACCGCAGCCGCGCTAGGAACGGATGAGGAAACCTGTGAAGAAATCCACGCGTCAACACAAGGGCACATCCCGCCGCTGTTGGTCGGGGGCGCCGCGCGGTGCCGCCGCCGGGCGCTGCTGGGGCAGAGTCTCCCCCGCGCGGCTCGGGCGCCCGCCTGCGCCTCCCAAGCAGGAGATGCGCGCGGGAGGCCCCCGCAGGCTCTGACCGGAAGAAATGCCCGCGGGGTCTTCCGCTGCTGGGCCGACGCGTTCTTAAGCCACATGGCAATTGTATTTTTCTCCAGACCGTCCAACAAATGTGGTCAACAAGACAGAAAACCTTAAAACACCAAACAACAACAACAACAACAAATTGATCAACTGGAACCAGGACAGGCCCCTGCTGGCCACCTCTGCCCTCGGCTCCGCGCGGCTCCAGGACTCCCACCCTCTCCCTGACCGGGCGGACGTCCCCAGCCCCTCCTGCCCTGGGCTGGGCTGGGGGCTCCGGGCTGGGGGCTCAGGGCTCTGGCTCAGGAGCATGGCGAGGGGGAGACCGGAGGCCGCCTGGCCCTTGTCCAGCTGTGCCCGCGAGGTGGACTCTGCCCTAGCCTCGCTGGCTGCCTTGCCCGGGCACCCCGCGAGGCCGCCCGTGGCCGCCCCTGCCTCTGGCCACGTCCCCTTCAGGTGCTCAGCAGAAGCGCGTGGTTACGGGGCTTCATCAAAACCCCATGAACCCCAAAACTAAACAGGGCAGCCCGGCCAGCCCCAAATGTCAGCAAGCAGCGCCCAAGGGCTCCGTGGCAGTCAGGGCAGCGGGGCTGTGAGGGCACAGGCCACCCGCGTCCTGGCATGTGTCTCGACCCTGTGTCCTCCCCAAGGGGCAATGGAAGCAGCCTGGCCATGGGGGCCCCGAAGCCCCAGGCCTCCTAGGCTCTCTGCTGCCCACCCCGTGGTGGCCAGAGGGGAGGGGAGCCGGTCGCGGGGCACGCGTGGGGGAGGGGCGACAGGGGCGTGGGCTTGGGGGTCGCGGGGGCCCGCCGGGCGGGCAGGCCCTGCTGCTGCGGGCTGGGATGCCGGGGACTTGCCAGATCCCAGTGCGGGGCCCATGGCCGCAGACACACAGGCCCTGGGGGCGGCCGCGTGGAGACTCGGGGCGCCCTCCATTGAGGGGCAGGGGCTGTGGCCACGCGCCCCCGGGGAGGATGCGCTGGAGTTTTCTAGCTTTTGCTTTTTAGCTAAAGCCAGACACGCTTCTGGCAGGGAGCCGGGCAGCCCCGACTGTGGCCCGCCGCCCCTCTGCCCATGCCCGGCGGCCCCCCAGAGTGCCCTGCCGCTGTGGGGCACAGGGAGACGGCCGCCTGGGCCTCGCGGTCTGCTGGGCAGCGAGTGGAGGGGGGCCCGTGTTGCCCCCAGGCCCCCTCCTGCCCTCCGGGGGGTCCCGCTGGTGTGGGGCACGGGGTGGGTAGGCGCCTCTTGTGGACGGGCGGGTTCAGTGGACAGTGAAGGCCACAGCCCTGCAGGACCTGGCTTCCCTCTGCTCCCCGCACCCCACGCGCAGCCCCCTCCCCTCCAGCGCCCCTGTGGGCGCCTCCTGTCTGCCACCCGCCGGTGCCAGTGTCCCGGAGGGTGCGCCCCTGTGCGCCAGCGGAGAGGTCCCAGGGGGGCACCCCCAAGCCTGCAGAGCCCGGGGCGCGGAGGTCAGAGACGCCTGCCCCACGTGGTGGCTGCCGCCCAGCCCCACAGCCCGAGCAGCCAGCCGAGGCCCCGGGAGCTCCGTGGGCCTGGGAGTGGCCTGAGACCCCACAGACAGCGAACACCCTGCCCGAGCCTGGCGCCCGCTCCCTGGCTCGGCAGCGCAGCCCGGGCGCCCAGAGGGGCAGACGAGGGGCTCCGGCGGCGGCCCCAGTGCCTGAGGGCCGCGGCCGTCCCCTCCCTGCCCCGGGCGCTGGGGCTCCTGGCCCAGCTGGGGGCTGGCGGGCTGAGTCACCGGGCCCCAGCTGCGATAGCGGTGTTTTCCCAGGGAGGAGGGAGGGGGAGCCCCTTCCTGTGGGGAGCGTGGCTCTCCCTGACCCCCGAGCCACAGGCCGTGACCCCTGCGCCGCTGCGCTGCCCAGCGTGACTCAGGCGTCCCCGAGAACCCGGAACTGCCGGCAACATCCTGGATTAGCGCGGGGCGGCCACCCTGGCCTTTGTCCCCCGCGGCGTCCTCAGGCGCCCTCGGGACGCGGCTGCCCACTAATCCGCAGGCCTGCAGGCCGCTCGTCCCGGGCCTCTCAGCGGGGCTGCCTGGACCCTGGGCGTCGGTGGGCTGGGCCCGGCCCAACACGAGAAGGGGAGGCCCACCGCGCGGGCCGGGCGTGTCCTCTGAGCCCCAGAAAGGCCCCAGCCCCTCACCCTGGGCCACGCAGCCCTGTCCTGTGCCAGGAGCCAGCACTGTGCCCCCTCACCGCCCCCCGCCCCGCCTGTCTCTCCCGCCATCTCCCGCCCTCTCCAGCACACTCGGGTCAGTCCCCCGGGCCACCCCCACACCGGCCCGAGGTCTGGGGTTCGGTGACCGTAGTCACTGTCTTCAAGGGTCTGGGTGCCGGGTGTGCCAGGCGCTCATGCTGCCTGCCTGCTGGGCACGGTGGGCACTGAGGAGACGGCCTCTGCTCGGGCCCTGGGCTGCGATGGCTGCCCCCAGCCTCCTGGAGGGCACAGAGGACTCTCCTGCCTGGGGGGAGGACACACCTGCCTGGGGGGAGGACTCACCTGTCCGGGGGGAGGACACACCTGCCCAGGGGTGGAGGACTCACCTGTCCGGGGGGGAGGACTCACCTTCCTGGATGTGGAGGACTCACTTATTAGGGCGGAGGGTTCACCTGCCTGGGATGCAGGACTCGCCTGCCCCGCCCCTCCGTGGCCATAAGCTCCTGGATTCAGAGCTCGTGACTCCGGGTCGGCCCTGGACTGTCCCTCCAGGGTGGTGGCGGTGCCGCCCTGTGACGCACCACCCGGGCCGGGACACGCAGGGCCGGAGCAGGCCCGGCTGGACCTGGGTGAAGGAGGAGGAGGAGGCTGGAGCGGGAGGGGGTGGGTGGGTGGGTGGAGGTGGGTGAGCGAGGACCCTGCGTGGTCAGCAGGGCCCACGGTGTCCTGCGGGCGGAGTCCCCGGCAGAGCAGCGGGAGGCTGGGGGTCCGGGCGACCCTCAGAGAAGCGGGTCATGAGCGTCGCGGCCAGGATGTCGCTCCAGGCGGGGCTGGCGGGCCAGGTGGGGGTGTCCCCAGGCCGCCCACGGCGCTTCAGCCGGGCTCCCAGGCCACACTCAGGCTGCGCTGGCCCCGCTCCAGCTGGGTCCGAAGGCCTGGGCGCCTCGGCGCAGGTCTGCTTCTCGCGAACGTCCCCTGCTGTCCTGAGCCCCTGGTGGGGACCCAGGCCCAGGGGGCCGGGGTTCGGGCCGGGTGTGCCTGTCTCTTCCACCTTGGCAGTGCGAGGCGGGCGCCGCCCCCGGCCCCAGAGCAACGAAGATGGCCCAGCCGCTCGGCCCCGGAGGAGGCGGGACCAGGGAACAGGCGCCCGCGGGAGGGACCAAGCCGGCCTATTTGCAGATGCCCACAGGGGCCACACAGGGTGCCTTTACCTGGAAGGGGGTGCCAGGTGCAGGGACGGGCCACCTAGGGCAGCCATGGGCACCCCGACATGAGGGGTCACAGAGCCCACCCAGCAGAAGGCCGGAGCCAGGGTGTCAGTGCCCTAGACTCGCATGCCCGCCGCCCCGTGCCTGAGGCCCCAGCGACGGCATTTGCCGACGCAGACAAGACCGTCCTCACGGGCACTCCAGGAAGTGGCCCCGGGAGCTGGTCAGGGGTCAGGGTGAGGACAGGGCGAGAGCACGTGCCTGGTTCCGAGCGTCCTGTGTGGCCACGATGGCCCGGCTCTGGCGTGGAAGGACAAGGCTGACAGGGCCTGGGGACCCCGCAGACAGGCCAGTGGGCAGCAGCCATCTCCTTGCCGAGGTGCTGGACCGCTGGCTTGTCCAGTCTTGCACAGAGCACGGGTCAGCTCGGGGGGAGCCGAGCACACGGGCATGGACGCAGCTGCGGGGCCCCGGCACCAGAGCACGGCCCGGGGACCTGGCAGCCTGGCCTTGGCGGTTCTCGGAAGGCCCGAGAGGCCGGAGACTGGCCTCCCGGGCGCGAGCTGAGTGGGCCGCACGGGTCGCTCTGCGGACGGGACGGGGTACCAGAGTGGTGCCAGGGGACAGAGCCCGCCCCAAAGGCCAGAGAATATTCCCGAGGCGACAGCCTGGGGACGCAGAGGACACGCTCGCGGCGGCCTGGAGTCAGCAGGCGGCGGCTCGCGGAGGGGGAGGTCGGTGGAGACGCTGCCCGGGCCTGGGGGCGCACAGGCTCTGGGCCTCTGCCTGGGCGGGGGTGACTTAGAATCGAGGCTCCGCGGGCGGCCTGTCCACTCAGCGGGCGGCGCCGACGCTGCTGGGGAAGCAGAGACAGAAAGTCACGCATCTGATGCAGAAACTGACTCCAGAGGCCCAAGCCCCCGAGGGCATCCCGTGGGGAGAGCCCGGCAGGAGCCGGGAGACCCGGGACTCGGGCCCGGGCAGAGACGTCTTGGTGCCCACCCTGGCCTGGGCAGAGGGTCTGGTCGGGGCGGCCTGGAGGCTGGGCGCGGGGTCAGCGCGGGCGCGCCGGGCCGCGGGCTGCAGCCCTGGGAGGACTCCGTTTGCCCAGTGACTCAGTAGACAAACAGCGAGCCTGACTCAGGGCCCCGCCGTAAAACCAAACTTGCCCTCTGACCCTCCTTGCCCGCCCGCCCGCCTTGGACATCCGGGTGTTTCCCGCCGGGTATGCGGGCCCCCACCCTGCCAGCAGGCCAGGTCTGGGGGGGCGGGAGCCCCCGGCCTTCGTGTTCTTGGGGTGACAGCTCTGAGCCAGGGGCCGTAACCCCTTTCCCAGAGCGGAGCCTGAGACGCAGGAGGGCAGCAGGGGCCGTAGGGCTGCGGGGCTGGGCAGTCGGGGCCTGTGACATTCGGGGTGCAGGTGTCAGCCCTGGGCCGGAGGCTGCTCGACGGGGGCCGCGTCCACTCTGCAGCTGCCCCTCCAGGTGCCTGAGGGCACTGCTGGGTCTGGGCGGGTTCCTGGCAGGGCTGTCCCTGCTCCCTCTGTCCGTGGAGGGAGGGCTGGGCCTGCAGCCTGGGGCGGGAAGGCAGGGCCCCAGCCACGGGCCGCAGTGCCGCCTGCCCACGACACCCCTTGGGGCAGCAGGGAGGCGACATGGGGTGCTGGCCGGCGGCGCTGCCCAGACGGGGAGACCCCAAGGGCCAGGTGCTGCCCCGTGTGTGGACACCCGCCCAGTGCTCTGGGCTGCCGGCCCTGGGCTGGCCAGTTGTCCATCCTGCCCGCCTTGGCTTTGGTCCGGTTGCCATGACAAACAGGGTTATCAGATGCCACTTCCTGTTCCCAATCTGCGCTGCTGAGTGAGTCAGTGCCCTCGATAACCTGGAAGCCGCTGGAGCCAGCCCTGGGGCGCTGCCAGGACTTCAGTGCCCCCCCCCCGGGCCTCAGTGTCCCCCTCAGGCCTCAGTGCCCCCCTTAGGGCCTTGGGGTCCCCTCTGGCTTCAGTGTCCCCCTGGCCTTGGTGACCCCCTCAGGCCTCAGGGTCCCCCAGGGCTGCCACTGGTCTCCCATGAGCACATTTGCTGTCAGATCTGGGGGGAAACTGGGTTGGGTCCCCATGCCCAGTGTCCAGCTGTGTGTCCCCAGACCAGGTGACCCCTTTTCTGATGAGAAAACCAAGGCTCAGAGAAGCAGCCCCCGGCCAGCCTGGTCCTCGCGGCCTTCGTTGAGGACGAGGGAAGCTGCCCAAGGGGGACGCCCCAAACTGGGGCCTGGCGGGCAGGGGCCTGGAGGCCCCTCATGGGGGGCAGAGGGCCCACATGCAGGCCAACAGCAGCGGGGTCTCCGCGGGCACAGACCGGGCGGACGGGGGTGTGCACCAGCGGGCCTGTGCCCTCCTGCCAGCCTTCTGGGGACACGTCCCATCACCCAGCCTCACCTGGGATGAGTGCTGACCCACCTGCTGACCCTCGAGGCCTCCCCAGCACAGGGTCTGGGCCCAGGAACCTGCCCCTTGGCACCCGCCTTACCCCGCTGCCCCGGGACCTGGTGTCCAGCGCTGAGGCTGGGCAGGGGCCTGGAGGCGAGGAAGTGTCCACTGACCAGCCCACTGCTGGTCCACGCGGCCCCCCATGAGGGGCCTCCAGGCCAGGCCCCAGTTTGGGGCGTCCCCCTTGGGCAGCTTCCCTCGTCCTCAACGAGGGCCACATGGACCGGGCTGGCCGGGGGCTGCCTCTCTGAGCCTTGGTTTTCTCATCAGAAAAGGGGTCACCTGGTCTGGGGACACACATTTGGACACTGGGCATGGGGACCCACCTGCCCCGTGCTATCCACTGCCCTGTGAGACATGCCACCCCATGCTCAGCCCTCACTGCCCCCCCAGGTGGCCCGTGCCACGTGCAGCCACCCCTCAGGCCCTGGGCGGGGGCCAGGGTGGGAAGGTTCCTGCATCAGGGGACCCGGGAAGTTGGGGTTGGCCCCCAAGAGGCAGAGACAAAGCTCATGCCCCAGGCCCTGCTTCTGGGGTGCCCTGCTGGGCCCCCAGCTGCCACGCCTCTCCAGTGTGGGCACTGGCTCGGGCCGGGGAGCTGGGACCCCATGGGGCGGTGGGTAACCCACAGGGGTCACCCCACAGGGTGATGAGACGGTGGCCGGAGGCCAGTGGCCTCAGCTGCCTGTGACCACGGGCCACAGGGGCCAGCCGGAGCAGCACTGACAGCGGGGTCTGGCCTTGGGCTGCCCCAGGCCCCTGGGTGGCCCCCCGGCCGCAGGGTGCTGTGGCCCTTCAGGCCGGGGGATGTGGGGTCAGGCTGGAAGGGGTGCACCCTGGGCAGGAGCAGGACGGGCCCAGGGCCAGGCCCCACCCGCAAGCCTGCCCTCCTCGTGGGAGCGGCGCCCACTGTTTACCTGCCGAGGGGAGCTGGGCCGCCCCACCCTCCAGGCGTGCTCTGAGGGGACAGCGCTGGCTACAAAAGGCCCCTGCCCTCTCAGGGCCCTCCTAGAGGCTGCCCGGACTCGCCCTCCCACCATGGGTGTCGGCCGGAGGACGCCGGTCCCCCTCTGGGTCCTGGCTCTGGCCCTGGCCTGTGCCCAGCACACAGGTGAGGCCCCGAGGCCCGGCCCTGGGGTACACAGGCGGCTAAGCGCCCCGGGCCTGCCTGCTCCCTGGCTCCAGGGTCTCGTCCACCTGGGCCCCTCTGCCACTCACTGTCCTCTGGCCCTGCCCTCCGGGGCCCCAGGACCCAGCCAGCCTATCGGGGCTGCCCACCTGCTCCTGGGCTTCCTCAGGATCCCAGCCTACTGGGCCTCGCTGGGCCTCAGGGGCGTCTCAGCCTCAGCTGGAGGGGGACAGGGCTCCCTGCCCCCCTCCTGGGGCACAGGTGGTCAGAGCGGGTGGGAGATGCTCCCGGAGGCCCGGGGCGGTAGGGCCCAGGGCCCTGCAGGTGCCGGGGGCTGCCCCATCCTTGGCCCTGCCTCTGAGGACCCAGACATTCTCTCCTGCTGGTCCCGGCCCCGGCCTGGCCCCACGCACCTCGGCCCGGAGCCCGGCCCCTCCTCATGGGCCACGGTGACCTGCGCTGCCCCGTTCGACCTCACCAGGCCGCGGCCACCCGAACCACGTCTGGATGGGTCAGGGAACAGCCCCCGTCCGGTCAGGGCTGGGCACCCCAGCTGCTCAGGGCCCCACTCACACTCTGGGGTGCGGCTCAGCCCAGAGACAGCGGCCCCTGCTCAGCCCACACCCTCTGCGCCCGCAGGCCTGGCCCAGCTCGGCTCCGCGGACCTTGGCCACCCGGACCTCCCTCCCGCGCCCCCCAGACCTGGCGGTGAGTCCGCGGCCGACAGAGCCGCCCGCCCCTCACAGAGCAAGGAGCCCCCAAGGGGCACTGATGACTCCCAGCTGGCACCCCCGGGGTCATCACTGGGGCTGGGGCCTGCGATCACCTGGAGGCTGCCCGAGGTGCCCCGTTGGTGGGGCGGGGGCGGCGGTGGCTGGAGACCCGGCCCGGCAGGCGTCTGTGCTCCCGGCCGAGCTCTGGGTGCTGCGGCAGGAGCATCGCAACCACCCTGCTGGGCCGGGGCGGGAGGCTCCTTGGCCCCCAGGGTGGGGCAGCCCAGGCACGACTCATGGGGCCACCTGCGCCTGGGCCGGACCGCCCGGTGCCCCATCGGCCAGTTTGGAACCCCTGACCCCCAGGGGCAAACAGCCCCGGGCAGTGGGTGAGGCCACGCGGGCCCTCGGGGAGCCCTGCCTAGGAGCTCGAGGAGCCTGGCCAGCCCCAAGGGGCAGCACTGGGGGGGCCCACACATGACCTGCCCCTGTGCCCACAGGCGACCCTGTGCGCGGGGCGACCCTCCTCCCGCCTCTGAGGACCGTGCCCGTGGTGCGAGGTGAGTGAGCCCAGCCTGGGCGCCCGGGGCCTCCCGCGGGCTCGGGTGCAGGTGGGTCTCGCCTGGCGCTGGGGCTCAGATGCCTGCGTGCCCCGCAGCCCTGAACCCCGCGCACCACGGCCGGGTGTGCAGCGCCTGGGGCGACTTCCACTACAAGACCTTCGACGGCGACGTCTTCCGCTTCCCCGGCCGCTGCAACTACGTGTTCTCCGCGCACTGCGGGGCCGCCTACGAGGACTTCAACGTGCAGCTGCGCCGCGGCCGGGACGGCGCTGCCTCCCTGAGCGGGGTCACCCTGAAGCTGGACGGCGTGGTCGTGCAGCTGACCAAGACCTCCGTGCTGGTCAACGGCAGCCCGTGAGTCAGGGCCTGGCCAGCGGGTGGCAGGAGGGATTGCGCAGCCTACAGCACTCCGGGGCCCCATCCCGTGGTCTGGGGGACCCTCCCTGACGTCCGGCCCTGCCTGCAGAGTCCAGCTGCCCTTCAGCCAGTCGGGGGTGGCCATCGAGCGCAGCAGCAGCCGCCTAAAGGTGGTGGCCCGTCTGGGTCTCGTCTTCATGTGGAACCAGGACGACAGCCTCCAGGTGGGGGCTCGGGGCCCCGGCGAGCACAGGCGGTGGGGGGGCGGGCTGCTGACCGGCCGGTGTGGGCTCAGGGCCCCGTGGTGGGTGGAGGGTCCGTGGGCCGAGTCCCCAGGGTCTGGGACTGTCCTTCCCATCCGGGAAGCCCCTGACGCGTGTCTTCTCCAGCTGGAGCTGGACGCCAAATACGCCAACCGGACCTGCGGGCTCTGTGGAGACTTCGACGGGGCCCCCGGCCTCGGGGGGCTCCTCTCCCACAGTAAGGCCCGCGCAGCGACCTCCACCGCTGTGCACCCTTACACCTGCCATGGGCGGCAACCCCTCTGACCCCGCCGGCCCAGCTCCCTTTCCGGCCCTGGCTCCCGTCCCCTCCTGTCCGAGCCCCTGGCCCTACTCTGCAGACCGCGAGGCCCTTGGGGGAGCCCCTGGGCTCTCTCCCGCCCTAGGGGAAGCTGCCCTGTGTGTCCTGGAGCTTAGCCTGGTTGCGAGGCAGGAGGGGGTGCGGGATGGGGCGCGGGGCAGGGCACAGGGGGCGGGGTGGGGCGCAGGGCCTGCAGCGGCCTCGCTGTGCCTCCTCAGACATCAGCGTGAACCCTGTGGAGTTCGGGAACCTGCAGAAGATGGACGGCCCCACGGAGCAGTGCTCAGATCCGGCCCCTGAGCCCCCGATGAATTGCTCCTCTGGATCTGTAAGATGGGGGCCAGCGGGGCACCCCCCACTCTGAGGTGGCGTGGAGCTGGGCCAGGGTGGGCGCTCAGCCTGGACTCCTGCCTTGCCCAGGGCGTCTGTGAAGACCTCCTGGGCAGCCGGCCCTTCGCGGGCTGCCACGGCCTGGTGGACACCAGCGGCTACCTGGAGGCCTGCCGGCATGACCTCTGCACCTGCGAGCAGGCCGACCTCACCAGCTGTGTCTGTGACACCCTGGCCGAGTACGCCCGTCAGTGCGCCCATGCTGGGGGGCAGCCCCTGGACTGGAGGGGCCCGGACCTCTGCCGTGAGTGCCCCACCCAGCCCCCGCCCCTCCCCGGGGGGCCTGAGGCGGCGGTGCCTGACGTAGCCGTCCCCCCGCAGCCCAGACGTGCCCGCCCGGCATGCAGCACCGGGAGTGCGGCTCGCCCTGTGCCGACACCTGCTCCAACCCTGAGCGCAGCCGGCTCTGCGAGGACCACTGCGAGGACGGCTGCTTCTGCCCCGAGGGTGAGACGGGGTGGGGGTGGGGGCCTGCTCCCCCGGAGCCCCTGGCCTGCCCAGGCCCCTGGGCCCCAGGTCTGAGGGCCGCCTGAAGGGCAGGGCTGCCCTGGGCAGAGGGCACGCGTGGTGGGCACAGTCCAGCGCCTGCCTCACAGTCGGCCTGCCCCCCCAGGGACCGTGCTGGACGACATCGGCCAGGCAGGCTGCATCCCCATGTCCCAGTGCTCCTGCGTGCACAACGGGGCCACCTATGCCCCAGGCACTGGCTACTCCACCGACTGCACCAACTGGTAGGGCCCTGGCCCCAAGCCCTGGACGGCCCAGCCCCGGCCCCCTGGATGTGCCCTGGCTTGGCCTTTTGGGGCTGTGCCCTGGGCACCAGCTGTTCACCTCCACAAAGGGCCCCTGGGCCTGGATGGCCTGGCAGGACCGCCTGGTGCTGTGCTTGGCTTGGGTAACGCCCACCCCTCTGCCCCCAGCACCTGCTTCGCCGGCCGCTGGAGCTGCCAGGAGGGGCCGTGCCCAGGCACCTGTGCGGTGGTGGGCGGTGCCCACTTCTCCACGTTTGACCAGAGGCAGTACACAGTGCACGGGGCCTGCAGCTACGTGCTGGCCAAGGTACGGCAGGCCTGGCCGCGCGAGGACCCTGTGCAGCTGCCCCGGGGCCACCTGGGTCTGGCCGAGTGTCCAGAGAGAGCCCAGCGCCAGTCCCCGGGGCCAGGGTGGGGGAGGGGTGGCAGGGCCTGTGGGTGGCGCTGACCTGAGGACACGTCCGCAGTCCTGCGAGAGCAGTGCCTTCTCCGTGCTGGCCGAGCTGCGCAGGTGCGGGCTGACCGACAGTGAGACCTGCCTGAAGGCCGTGACGCTCAGCCTGCACGGCGGGGACACGGTGAGTGCAGACTGGGGGGCCTGCCCGCGCCCCAGCCCTGAGCCCCAGCCCTGAGCCCCAGCCCTGAGCCCCAGCCTGCACAGGACCTGCCCACACCTGCTCCCACCTGCTGGCTGTGTCCACCTCTCCTGGGTCTGCCAGTGACTGTCCCCGAACAGGACCCGCCAGGAGCTTGCCTGCGTCCAAACCTGCCTGGCCCAGGGAGGAGGGACAGGGCGCCCTCGCCCAGGTCTCTGCTCTCTGAAATGGCTTTTACAAGGTTGTGAGAACACACAGCCGGGGGGCTCAGCCGCAGCCCAGCCGGGCAGAGGCCGGTCAGTGGCCAGCCGTTGGGCAGGGCGGCCTGGCACCTTCGCGGCCTCCGGTGGGGCGGACGCCGGCACTAGCACCCGCTCTGCTGCTCCCAGGTCGTCGAGATCAAGGCCAGCGGGGAGGTGTTCGTGAACCAGATCTACAGCCAGCTGCCCGTCTCTGCAGGTGAGGCCGCTGGCCGGCCGCTGGGGCTGGGGGCGGGGGGCGGGGTGGGGTGGGGGGACTGAGATCCCGGCCACCGGGCCCGCCCTCTGTGTCCTCAGCCAACGTCACCCTCTTCCGGCCGTCCACCTTCTTCATCATCGCCCACACTGACCTGGGTCTGCAGCTGGAGGTCCAGCTGGTGCCCACCATGCAGGCGTTCGTGCGGCTGGTGCCCAAGCTCCAGGGACGGACCTGCGGTGAGGGGACCCCGCGCCCACGCCCCGCCCGTCGCCCGCCCTGGCCCGGCAGGGCCTGACCACCCCCCGCCTGCCCCCCCCAGGACTCTGCGGGAACTTCAACCAGAACCGGGCCGACGACTTCCGCACGCTCAGCGGCGTGGTGGAGGGCACGGCCGCCGCCTTCGCCAACAGCTGGAAGACGCAGGCCACCTGCCCCGACGTCCGGAACAGCTTCGAGGACCCCTGCGCGCTCAGCGTGGAGAACGGTGCGCCCCCCACCCTGCCCCGTGCTGCGGGCTTGTCCACCTGCTGGGCGGGGTGGGGCGAGGCCGAGGATGGGCACCCCGCCTGCCCGCCACGCTGGGGCCCGCGGGTGCCGGGGGATGCTGCTGCTGGAGCATCGGGGTCCAGCCAGCGGGCACCCCGGCCTCTGGGCGCTGACCACCGTCCCCACCCACAGAGAAGTATGCCGAGCGTGGGTGCTCCCGGCTGACCGATCCCCAGGGCCCCTTCGCACGCTGCCACGCGGTGCTGAGCCCCAGCACCCACTACTCGGTGAGCCCCCCGGTGCCAGAGGGCGTGGGCGGCCTGGGCCTGCCCCTCCCGCTCGCTGCTCAGCAACCCCATCTCCGTGGCCGAGGCGTCTCGTGCCCGCCACGGCAGGCGTGGGGGCTGAACCCCAAGCTGAGGAGAGGGCTGGGGCGGCCAGGGGCTCTGTGCCGGGCCCCTGACCGCCCCCCGCCCCCAGAACTGCATGTTCGACACCTGCAACTGCGAGAAGAGCGAGGACTGCATGTGCGCGGCCCTGTCCTCCTACGTGCGCGCCTGCGCCGCCCTGGGCGTGCTGCTGGACGGCTGGAGGGACGGCGTCTGCAGTGAGTGCCCCGCGGGGGCCCCCGGGAGCACCCGCACCCCACTGACCACCCACGTGGGGCCTGTGGGCCGGGCGTGCTGTGGGGATTCTGCAGGGAGTGTCTGGGCCCAGGGCCGGCCCACCCTCCTCCCCGGGCGGCTCAGGCAGGCTTGCGGGGTCTGGGCACCCACCCCAGGCTGTGTACTGAGTGCTGCTCTGTCCTGGCACCCCCCAGCCACGCCCACGACCACCTGCCCCAAGTCGCTGAGCTACCAGTACCACATCAGCTCCTGCCAGCCCACCTGCCGAGGCCGGGCCCACGAGGACGCAGCCTGCGGGGTCAGCTTTGTCCCTGTGGACGGCTGCACCTGCCCCCAGGGCACCTTCCTGGATGACTCGGGCGCCTGTGTGCCCCCTGAGGCCTGCCCTTGCTACCACAGGGGCTCTGTGGTCCCCAATGGGGAGTCGCTGTACCAGAACGGGGCCATCTGGTGAGTGTCCCTGCTGCGGGGCGGGGTGGGGTGGGGCGGGGCGCCAGGACACCCCTGACCACCCTCTCCTTGCAGCACTTGCACGCGGGGGACACTGACGTGCATTGGAGGCCAGGCTCCCGCCCCAGGTGAGCTAGAGAGAGGGCACCCGAGGATCTGCCCGCGAGGCTCTGGGGGTCAGTGTCTCCCGGTCCTTGGGCAGCATTTGTGCCAGGCGAGGCCCTCAGGCCCCCTCACTGTGCCCATGCACACGTGCCCCACACCCGGGCAGCCACGGAGGCCCTGCGGACAGCAGGCAGGCCCTGACCGCCCCTCTCTGCAGCCTGCGTGGCCCCCATGGTGTACCTGGACTGCCGCAACGCCACGCCCGGGGCCAGCTGCCGGAGGACCTGCCACACGCTGGACGTGGACTGCGTGAGTGCCCACTGTGGCCCTGGGAGGGTGTGGGGTGGGGAGCGGCTGGCCAGGCCCAGGCGTTGCACAGAGGGGGGTGGCCGGGCCAGGGCCCATGGCGTCCTCTGCTCCCTACAGTACAGCCTGGAGTGTGAGCCCGGCTGCGTGTGCCCCGAGGGGCTGGTGGCCGACGGGCAGGCGGCTGCGTGGCGCCAGCGGACTGCCCCTGCATGCACAACGAGGCCAGCTACAGGCCTGGCCAGGCCGTCCGGGTGGGCTGCAACACCTGGTAGGTGGGGCCCCTGGGGGCAGGTGTGGGGACCCTGGGGTGCAGCCGGCCCTGACACCCCTTGGGAGCCTCAGGCCCGGCCCCGGCTGACCGGTGCCCCCCACCCCAGCACATGTCAGGGCGGCCGGTGGCAGTGCACGGACGAGCCCTGCCTGGCCACTTGCGCTGTGTACGGGGACGGCCACTACCTGACCTTCGACGGGCAGCGCTACAGCTTCAGCGGGGACTGCGAGTACACGCTGCTGCAGGTGGGCGCGGGGACGGCCTGGGGGGGACCCTGCCTGACCGCACGGCCCTGGACACCACCCCTCCCCTCCCCAGGACCACTGCGGCGGGAACGGCAGCGCCCAGGAAACCTTCCGCGTCGTCACCGAGAACGTGCCCTGTGGCACCACGGGCGTCACCTGCTCCAAGGCCATCAAGATCTTCCTGGGGGTGAGCGGGCCCCCCGGGCGCGGGCTGAGCAGGGCCGGGGGGGGCCAGGGGCCCCTCGCCAGGATGGGCCTGAGCGACCCTCCCTGCGTGCAGAGCTACCAGCTGCGGCTGAGCGACGGGAAGGTGGAGGTGACGGAGAGGGCCGCGGGCCAGGCGGCGCCCTACACCCTCCGCCAGATGGGCGTCTACCTGGTGGTGGACACGCAGGCCGGCTTGGTGCTCCTCTGGGACAAGAAGACCAGCGTCTTCCTCAGACTGAGCCCCGAGTTCAAGGTGAGGCCCTCGGTGGACGGCTCCCCACCCAGAGCAGCAGCCCCTGGAAACAGGTCGGGGGTGCCGGGGACAGGGACACAGACCGCGGCCGCCCCCGGCACCCCCGCGGTGTCCCCGTGGCCCCCGTGCGGCCCTGGGCCCGAGCGCCCCTCACGGCGCCCCCACCGCCCGTGTCCCCCAGGGCAGGGTCTGCGGGCTGTGCGGGAACTTCGACGACAACGCGGCCAACGACTTCACCACGCGCAGCCTGTCCGTGGTGGGCGACGCGCTGGAGTTCGGCAACAGCTGGAAGTTCTCCCCGTCCTGCCCCGACGCCCCGGCCCCCCAGGACGCCTGCAGCGTCCACCCGAACCGCCGCTCCTGGGCGCAGAAGCAGTGCAGCGTCATCCACGGCCCCGCCTTCGCCGCCTGCCGCGCCCACGTGTGTCCCCGGCCCCGGGGCGGGGGGCAGCGGGGCCCGCAGGGGGCCGCGCAGGGGCCTGGGCTGGCCTTGAGCTCCGGGAAACCGCGGCCTCTGCCCCCAGGTGGAGCCGGCCGGGTACTACGAGGCCTGCGTGAGCGACGCCTGCGCCTGCGACCTGGGCGGCGACTGCGAGTGCTTCTGCACGGCCGTGGCCGCCTACGCCCAGGCCTGCCACGACGTGGGCGTGTGCGTGGCCTGGCGCACCCCCGACATCTGCCGTGAGTCGGGCGTCCGCGGGGCTGGGGCGGGGTGCGGGCGGCGGCGGGGCCGGGGCTGCAGCTGGCCCCCAAGGAAGCCCCTGGGACTGGGACCCAGGGCCAGCCCTGTCCGGGCCGGGGGCAGCCCGTGAGGCCGCCCACCCCAGCAGGTGTCCCCAGGAAGCCAGAGCCTCGAGCGCCCACGCCCCGCCCAGCCCCCCGCTGGCGTTCTGGGCCCTCCCAGGCCATGTCCGAGACCACCTCAGAGCAGCCGCGGGCTGGGCGCAGGGGCTCACGCGGAGGACACCCCTGCCCACAGCCTTGTTCTGCGACTACTACAACCCCGAGGACCAGTGCGTGTGGTTCTACCAGCCCTGCGGGACGCCCTGCGTGCGGACCTGCCGGAACCCCAGCGGGCACTGCCTGCATGACGTGCCCGGACTGGAAGGTGGGTGCTGGTGCTGGTGCTGGCAGCCCCCACCCTGGGGCTCGGAGCTGGCCGGGCTCTGCCCTGTGAACCTGTAGCAGGACCAGGGCCTGTCCTGGGAGCCTTGGCCAGGCTGGGCTTTCCCAACCCCTTTTGCCTTTGGGGGTGCAGCCTCTAGCTCCCCAGGCTCCAGGACCCAGTCCAGGGCTGGGGGCCGAGCCGAGGCTGTGGGGGTGGGGTGGCAGGCCCGCCTGTCTGGCGGGCACTCAGGCCTCTCTGGCCCACAGGCTGCTACCCCAAGTGCCCCCCAGAGACCCCCATCCTTGACGAGGACCAGATGAAGTGTGTGGCCACGTGCCCCATGCCCCCGCCCCGCCCCACTGCCTCGTGCAGGGCAAGCTCTACCAAATCGGTGCCAGGGTGCCCTCCAAGGAGAACTGCCAGTACTGGTGAGTTGTTGGGGGGCAGGGCGGGGCTTGCTCCCCAGAGAAAGGCCCCCCACGGCCTTGCCTCCTCAGGGCCCGCCTGTATCTCCTGCAGCCCGGCAGGGAGCCTTGTCGCTAGATGAGGCTGGGGTCCGGGGTGCAGGGGGGGGATGGACGGGTGGGGTGAAGGGCACCCGCGAGCCCCTGGGGCAGATGCCCTGGACAGCAGTGACGCCCGGGCCCTCAGGCATGCCAGACCCCGCCCATCGGACACTGGCGGGAGGGGTCCTCTGAGCGGGCGCCCGGCACAGCGGGGGTGCCCCGCACCCCTGGACTCACCTTGCCCCACCCGTCACCAGCAACTGCACCGAGGGAGGCGTGCAGTGTGTCTACGACGCTCAGGGTGAGCACGGCAGCTGCGGGGCCTGCCTGGGGGGGGGCGGGGGCCGGGGCCCTCCCAGCCCCTAACCCGCTGTCCCCGCAGCCTGCGTGTGCATCTACGACGGGCGGTCCTACCCCCCCGGGGAGATCATCTACAACACCACGGACGGCACCGGGGGCTGCATCTCCGCCCGCTGCGGGCACAACGGCACCATCCACACGGAGGTGTTCCCCTGCGGCTCCTCCACCCCCGTGCCCCCCACCGTCTTCTCCTTCTCCACGACCCCGCTCGGTGAGTGGCCCGGGCAGTGGGCCCGTCGGAGCGGGTGGAAGTCGCAGGTCGGCCGCCCGGTCCCATCCGCGGCGGGCAGTGTCCGGGGCCCCGGGGGCAGGAGAGGGGGAGAGGCAGGCCCCCGCCGGGGGGACGGGGCGACCCAGCCCGCTCCGGCCCTAGTGACCGCCCTCCACCCTCTCTGCCTTCAGCCGTGAGCTCCACGCCCCCGCCTGTCACTCATCCCGAGAGCACCCCAAGCCCCAGCCCAGCCACCACCGAGCCCTGGCCCTGCGGGGAGGAGTGCCAGTGGTCGCCCTGGCTGGATGTCAGCCGCCCGGGACGGGGTGCCGACAGCGGCGACTTCGACACGCTGGACAACCTCCGCGCCCACGGGTACCGGCTATGCCAGGCGCCCAGGGCTGTGCAGTGCCGGGCCGAGGACGCCCCCGAGGTGCCGCTGCAGGTGCTGGGGCAGCGTGTGGTCTGCAGCCCGGCCACGGGGCTGGTCTGCCGCAACAGGGACCAGGCTTCCGGGCTGTGCCACAACTACCAGATCAGGGTCCAGTGCTGCACCCCCCAGCCCTGCTCCACGCCCCCGGGCCCTTCCAGAACCAGCGCCAGCAGCCCATCCTCGCCGGTCCCCAGCCCCACCCCCCTCTCCACCACCAGCACGTCCACCCCGGCCACCGTGTCCACGGACACACCGACCCCGACATCCTGCCTGCAGAATCGCTGCTCCTGGACCGAGTGGATCGACGGCAGCTACCCCCAATCCGACAGAAACGGGGGGGACTTCGACACTTTCCACAACCTGAGGGCCAAGGGCTACAAGTTCTGCCAGAGGCCCAAAGCCGTGGAGTGCAGGGCCGAGAGCTTCCCCGACACCCCGCTGGCCCAGCTGGGGCAGAACCTGCTGTGCAACACGCAGGTGGGGCTGCTGTGCCTGAACAAGGACCAGCTCCCGCCCATCTGCTACAACTACGAGATCCGGATCCAGTGCTGTGAGTGGGTGAACGTGTGCGGGACCAGCACCACCGCCCCGGCCTCTACTCCCACAAGCACAACCTCCTCTCCCACGACCAGCACAACCTCCTCTCCCACGACCAGCACGACCTCTTCTCCTACGACCAGCACAACCTCTTCTCCCACGACCAGCACAACCTCCTCTCCCACGACCAGCACAACCTCTTCTCCTACGACCAGCACCTCCTCTCCTACGACCAGCACAACCTCTTCTCCCACGACCAGCACAACCTCCTCTCCCACGACCAGCACAACCTCTTCTCCCACGACCAGCACAACCTCCTCTCCCACAACCAGCACAACCTCTTCTCCTACAACCAGCACAACCTCTTCTCCCACGACCAGCACAACCTCCTCTCCCACGACCAGCACAACCTCCTCTCCCACGACCAGCACAACCTCTTCTCCCACGACCAGCACAACCTCTTCTCCCACAACCAGCACAACCTCCTCTCCCAACCAGCACAACCTCCTCTCCCACGACCAGCACAACCTCTTCTCCCACGACCAGCACAACCTCTTCTCCCACGACCAGCACCTCTTCTCCCACGACCAGCACCTCTTCTCCCACGACCAGCACAACCTCTTCTCCCACGACCAGCACAACCTCTTCTCCCACGACCAGCACAACCTCCTCTCCCACGACCAGCACAACCTCTTCTCCCATGACCAGCACAACCTCCTCTCCCACGACCAGCACAACCTCCTCTCCCACGACCAGCACCTCTTCTCCCACGACCAGCACAGTCTCTTCTCCCATGACCGTGACCTCCATCCCCACCCCCCTCTCCACCACCAGCACGTCCACCCCGGCCACCGTGTCCACGGACACACCGACCCCGACATCCTGCCTGCAGAATCGCTGCTCCTGGACTGAGTGGATCGACGGCAGCTACCCCCAATCCGACAGAAACGGGGGGGACTTCGACACTTTCCACAACCTGAGGGCCAAGGGCTACAAGTTCTGCCAGAGGCCCAAAGCCGTGGAGTGCAGGGCCGAGAGCTTCCCTGACACCCCGCTGGCCCAGCTGGGGCAGAACCTGCTGTGCAACACGCAGGTGGGGCTGCTGTGCCTGAACAAGGACCAGCTCCCGCCCATCTGCTACAACTACGAGATCCGGATCCAGTGCTGTGAGTGGGTGAACGTGTGCGGGACCAGCACCACCGCCCCGGCCTCTACTCCCGCAAGCACAACCTCCTCTCCCACGACCAGCACAACCTCCTCTCCCACGACCAGCACGACCTCTTCTCCCACGACCAGCACCTCTTCTCCCACAACCAGCACAACCTCTTCTCCCACGACCAGCACCTCTTCTCCCACAACCAGCACAACCTCTTCTCCCACGACCAGCACCTCTTCTCCCACAACCAGTACAACCTCTTCTCCCACGACCAGCACAACCTCTTCTCCTACGACCAGCACAACCTCTTCTCCTACGACCAGCACAACCTCTTCTCCTACGACCAGCACAACCTCTTCTCCCACAACCAGCACAACCTCTTCTCCCACGACCAGCACAACCTCCTCTCCCACGACCAGCACAACCTCCTCTCCCACGACCAGCACGACCTCTTCTCCTACGACCAGCACCTCCTCTCCCACGACCAGCACAACCTCTCTTCTCCCACAACCAGCAACCTCTTCTCCCACGACCAGCACCTCTTCTCCCACGACCAGTACAACCTCTTCTCCCACGACCAGCACCTCTTCTCCCACGACCAGCACAACCTCTTCTCCCACGACCAGCACCTCTTCTCCCACGACCAGCACCTCTTCTCCCACGACCAGCACCTCTTCTCCCACGACCAGTACAACCTCTTCTCCCACGACCAGCACCTCTTCTCCCACGACCAGTACAACCTCTTCTCCCACGACCAGCACCTCTTCTCCCACGACCAGTACAACCTCTTCTCCCACGACCAGCACCTCTTCTCCCATGACCAGCACCTCTTCTCCCACGACCAGTACAACCTCTTCTCCCACGACCAGCACCTCCTCTCCCACGACCAGCACGACCTCTTCTCCCACAACCAGCACCTCTTCTCCCACGACCAGCACCTCTTCTCCCACGACCAGTACAACCTCTTCTCCCACGACCAGCACCTCTTCTCCCACGACCAGCACAACCTCTTCTCCCACGACCAGCACCTCTTCTCCCACGACCAGCACAACCTCTTCTCCCACGACTAGCACAACCTCTTCTCCCACGACCAGCACCTCTTCTCCCACAACCAGTACAACCTCTTCTCCCACGACCAGCACCTCTTCTCCCACGACCAGTACAACCTCTTCTCCCACGACCAGCACCTCTTCTCCCACGACCAGCACAACCTCTTCTCCCACGACCAGCACCTCTTCTCCCACGACCAGCACAACCTCTTCTCCCACGACCAGCACAACCTCTTCTCCCACGACCAGCACCTCTTCTCCCACGACCAGCACAACCTCTTCTCCCACGACCAGCACAACCTCTTCTCCTACGACCAGCACAACCTCTTCTCCCACAACCAGCACAACCTCTTCTCCCACGACCAGCACCTCTTCTCCCACAACCAGCACAACCTCTTCTCCCACGACCAGCACCTCTTCTCCCACAACCAGTACAACCTCTTCTCCCACGACCAGCACAACCTCTGCTCCTACTACAGAGACACACCCCCCGACACACTCGACCACGGACTGCCAGCCCCAGTGCACGTGGACCAAGTGGTTCGATGTGGACTTCCCGGCTCCCGGGCCCCACGGAGGGGACTTTGAAACCTACAACAACATCGTGAGCAGGGGAGAGAAGATGTGCCGGAAGGAGTACGTCACACACCTGGAGTGCCGGGCTGAGAACCACCCCGAGGTCAGCATCGACCAGCTGGGCCAGGTGGTGCAGTGCCGGCCGGACGTGGGCCTGGTGTGCTGGAACCAGGACCAGGAGGGCCCGTTCAAGATATGTCTCAACTATGAGGTCCGCGTGCTATGCTGTGAGCCCCGGGAAGGCTGCCCGATGCCCTCCCATATTGTTGCAGCTACCAGCACCCCAAGTGTGAGCATCACCAGCCAAACTGAGACCACATCCAGCACAACCTCTGTACCAACAACCAGCACAGCCTCTACTCCCACAACCAGCACAGCCTCTACTCCCACAACCAGCACAGCTTCTACTCCCACAACCAGCACAGCCTCTACTCCCACAACCAGCACAGCCTCTACTCCCACAACCAGCACAGCCTCTACTCCCACAACCAGCACAGCCTCTACTCCCACAACCAGCACTCTCACCCCCACGACCCTGGTCGTGACCCCAATCGCCACCACACCCTGCTACTGCAGCGTGTCCGGAAAGCTCTACCGAGGGGGTAAGTGACCTGCGAGCGTGTGCTGGCCCTGACCCCTGCGAGGAGTGGGGGGGGGGTGTCCCTGGGCTTGGGGACAAGGTGGCGGCGCCCAGAGAGCAGAGGAAACTGCTGGGCGCTCCACTCACCACCACGGTCGGTTGGGCAGGTGGGGTCGGGTGGAGCCGCCGCCTCCCAGCACCGCACCCTCTGCCCACAGGATCTGTCATTTATGAGAAGACCGACCTCGCTGGCAACTGCTACTACGCGGTGTGCACCCTGGACTGCCACGTGGTCAGGGGCACCGGCTGCCAGACCAGCACGCCCGCCCAGCACGCCAGCACGCCCGCCCACCACACCAGCACGCCCACCCAGCACACCAGCACGCCCGCCCACCACACCAGCACGCCCGCCCCCACGGCCACCACCCCTTCCGTCTGCAAGATCATCCCCCCACTACAGGTAACTGTCCTCCCCTCCGGGGCCAGGCTGCAGCGGGACGCGGCGTCCTCTGTCAGGCTGAGGCCTCCCACGGCCTGCAGGCCGGCGGTGCGGTCCACCCGGGGAAGAGGCGCAGAGCCCGACCACACCGGCGGGTCAGGCGGCGGAGGCGGGGTCGTGGTCGTGCGGCACAGCCTGGGAGGGCAGCTCGCGTGCTGGCTGCAGTGCTGGGGGGACCCCCACCACATCCCCAGGGCCTGGGGCAGCTCAGGACACAGACTGGAGACGCCTCGGCGGGCACAGCGGGCGGGCATGGGGGCCACACTGGACCCCCATTCTCCCCCTGGGTCTCGGGGTCTGCGGTGGCGGGAGGCCTGACTGCAGCGGTCCTGGCTCTGCAGGTGGGACACAGCCGGACCCTGGCCAACTGCTCAGTGGTCACGTGCAAGGAAAACAACGTCATCTCCGTAAGCCCGCTGCACTGCCCGCCGCCCAAGGAGCTGACCTGCGCCAACGGCTACCCGGCCGTGCTGGTGACCGACGCGGGCAGCTGCTGCCCGAAGTACCAGTGCCAGTGTAAGCGGGAGCCGCGGGCGGGCGTTGTGCTCGGGCGCGCTGGGTGCGGGAGGGCGGCGCTGCGGGGGCCGGGGGGGTGAAGGCTGGGGGCGGAGGCCGTCCGGCGGGCACCGCCTGGACCGCTCTGGGGGCATGTCCCCCGACGCCCGACAGCCCTGCTGCCCCCGCGGGCGGCGGCGCTGAGTGCTCGGCTTGCAGGCGTGTGCAGCGGCTGGGGCGACCCCCACTACATCACCTTCGACGGCACCTACTACACCTTCCTGGACAACTGCACCTACGTGCTGGTGCAGCAGATCGTGCCGGTGTTTGGCCACTTCCGCGTGCTCATCGACAACTACTTCTGCGACGCGGAGGACGGGCTCTCCTGCCCGCAGTCCATCACCGTCGAGTACCGCCAGGCCCGCGTGGTGCTCACCCGCAAGCCGGTCCACGGGCTCATGACCAATGAGGTGGGCGTGCCCAGGGCTCCCGGGCGCGGGGTCGGGCAGCGGCGGGCCCGCTCACTCTGGCGCCCTCGCTGCCCGTGTCCAGATCCTCTTCGACAATGAGGTGGTCAGCTCCGGCTTCCAGAAGGACGGCATCATCATCTCCCAAATCGGCATCAAAATGTACGTGACCATCCCGGAGCTGGGCGTGCAGGTCATGTTCAGCGGCCTCATCTTCTCGGTGGAGGTGCCCTTCAGCAAGTTCGCCAACAACACCGAGGGCCAGTGCGGTGAGCGCCGCCCTCACCCGTCCACACCCGCTGGCGGCTCGGAGGGCGCCGGGGCCCGACTGGCCGGCCCCGCCCCGCCCCCAGCCCCCTCCCCTGCTTCCGACTGGGTCCTTTGCCTGGTCAGCAAATGTGGCTGAGTGTTGGGGTGAGCGGGCCCCCTGGGCGAGGCTTGTGGGGGGAAGGCCTCGTGCGCTCCGCGAGCCTGCGGGTGCTCTCCAGCGCACAGCGAGAGCTGTCCCAGGCCCCAGGGCTGCGCTGCCCCGGCCTGCCGGGAGGCCCCCCTTCACCCTCCACGGAACTGCCCCGGGTCTGCTCTGGGCCAGCGCTGCCCAGTGACCCCGACGCGGTGCCGGGACCTGCGCCCCGGATGGTGGTGCGCTGCGGCCCCGCCCTGACCCGCCTCCCGCCGCAGGCACCTGCACCGATGACCTGAGGGACGAGTGCCGCCTGCCCGGGGGGACTGTGGTCTCCTCCTGCTCAGCCATGGCTGGCCACTGGAAAGTGATAGACTCCAACCAGTCGTTCTGCCTCGGGCCACCCCCGACGCCCACCCTGAAGCCCCCCACGCCCTGCCAGCCCTCGCCCCTCTGCAAGCTGATCCTGAGCGAGTGAGAGGCGCGGGGGGAGGGGAGGGCAGGGCTGCGGGGGCCCCTGAGGGAGAGGGAGGAGAGCCCCAGCCGTGGCCACCCTTCCCCCCCCCCGTCGGGCCTGGATGCCGGGCGCTTGGCGTGCAGGGTGAGGGAGGCCCACGGAGAAGGTACAGAAAAGGGGGGGGCCGCGCTGCCACGCCCTCTCAGCGCGACCCACACCCCTGTGCGCAGCGTCTTCCAGAAGTGCCACTCCGTGGTCCCCCCGCGGCCCTACTACGAAGGCTGCGTGTTCGACCAGTGCTACATGGCGCTCGCGGACGTGGTGTGCTCCGGCCTGCAGCTGTACGCCGCGCTCTGCGCCGCCAACGGCGTGTGCGTGGACTGGCGGCCCTGGACCAACCACACGTGCGGTGAGGCCTGGGACGGCGCCCGGGGGCGTCCTGGAGGCCGCAGGCCCGGCCCTGGGTGGTGCGGGACACCCCCGGGTTCCGCCGGCGTCGGGGCTCGGGGGCCCAGCGCTGGGGGCGCGCCCCTGGCTGGTGCCCTCCTGCTCAGGGGCGGTTCTCTGCGCAGACTTCCCCTGCCCTGCCGGCAAGGAGTACCAGCCCTGCGGACCGTCCAGCCCCACCTACTGCTATGGGACTGCCAGCACCAGCCTCATGTAGGTGCCCCAGCGCTCAGGCCCCCCATCCCTGCCCCCCCCATGCAGGGAGCAGGCCCCAACCCTCTGCCTCCTGCTCACAGGATCCTGGAGGAGGCCGGGGACTTCACAGAGGGCTGCTTCTGCCCCCAGGGCACCATGCCCTTCAGCGCTCAAGCCGACATCTGCGTGCCCGCAAACTGTACCGGTATGTCCAGGGTGTGGGCAGCAGGGAAGCCTTCCACCTGCTCCCCGGGGCCTCCCTGGAGGGCAGGGCCGCTGCACCCCAGGTGAGCGCTCTCTTTCCCCCTAGAATGCCTGGGGCACCATGGAGAGCCTGTGGAGGTGAGTGGGCACGCTGGGGCGGGGCTCCAAGGAGGGGAGAGGCCATCCAGGACGCAGGTGGCCGCCCTGGACGTGCCCGCCCCCAGGGTGGCCGGGAGCCCCGCGCCAGGCCCACCCTGCTCTCCACTCTGATGCTCCGAGGGTGGAGGTGGGGGGACGCGCCCCCTGCCCCTGCCCCCTGGCCTGGCCGAGCCCCTGCAGCAGCCAAGCACCCCCCTCCTCTGCTGCCCTCGCGGCCGGCCGCCGGGCTCACCAGCGTCTCCTGTGCAGCCGGGCCAGACCGTCACCGCCGACTGCCAGGAGTGCACCTGCCACGGGCCCACCCGGACGCTGCAGTGCCGCCGGCAGCCCTGCCCGGCGCCCCTCCCCTGCCTCATCCCTGGCTTCGTGCCTGTGCCCACCGCCCTGCTGCCCGGCCAGTGCTGTCCCGACTACAGCTGCGGTGAGCGCGGGCGCCCACTCAGGGCCGGCTGGCCGTGCACGCGGGCCAGGGGCGCTGGCGTCTGGGGAGCGCTGCGGGGTGGGGGGCTGGCGGCACCCACTGTGGGCTCTAGGGCGTGGGCGCCCCCGATGGGGAGCCTTGTCTCGGGGCAGCCGGGATCCCCCCCACCCCGGCAGTCAGCTCTCTGGAGCCCCAGGAGGGGCGGGCTGGGGGCGTGCGCAGGGCGCGGGCCTGAGCCCTCTTCCCGCCACTGCAGACTGCAACACCAGCTACTGCCCCCCGCCTGCTAAGTGTCCCCCAGGCTTCCGCCAGGAGCTGACCCACGAGGACGGGGCCTGCTGCCCCATCGAGACCTGCAGTGAGTGTCTGTCGCTCGGGGCTGGGAGAACCCGGGCCACTGAGCCCCGTCGCAGGGGGAGGGTGGGGGGCCTGGCGGGCAGCTCGGGGCTCAGCCTGCTGCTGTCTCCTGCCCAGGGCCTTCCGGCTGCAACGTCAACGGCACCGTGTACCAGGTGAGGCCCAGCCCCGCACAGAGGCCAGCACCTCCGAGCCGCCTGCACAGAGGAGGGCAGCTGGGGCCTCTCCCGGCTGGCCCTGTGCCCAGCGATACCCCGGGGCATGTCAGCCGGACGGGCTGGGCGGGGGGTCCTGGGGGGGCAGAAGGGGGGCACCACCCCGAGCTCACTGGCCCCTGTGCCCCACCTGCCCCAGCCTGGCGCCGTGGTCTACCAGAACCTGTGTGAAACCTGCAGATGTGAGGACAACTTCATGGTCCGTTGTAAGCTCGTCAAATGCAACACCACCAGCTGCCCCGTGGTGAGTGACCCCACAGCCCCTCAGGGCTTGTGGCGAGCAGCCCCACCCTGCCCACTGCCCAGCTGCCCCTCCCCGGCAGCCCCCAGCCCAGCTCAGGTGTGTGCCGCCCCCAGGGCTTCGAGTACCAGGTGCCGAGTGGCCGCTGCTGCGGGGTCTGCGTGCCGGTGGCTTGCGTCATAAACGGCAGCGACGGCTCCGTCCACCTCTTGAACGTGAGTGCTGCCCTGGCCTGGCCACGGGCGCCTGGGAGGGTCCGGTGGGCAGCCCGGGGGACCCAGATGGAGTGGGGGCGGCCAGCACACCCTCCCGGGGAGAGCCGGGGGCCTGGCCCAGGGCCGCTCCACCCCGGATGGCAACGCGCACCGGCCGCCAGGCCCTCACCCCCGCTGGGCCTCCTCGCAGCCGGGACAGAGCTGGACCGACCCCGGGAACCCCTGTGAGGTCCACGAGTGCGAGAGGCACCAGGGCAGGCTGGTGGTGGTGACCACGAAGAGGGCCTGTCCGCCCCTCCAGTGCCCCCTGGTGAGTCCAGGGCTGACCCCCCGCCTGCCGGTGTCCCAGCCCCTGTGCCTGGGGGTGAAGAGGCGCCGACACTGATGGCCCCCCTCTGTCCACCCAGGACGAGGCCCAGCTGAGTGAAGACGGCTGCTGCTACATCTGCCCCACACCTCCAAGTAAGTGGGGGCCTGGGGCGGCGGGTACCCTGCCCTGCCCTGCCCGGCGCTGACCCACTGGCTCTGCCCCAGTGTCCAGATGCGCCGTCCTCCGAGAGCATCAGGTCATCCGGCGCAACAACTGCAGCTCGGCTGGCCCCGTGCTCCTCTCGCGCTGCCAGGGCTACTGCGAGGACTCCTCCAAGTGCGTGAGCTGGGCCGCCGCGGGGGGCCTGGGGCCGGGTCGGGGAGGGACAGGAGGGACATGGGGTCACCACGCCCAGGCAGCCCCAGGGTCTGAGGAAACCAAGGGGCTGGACCAGGGTCCCAGAGGGCCTGTTCCGCCCAGGGGACCCCAGACTCCTGCACCCCTCCATCACCCCTCCGGCCCCCCGGCCCCCGCTGGGCCCCGTGCCCGCCCCTGCGGGCCTCAGCGGGCGGGTGGGCAGCGAGGCTGAGCGGTCCTGCCCGCAGGTACTCCCTGGAGGCCAACGTTCTGCAACGCCAGTGCTCGTGCTGCCAGGAGCTGCGCGTCTCGCGGCACAACGTGACCCTGCACTGCGCCGACGGCTCCCGCCAGGCCTTCAGCTACGTGCGGGCGGAGGAGTGCGCCTGCGCCACCCTGCGCTGCGGCCCCCACGGCGAGCTCGAGGCCCAGCCCGCGCTGAGCACGGGGCAGCCCTCCTCCCGGCGCCGCAGGAGCTGGGCGCGGGGCCCTGGGCCCCACCCGTGAAGCCGCCCCGGCCACCTCCCGCCCTTTCCCCAGCGCCCTGGCCCGAGGCCACGTCCCGACCCCCGGCGGCCGCGCCCGGCTCCAGCCCAACGGCGGCTGCCCTGCACCCCGACCCTGCCCGAGGCCGTGGCCTCACAAATACACTTGGCGCCTGCAGCTGTGGCTCCGTGTGGTGTTTGAGCTCGTCCGCGACACCTGGGAAACCTGGGCAGGGGCGCCCCATGCCCTCCACGTGGGGGGTGCTGCCCCCCAGGGCCTCAGGACTGTTTTTACCCCCTGACCAGGGAACCCCGGAAGCCTCGTCTTCTCTCCAGGGGCTCCGGTGCTCTCCCATCAGACACCGTGCAGGGTGTGCAGTGTGCCCGCGCACAGAGGGGCAAGGGAAGCCTGTAACCCCCAACCCGCCCTGAGAACCTCAGGGTTCCTCAAGCCCACGCTCTGCCCTGGAGGCAGCAGCGCGCCCCCAGGGCCCCAGGCTCCGCTGGCCTGGGCAGCATGTGGAGCAGGCCCAGGGTCTGGAGGCTGTCCTGGGCAGGGGAGGGTCGTGGCGGGAGCCCACTGTCTCCCAGGCCAGCCCTGGGGGTGCGGGAGGGAGGGGACGGGGTAGCACGGGTCAGCCTAGGCCTAGGTCAGTGCACAAAGGAGTACCCGGGGGGCCCCCAGCTCCCCGAGTCTTGAGTGTGGGGCGCCCAGAGCAGACCAGCCGGTAGGACCAGAGTGGCCAGCAGATGCGGCGAGGATGCCGGGCAGTGCTGGGCCCCAACCAGGCAGGAAGGCAGGACAGCGCTGGGCGCCCAGGGACGCCGGCATGCTCGGAGGGGCCAAGCGGGTGTCCGCTGTGACAGCGGGAGCGGGGCTCGCCGCCCTCCTGCCCAGCCTGTGCCCCGCACGGGAAACAGGGTTGCTGAGGCCAGCCCAGCCCAGCCCAGGCCGGCCCAGGGCCCAGGGCTCCCGTGCCAGGCTCCGCAGGGCGACTCCCCCGCCCCCGCTCCATCACTAGAGCCTCCGCGCCCCCCCCCCACTGTCTGCCTACAAGGGCGGGGCCGGGCGGGGGGAGCGGCTGGGCTGGGTGCACACTGACCTCCCCGCCCCAGGTGGGGCCTCCCTGTGGCCATCAGAGCAGGCAGCACCTGGGCCTCCGCCCTGAGGCTAGCCCTGGCTGAGGATGAGGAAGCAGGGCCCAGGGCTGTCACCCTCAGGGATTCGGTGCCTGGGTGGCCCTGAGGGGCCCCAGGGGCCCTCCTGAAGCCGGCGCCCTGGCAGCCAGGCAGGAGCGCAGATGGGGGTGGCAGCAGGCCAGCCTCTGGGCCAGGGGACCCCTGCAGCACAGGTGGCTGACCCGGCCCCAGCAGGCAGGGAACCCGCCTTGGGAACAGGAAGTCAGGGCCCCGGCTCTGGGCGCCGCTGCCCCAGTGACCGGCTGACCCGGCAGCCCGGCGGCGCTCCCTGACCTGCGTCCGGCCCCCCCGAGTGGATCGGGTTCCCTCCTCCGGGTGGAGGTGCGCTGACTAATCCCCACCTCCTGGGGCGCGCACAGCCCCCTGCCTGCCTGGAACAGGGGCCCAGTGGCGGGAAGTAACCGGACCCACCCCGCAGCCCCCCGCCCGCCAGATCCCCAGGCTGCAGAGGGGGAGGTGCGGGGAGCTGGGTGTGGCGCCTCAGCCCGGGCCCCTCGGGGCCCGGGCAGGTGGGGAGGACGCATCGCCCGGGGTGCAGGAGGCTGGCCCCAGAGGCTGCGGCTGGCCTGGGCATTAGGGCCCCACCTTCTGCGAAGCCCCTTGGGGTCAGGCTGGGGCTTCCTTCAGGTGGACCCAGCCGCCCTGCGGCCCCGGGGGACACGGAGCGGGGCCTGGAGGACACAGGGCTCGGAGGCTCAGCCAGCGGGTCCCGGGGGGCCCGGTCCAAACCAGAAATGGGCGACGGAGGTCCCCAAATATCCGGGTTGCTGGGGGCCATGAGGGAGGCCTCCGGTGCGCAGCAAGAGTGGGGCCCCAGAGGAGGCCCGCGGCAGGGCTGGGTGGGGGCAGCGGGCCGCCAGAGTGACCTGGAGAGGCTGAGGTGGGCGGGGCTCCGGGAGGTGGCGGGGCTGGGGTGAGGGCGCAAGGTGGGGGCGAGGACAGGTCCTGGAGGGCTGGGGGCCGGGGCCCGGACCTGCTGCCTGCTGGTGACGCTGAGGGGCCGGTGTGGGCAGGGTAAGAGGCGGGCGCAGGTGGAGGCGTGGGCAGGAGGGACAGGGCAGCTCCAGGAGACATGGGCAGCCGGCAGGGGGGATGCCCGACCCCACCCCTTTGCCCTTCAGTGGCCAACGACCCTGTGGACGGCGGGCGGGAGTGGGCAGGGGGAGGTGGGCGGGCTCTGGCTCTGCAGTCACTCCAGGGCTGCCGGAGGTCACCCCCACCCAGGCCTCCGTGCAGCTCCAGGCGGGCTGGGTGCGCCCGCCGCCGCTTACCAGCACGGCCCTCCCAGACCCAGCCCGGGGGCGCAGCGGGCCGGGGTCCGACGGGGCAGACAGGAGGCGGTGCGGCCGGGCCCTCTCCTCTTCCCCACCAAAGGCCGAGGCCGGAGTCGGGGCGCTGGGGCGGCGGCCACCCCTCGCCCTGTCCCCACCTAGGATGGGCCCTGCAGGGGCTGCTGCTGCCCCTCCGCCCCGCCCCCACAGGTGCAGGGGGCTCAGCCCTGGGCGCAGAGTCAACACGGGCTTCCTGGAGGGAGGGCCCCCCCCCGCCCCCCCGCCCCGCCCCGCGCGGACACCCGGTAATCTCCTGGCCGCGGCCCCCTGCTGTTTGCTCTCCTCCCCTGAGCCTGAGCAAACGGGCGCGCCTGCCTTGGCCCCGCTCCACGCACACCTGCCTGCGCACGCAGGCCACCGCGTCACCCCTGCCCGCGCCAGGACCGCGCCCGCCGGCCCGCAGCCGGCCCCTGCCTGGACGAGGGTCTTCCCAGGGAGAGCCCCGGGCTCTCAAGCCCCCTCGCCGCGGCCTGGCCCAGAGGGGCAGCTGGGCGGTGTCCATGGGTCGCCCTGCATGGAGCCAGCATGGAGCTGGGCAGCTTTGCGTCTTGACGGCCTTGAGTTTGGGGGAGTGGACGCAGCACCCGCCGCCGCCCTGCCCAGACGCGGGGGGCTGGTGCCCGCCTCCCTCTGTCCTACGCCACCTCCCTGCCCGCCTGCCCGCCCGGTCTACGTGCCGAGCCACCTGGGGGTAGGAAGTGTGCCCCCTCACCCTGAAACGGAGGAATGTCTCCTGGAAGCTGGGGTCACGCTTGGCTGGGTCCCCCTGGCAGCCTCCCAAGCACAGGCCCCGGCCCCCGTGCCCCCAAGTCCTGGGCCAGGCTGCTGGGCCCTCTGTCCTCTGCTGGGGAATGTGGCCTCGGCCTGTCTCTGTGCTCCCGGCCGTGTGAGGTGCCAGCACCCTGAAACGCCCTGGTGCCCGGGTCGGAGGGTGCCCCTCAGCTGGGGCCCGAGGTGCTCGCCGGAAAGTCACCCCTGGAATTAATGAGGGAGGGCCTGGGGGTGCGTGGCCCCGAGGAGGTCCCGAGGTGGCGGCCGCTCCCGCTTCCCCGGGGCGCGCTGGGGAGGTCGTCCCTCTCCCACTCTGTCCTTCATCCTCTGTGAACGCCTGTTTTCAGAATGGATCTTTTAAAAGCATAAATCAGTTGGGGATTTGGTGAACTGGGAAGCCCTCAGCCTTGTTCCCCACATAAACGAAGAGCAGAGACTGTCCGAGCCCCCCGAGCCCGAGGCGCCTCGTCCAGCGTCTAGAGTCCGGAGAGAATGGCTGCCCTCGAGAGGGTGGGGCCTGGGGCTGGGGCTGGGGCTGCCAGGCGAGTCCCGTCCCCCTCAGAAAACCCCAAAGCAGCAAAGAATGTCCTTGCGGACCACGGTGCCGCGCCCCGAGGGCCCAGCTCAGTCCTGGTGGAGGCCAGGGGACAGCTGCAGGGTGAAGGCCACAGTGGAGACCAGCCAAGACGCACCCTGGGCTGAGGGCGGGTGGGCCAGAGGGCAGGTCCGTGGCCAGGGCCAGGGCTGAGACGTTCCTGACACTCAGGGCAGCCCCAACACCTCTGGCCTGTACCCCAGTTCTTGTATAAATAAATAAATCTTAAAAAAAAATCCCAGCAGGGATTCAGCCGAGAGCAGGGAGCAGAACAGGCAGACTGACGAAATACACTGCTGAGGGGAGACAGGAGGGGTCTATCACGCCATGTGGGTATCTCCGCGGCCGGCCGGGATCAAACTGGCACTGCAGAGGCTGCAGCGAGCCTCCCAGCGCTGCGCTCAACCGCCTGCGCCACCAGGGAGGCCCTCTGCTGAATCCTCTCACCCTCCCATGCATCTGGCCTGTAGCCCTGTTCTTGTATAAATAAAACTTAAAAAAAAAATAAAGGATCAAGGACAAAGGTTCCGTGGGCCGCCAGCCAGTGGACGGACAGGACATGGCCAGGGGCCCACAGAGGGACACCAGGCAGAGCCATCACTTGCGGCAACAACAGCTGAAACTTCCAAAAATTCAGCCAACTCCCAGTAGGACGAACTCGGACATTGACACCCACCACGGACAGACTGTTGAAAGACAGACGAGGGGCCTCCCTGGGGGCGCAAGGGCTTGAGCCCAGCACTGTGACGCTGTCGGCTGCCCCTGCAGCACGAGTTCGATCCCCGGCCAGGGAGCTAACTGCAGGGCGCAGCAGGCCTCTCCCGTCTCCCCGCTGCTCCCCTCAGCGGTGGATTTCAGTGGATCCGCCTGTTCTGCTCCCCACTCTGTCCCTGGGGAGTCCTCCCCCACCCCGGCCTGCACCCCAGCTCTTGTGTGCATCGATAAATAAATCTTTAAGAAAAAAGAAAGGAGAAAGGACCCAGACTTGTCACCACAAGAAACGAAGCCAGCACCAGAAAAGGCGATCGCGGGGGACGAGGACAGACGGCCGGAGGCGGCCGAGGGAGCAAACGAAGGTGAACGGGGTTAAGCGCCATTCATGAGGCAGCAACGGTGGAACTGACAGAAGACAGAGCTCGGCTCCGGGCCGCCTACGACACTCGCTGTAGAACTGAGGGCGCTTACGGGTTAGAAAAGGCGGCTTCAGGCAAATAGGAAGAGCACGCAGAGGCGGCCACACCGAGGCCAGACAAACAGGCTTTAAGTTAAAAAAAAGTTCACATGGGCCTCCCCGGGGGCGCAGCGGTTGAGCGCTGGGCTGCGAAGCTGCCCGCAGCCTCGGCAGCGCCGGTTCGATCCCCGGCTGCTCCCCGGCCACCGGAGGAGGGTCCCACATGGCGCGCAGACCTCTCCTGCCGCCCGCTGCTCCCCTCAGCAGTGTACCTCGGTCCTTCTGCCTGCTCTGCTCCCCGCTCTGGCTCTGGTGGATCCTCTCACCCTCCCGCACTTCTGACTGTGCCCAGTGCTGGTATCAATCAATCAATCAATCAATCAATCTTTAAAAAAAAAAAGTTCACAAGGCGAAGGCTGTCACGTGTGGGTGAGTCCACTCAGCAAGAAAACACAGGGGTTGTAAACATATTCGCAAGATCGCTTCACAACACGCGGAGCAGGCGCTGACGGGCGCGGCGGGCGCGACAGACACGACGATGGTGGGACACCGGGCGCCGCGCTTCCGATAATGAACGGATCCTCCGGGCGGGCCAGAAAGGGAAGAGCCGCCGGACGATCACGGGCTCTCGCGGGACACGCCACCCGACAGCAGCAGAACACGCGTTTTCTCAAGGGCCTTGGAAACATCCTTCGGGGTCAATTGTATGTTGTGGTCCAAGATGAGTTTTAGTACATTTTAAAGGCTTAAAATTATAAAGTGTCTTTTCAAACCACCAACGAACGACGTTACAAGTCAATAATAGAAGAAATACTAAATTTCCCAAGTATGTGGAAATTAAATAGTAACTACTTTTTGTGTGTGCAGAGCTGGGGTGCAGGCCAGACGTGTGGGGGGTGTGGGGAGCAAAACAGGCGGATCCACTAATACACACTGTGAGGGGGGCAGCGGGGAGACGGGGGGTCTGCTGTGCCCTGTGGGTCACTCCCTGGCCGGGGATCGCACTCAGGCCACAGTGGTGACAGCCTGAGACTGAACCCCGAGGCCCCCAGGGAAGCCTCCCTAAACAGAAACTTTTTTTTTAAAGATTTATTTATTTTTATACACTGACACACACAGGGCACAGGCCAGAGGTGCAGGGGTGAGAGGACTCCCCAGAGACAGAGTGGGGAGCAGAGCAGGCAGACGGACTGAAATCCACCGCTGAGGGGAGCAGGGGGCGACAGCAGAGGTCTGCTGCGCCCTGTGGGCATCTCCCTGGCCGGCCGGGATCGAACCCGCGCAGCAGAGGCTGCGGACAGCTCCGCAGCGCGGCGCTCAACCCGCTGCGCCCCCGGGGAGCCCGACACAGAAACCCTTAACCAATCGCTGTGCCAGACAAGGAGCCGGAATCAGGGACAAGTGAAAACAAAGTCAGGACTGCGGTGAGAGGAGCCGTTGGACTCCCTCTGCCCTGAGGCCTGCACACCCCGAGGCGGCCCTCAGACCGGGGCGCGACCCGAGCCGCCGCCTTGCTCTGGCAGGCAGTCCCAAATAACCGCCGAGGCGGAGCCTGCGGGGCGTCAGCGGCCCCGGCCTTGCGGCCAGCAGGGCAGCTCAGCTGTGCGGTCACGCGCTTCGGCCTGTCGTGGTGGGGAGCGGGCAGCAGAGGGGGCGGCCCTGAGCGCTAGCTCCTGCGGGCACACTGCCTGCCGCCGCTGCCCCCGGCGCCCCCCGGCCTGTCCCGGGGACCGCCTTTGAAGAGCCGGCCACGCTACATCCTTTGTGCGAGTGTGTTGAAAACACACCTTGAATGAAAATGGCCCCAGGTTTTCGCTGCTCCCCACTGGGAGTTAGGAGCTGAGGGAGCCCCCGTGGGAGAGGTGCTCCCCGCTCAGCAGGCCGGCGGCGGCGCACCCCCAGCCCGCCAGCCCCCCCTCCGGCGCCGGCCTTCCCGAGATGATGAGGCCCAGCAAGGAAATGCGGGGCGGAGACCCGCGGCTGCAGACACCGACGCGGGAAGGAAGCAACGTCACAAGTCGATGACCCAACGGTCAGCGGCCAGAAAAAGAAGGCGACGCGGGCGAAGCAGCAGCGGGCGTGCGCTCCAGGCCAGGAAAGGCAAAAAGGAAATAGAGAGCGGAAACCACGGAGAAAACCAGCACCACCAAAAGCTGACTCTTGGGAAGACGGGCAAAACGGCCCCGTCCAGCCAGCGGGAGGAAGAAGAAAGACTCGAGTTCCTGAAGCCAGAGCGGAAAGGAAATTGCGACTAGTGGGGCGCGGGGGGGGGGGGGGGGGGTCTGCGCCTGTGGCGAGGCGCGGGGCGGGGCGGCTGCTTCTGAGCGCCGGAGCTGGGGGGTCTCCCACAGCGGGATCACGCCCGCCTCTGGCCTGGCTGGCCCTTGTGACCCTGTCCGGCGGCCCCTGGCACGGCCCGGCAGCCTCCCCGCGCCGGGAGCCCCGGCCAGCCTCCTCCCAGGACTCGCTTCCTTCCTGGGCCTTGTCCTGGGCTCCCTCAAGTGTGAAGAGGTAAACTCTCTGGGCAAACGGGCCCGGCTCCCGCGGCCGCATCCGGGATGACTCAGTCACAGCGACCGGCGCAGGGCAGGCGGGCTGCGGCCAGCTGGCTCTGCCCGCACTCGTGGGGGCACGCATCGAGCGCCCACTGTGTGCCAGGGTCGGCAGACAGAGCCCTGCCCGGGGGCGCCTCTGGCTCAGGGGGCCCCGCACCCCACAACCTGCGTGTCCCCGCCCCATCCTCGAGGGCCGTCCCTCCACAGAGAACCCTGGAGGCCCCAAGGACCCCCAGCCCAGGGAACCTGCAGCCTGGGAAGGGCAGCAAGGGTGGGGTGGGGGGGCGCAGCTGTGCCAAGACTGTCCTGCCCCCGGGGCCCGGCGTCCACAGGAACCCACAGGGGACGCGCAGCCCCCAGCGGCCCCCTTTGCCGCAGCAATTCCAGTTCCGGGAACTGATCCTCAGAACGGCGAATGGGAGGGGAGCCCCCCAAGGTGAATCCAGGGGCCACGCCCAGGCCCCCGTGAAGGGGAGAAGCGTGGGGCTGTGTGAGCAGAGGGGAAGCACTGCCACATGGGCCCCCAGAAATCCACCAGAGCAGCTGGGGGAGCGGCGTCTTCGAGGCCCCCACTTAGAGACAGGGCCGAGCCCCCCAGCCTGTTGGGGCACATGGCTGCATGGACACCTGTCCCTGCTGGGCCCCCGCCCCCCAGCTCGGCAGGGGCTGCTGCCCAGCCCCCGGCCCCAGCCCACACCGCCCCTGCCAGGGCTCTGCTCGGAAGGGCCCAGCCCCTCCCTCCTGGCCCCCCGCGGGCAGGCCCAGCCCCTTCCGAGGGTTCTCAGAGGCTGCTGGGGGCCGGGGTCTCCGCCTCTGGCCCGGGCTGTGGGGCCGTAAATCCTTCCTCCTCCGGCCGCGGCCCCTCCCCGAGGGCGCGCACACACGTGGCGGGAGGAGGGGAAAGGGCAGGGCCCCAGGGGCCCCGGGCCGGCTCCTGGCCAACGCCGCCCGCCCGCTACATAAGCCCAGGCCCCCAGGCCCGGACCGCCCTCCTGCCACACAGCACCCTGCCGGGATGGGCTCCTGGAGCCGACGCTGGGCGCCCGCCTGGGCCCTCGCGGTCCTGCTCTGTGTGCAGAGGGCAGGTAAGGATGGGCGAGCCCTGGTCACGGCGGGCACCCCTCCTGCCCAGCCCACCCGCCCGGACACCGCCTGGCACCACAGGGGGCCTGGAGGACATGCCCCAGGGTCTGGGCCTCAGGGTTGGACGGTGGGCACCAAGGGGGGCCCTGCGGGGCAGCCCCGACGGGTCCTGCCAGTCGGCCACCCACCAAGGCCACCCTGGGGTGCTGCCACCCCGCAGCTTGCGGCTCCTCCCTACTTCATTTCGGGGCCGGGAGCGCTGGGCATCGGGGAACCCCTTGGCCTGCCGGGCGCTGCTGCTGGCCATGCCGCCCCGCCTGCTCCTGAGCCTCCGCCAGGTCCAGGCTGGTGGCACCCCCCCAAGCCTCTGCCCCAAGCTGCCTTTCTGGAGAACGGGCAGGGCTGGGGCGGGGGTGCTGGGGCGCTGACGGCCGCAGCGGCCCCCACCACTGGCACTTGGGGTTTGGGGGTGTGTGCCCGGCACAGATGCCATAGGGAGTTTCCCAGGTGGAGCCCCTTTAGGGGTGCGGGCTGGGCCCAAGCAGGTTCTTCGCGGAGGAGCCGGCGCCGGGCAGGGAGCTGCTGGTGGCGACGCTGGAGCCCCCGGCTCAGGGACAGGTCACGGCAGAGGGCACCTGTCTGGACACCGGCCGGTGGCCTCACACCTGGGCGGGCGGGTGGGCCCAGCCAGGTCACGCGCGCTGTCTGGGTGGGGTAACAGCAGAGCAGCTTCTGGGGGGGCGAGCTGGAGGGTGGGTTCTGCCAGTCCCTGCGGCCTGTCAGCTGGGGAGGCCCGAGAGGAGGCTGCCACCTCCCTCCCCGGGGCCCCCTCCCACTGCCAGCGAGCGCAGGGGGCCGGCTGGCGCCCGAGGGCCCTGGGGGCTCAGCTCCCTGTCCATCATGCAGCAGGGCAGGGCCTGGCCGCGCGGGACGAGGGCACGCGGGCATCCCGGGCGCCCTACCCTGGCCTGGCGAGGTGCTAGTCTTGGGTTTCTGCTAAGTCACACCCGAGGGCCTCCCTGGCGCTCCTTGTCCCCAACAAAGCCAGTCTTTGTCCTTCCCCGAGGGACGAGCGCGGGGCTGGGGGAGGCCCTGTCCAAGGCGGCGGGGTCAGCGGTGCCAGCGCCGGCCTCTCCCACTCCCCCACCCGGCGCCTGGCCGCCCGTGGGTCTGCTCCCTGCCGGAGCCACCCGAGCTGGGCCTGGCCCCCAGAGCACCGGGGAGCCCGGGCTGCCCACCTGCCCCAGCCGCAGCCAGGGCCGCCCGGCCAGGCCCCTCAGCCCTCACGTCCCCTCTCACAGGGACCCAGGGCGGATCGCAGCAGCAGCACTGGGTGGCCCAGAAGCATATGGGCTTTGGTAGGTGCAGGGTCCGGGGGCCCTGGGGGGGGTCCTGGCGGTGGGGTGGACCTGCGTGGGGTCCCGGCGTGACCTGCCTGCCCTCCGCAGCCCAGAGCGTGGCCTTCGCCCCCCCACCGTGGCCGCCCCCATCCTGAGCCGTAAGTGGACACCCCCGCGGGGGGCGAGGGAGGGGCAGGCTGGGGCCCGGCGGCTGCGGGGAGCCAGGCGGGCACAGCGGCAACAGCAGCGCCCAGGCAGCCCGCACCCGCCTCCCGCTCCCCGCAGCCCTGAACCCCGCGCACCACGGCCGGGTGTGCAGCGCCTGGGGCGACTTCCACTACAAGACCTTCGACGGCGACGTCTTCCGCTTCCCCGGCCGCTGCAACTACGTGTTCTCCGCGCACTGCGGGGCCGCCTACGAGGACTTCAACGTGCAGCTGCGCCGCGGCCTGGACGGCACCCAGCCCACCATCACCCACGTCGTCCTCAAGACCCAGGGGCTGGTGCTGGAGGCCTCCAACGGCTCCGTCCTGGTCAACGGGCGGCGGTGAGCGGCTGCCGGGGCTCCGGGCGGGTCCGGGGCGGGCCTGGCAGGGAAGGACTGGAACTTGCCATGCAGGGAGGAGCTGCCCTACAGCCGCGCGGGCATCCTGGTGGAGCAGAGCAGCGCCTACGTCAGGGTGGACATCCGGCTGGTGCTGACCTTCATGTGGAACGGGAAGGACTTCGCCCTGGTGAGGATCTCCCCCTGCCCGCCCCTCCCTGGGGCCGCGCTGCCCGCGGCAGGAGGCTGAACTGCCGCTCCCCGCAGCTGGAGCTCAACCCCAAGTACGCCAACCAGACCTGCGGCCTGTGTGGGGACTTCAACGGGCAGCCGGCCGTCCGTGAGCTCTACGCGCACAGTGAGTGCCACCCCGCCGCGGGCAGGTGCCGGGCAGTCTGCCAGGGGCAGAGCGCGGCCACCAGGTGACGCAGGAGCTGGGTGGGGGGGTGCTCCAGGACTCCGCAGGGAGCTGGGGTCTCCCCGCCCCGGACCTCGCCCACACCAAGCCCCTCCTCCCACAGACACCAGGCTGACCCCCCTGCAGTTTGGAAACCTGCAGAAGCTGGACGGGCCCACGGAGCAGTGCCCCGACGTCCTGCCCCTGCCCCCCGAAAACTGCACGGACAGGGTACGCCCCGCCCCGCCCCCGGCGGGGAGGCGGGAGGCAGAGCCTCTGTGGGGTGCGCACGGGGGTCGGCCGTGAGCACTCGGTCTCCGCCCTGCGCCCTCGCCACCTGAGTGCCCCCAGGAATGCCCACACACCACACACAGGCCATTGCGCGGGCGCTGGGGAGCCCGGGCAAGGAGACCATCCCTAACTGGAGGACCCTGGAGCCCCAGCGGTCGAGCAGCCCCACCTCAGAGGGGCACAGGACCCGGCACTGCCCTCTGGAGCGGGGCTGGGGCGCGCGGGGCCTCTGCCTTCTCCACCTCGTGCCTCTCCGGCCCCACGGCAGGGCCCTGGCTGGGCAGGAGCCCAGGACTGGCTCCCTCTCTAGGCCAAGCCCAGCGCAGCTCAAGTCAGCAGGAGGGGCTGGGGTCGGCTAGGGGGCAGCTGGCTGGAGGGCCTGAGGGGTGGGGGGTATGGCCGGACCCAGGAGGGGTGGGCCGTGGCGGGCTGGAGGCGCTGGGTAGGGTCACAGGTGTGCTGTGCTCCCCAGGAGGGCGTGTGCCGTCGCACGCTGCTTGGCCCAGCCTTCAGCCTCTGCCACGCGCTGGTGGACCCCGAGGTGTACGTGGCCGCCTGCACCCAGGACCTCTGCCGCTGCCCCGAATGCCCCTGCGCCACCTTCGCCGAGTACTCCCGCCAGTGCGCCCACGCGGGGGGCCAGCCCCAGAGCTGGAGGAGCCCTGACCTCTGCCGTGAGTGCCCCCACAGGGCCCGGACCTCACCCTGACACCCCGCCAGGGCCCGGGGGCGGCGCTGGGAGGGGAAGGCCCGGGCAGGACACCAGCACCCAGGCGGGGATGCGGCTCAGGTGGGGCGGAGAGGGCGGGTGGGAGCGCAGAGGCTGGGTACCGGGAAAGGACAAGAGCCAAGCGGGTACAGGGGTGCCAGGGGGCTGCCTGGGCCGCAGGGGGAGCACCTGAAGTGCCCCTGCCCGCTGTGGGCCCGGTGGCGGCTGAGGCAAGCATGTCCCCCCGCAGCCCAGACGTGCCCGCCCGGCATGCAGCACCGGGAGTGCGGCTCGCCCTGCGCTGACACCTGCTCCAACCCGAGCGCAGCCAGCTCTGCGAGGACCACTGTGTGGACGGCTGCTTCTGCCCCCCAGGCAGGTCCCCCGGCCTCTGGCACTGCCCCTCCCTAGGAACTTAGTTTCCACCCCCCAGGGCGGCCGCTGGTCACCGGGCTTCAGGAGCTAGAGCCCGGCCTCGGCTCACCCGTGCGCACCCCCAGGCACGGTACTGGACGACGTGGGCCACGCGGGCTGCGTGCCCCTGGAGCGGTGCCCCTGCTCGCACAGAGGCCGCACCTACACCGCGGCGGAGTCCTTCACTGCCAACTGCCGCTCCTGGTAGGCCCGCCCCGAGGGGCCACCTCCCTGGGCCCGCCCCAGAGGGGTGCCGTGTGTGGCCGCCCCGCGGGGTTGTTGCTGGCTGGCGCACGTCCCTTGACGGCACCCCTTGCATTCACCCCAGCACCTGCTCCGGGGGGCGCTGGCAGTGCCAGGACCTGCCATGCCCTGGCACCTGCTCTGTGAAGGGCGGCTCGCATGTGTCCACCTTCGACGGGAAGCTGTATGACGTGCACGGGGACTGCAGCTACGTGTTGGCCAAGGTGCTGTGTGGGCCCGGGCAGGGCTGCCCCTTTTGCCCCAAAGGGTCCCCCAGTGATGCCACGAGAGCAGGTGGCGCCCCCCCAGGTCTCAGGCTGAGGAGGCCCCCAGGCTCACGCTGGGGGGTCAGGCCCAGGCTCTGAGAGGAGATGCCTGAGGTCACAGGTGGCCCCTCGCCCACCTCCACCCTCCATGGCTCCCGGGCACCCCCAGGCTGCCATCTGCCTACGTCGGGGCTCCCGTGCCAAGGCTTCGGTGGGCTTTGTTGATCAGAACTGTGCAGAGAAGGGGCTGGAGGCCTTCTCGGTGCTGGCCGAGCTGCGCAGGTGCGGGCTGACCGACAGCGAGACCTGCCTGAGGGCCGTGACGCTCAGCCTGCACGGCGGGGACACGGTGAGTGCAGACTGGGGGGCCTGCCCGCGCCCCAGGCAGCGGAGGGCAGAGGTGGACGGGGGAGCCCCGGGAGCGTCTCCTACCTGACCTGCTGCCCCCCACAGGCCATCCGCATCCAGGCCAACGGAGGGGTATTCCTGAACTCCATCTACACCCATCTGCCTGTGTCTGCAGGTGTGCACAGCCACCCGCCCACCAGCCACGCTGCCCTCGCCAGCTCTCTGTGGCCTGGGCAGGTGCAGAATATCCCGTTGTTGGCCCCCTGCCTGCCTATCCGGCGTCAGCGGCCCCTCCACGGCCCTGGGAACTGGCCGCCCCCGTCTTCTGCCCATCCCCACTGCGCTCAGCACCCCCTCCCGACCTGGGGCCTGGGGCAGGGTGGCCGTGCAGCTGCCAGCCATCTCTGACGGCTCCCCTCTGCCCCCCTCCCAGCCAACATGACCATCTTCCAGCCTACGTCCTTCTTCGTCCTGGTGCAGACGGGCCTCGGGCTGCAGCTGCAAGTGCAGCTGGTGCCCCTCATGCAGGTGTACATCCGGCTGGAGCCCGTCCACAGAGGCCAGACGTGTGGTGAGGCTGGCTGGGCTGCAAGCCAGGGAGGCAGGGGGCGCCCCCGGGGAACTGCTGCCGTCACTTAGCGGGATGGGGGCTGAGACCCACCAGGGTTCACCTGTAGATGGTTCTGGAACCAAAATCCTGGGCTGAGGCTCAGGGCCAGGCGACCGTGGGTGGTGCTGGAGGGGCTGCAGTGCCTCGGGCGCTGGACGGCCTGCTGACCCCCGCTCACCCCCCGCCCCCAGGGCTCTGCGGGAACTTCAACCAGAACCGGGCCGACGACTTCCGCACGCTCAGCGGCGTGGTGGAGGGCACGGCCGCCGCCTTCGCCAACAGCTGGAAGACGCAGGCCACCTGCCCCGACGTCCGGAACGGCTTCGAGGACCCCTGCGCGCTCAGCGTGGAGAACGGTACTCCCTCCTGGGCCCTGGCTGCCTCGTGCCGGCCTGAGCAGCAGCGGCTCAGGGGCCTCATGTCTCCGGGGCCCAGAGAGTCAGGGGTGCAGGCGGGCGGGGGGTCAGGCAGGCAGGTCAGTGCCGCCTGCTACAGGAAGCACGTCCTCCGGCCCCGGCAGAGCAGAGCCCGCTCCAGCGCTCCCAGGACAGGACGCGTGTCCTGAGCAGAGGCAGGGGCAGGGTATGCAGGGGGAGGAGAGGCGCTGAGGCGCCCCTGACGCTGCCCCCTCGCCCCCAGAGAACTACGCCCAGCACTGGTGCTCCCTGCTGACCGACCCCACGGGCGCCTTCTCAGCCTGCCACTCCCTGCTCTCCCCGACACCCTTCCACGCGGTGAGCCGCTGGGCGGGACGGGCGGGAGGGGCTGCCCAGGGCAGAGGCTCCTTCCCCGCCTCCCCACAGCCCCGCACAGGGGCTGCCACAGCACCCTGACCCTCCCCCAGCCCCCGCCAGGCTGGCCCTTGGACAGGCTGCACCCTGCATGCTAGGGGCCAACACTGCATGGGTGCTGGGTCTCTGGGGAAGGGTCCAGACCCGCAGCGACAGGCTGGCATCACCCCCAGCCCTCCATGCCGGAACCTAGCACACGGCAAGGCCTGATTTCCAAGAAGGTCCTGTCCCAGTGGCCGAGGGGCGGGGCAAGCTCCTCTTTCTGGACACAGTCCAGCCCACAGCCAGTGGCCCAGCGGCCACCCTTCCGGAAGCCCAAAGGCCCCAGTAAAAGTGACTCCTGTCCTGGGAGGGTGTGTCCTGCTGCCCACTGTGGGGACGTGCACCCCAGCTCTGCCAGCACCTGCCTGCTCAGCCTATGCACCATCTCGCCACCTCCTGGCCGCCACGCCCCAACCAGAGTGGCCATTTGGAACCTGTGCTGGACACTGCCCATCCCCCCATGGCCCCACCTCCCTGCACTGCCTGCCAGCTGGCCCCAGGGCTCCTTTGGTGGCCGGGGGCACGCCTCCTGCTGCCCTCGTGGGGTGGGGCTCCCAGGAGAGGAGGGGCCCTGGAGGCCGGGCCCCTGACCGCCCCCCGCCCCCAGAACTGCATGTTCGACACCTGCAACTGCGAGAAGAGCGAGGACTGCATGTGCGCGGCCCTGTCCTCCTACGTGCGCGCCTGCGCCGCCCTGGGCGTGCTGCTGGACGGCTGGAGGGACGGCGTCTGCAGTGAGTGCCCCGCGGGGGCCCCCGGGAGCACCCGCACCCCACTGACCACCCACGTGGGGCCTGCAGGCCGGGCGTGCTGGGGGTGGTCCTGGGAGCACCCGTACCCACCCTTCTCAGTCCAAGCAAGAGCTTTGTGCTCTCGTGGTGCTTGGGGCCCCAAGGGGAAATCGAGTCTGGACGCACCCGCGGCAGAGCCAGGCCGGATAGCGACGCGGCCGGCCAGCTGAGTGTCCTCCCCGCCCCCAGCCAAGTACACGAGCAGCTGCCCCAAGTCGCAGAGCTACGCCTACGTGGTGGACCGCTGCCAGCCCACCTGCCGCGCCCTGAGCCAGGCGGACGTGACTTGCGGCGTGGCCTTCGTGCCAGTGGACGGCTGCACCTGCCCCTCGGGCACCTTCCTGGACGAAAAAGGCATCTGTGTGCCCCCCGAGGCCTGCCCCTGCTACTTCCGCGGCTCCACGCTGGCCGCCGGGGAGGTCGTGCACGACAACGGCGTGGTGTGGTGAGGGCGCTCAGAAAGCGGGACCCCTGTCCTGGCCGGGGACTGTTGGCACCGTGGGGCCCACAAGGAGGACGGGGGCGGCGCCCCTCCCTCGCCCAGACTCCGCCCCAGGCCCCCATCCTGCTCCGACCCCGGCCTAGCCCTCTCCTCGGACCAGCCCTCCCACCCCGCGTCACGGCGGCCCCTTACCTACCAGCCGGTCCTCCTGGCCCAGCCCGCACCGCCTTCCTGCACACGGTGCCATAAGCCCTGGGGCTGCCGGCGAGGGTCTTCACCAGGCCCGGGAGCGGGCGCTGTGGTCACCTTACGCAGCTCGGGTGAGGTCTGGGGTGGGCAGACGGACAGAGGTCCAGGCGCGGCTGTTCCTCTGTCCTAGCTCGTGTGCGAGTGGGAAGCTGAACTGCCTAGGAGCCGCGGAGCAGAAGAGCGTGGGTACGCCCCTGCCCGGCCCTCCCGCCCTCGCCCCCGGCCCGCCCCGCCCTCCGCCCCGCTCTGCCCCCCCCCGCCGCGCCCCTGCTCTGCAGGACCCCTCCCACAAGCTCCCTCCGCAGGGTGTCAGCCCCCCATGGTGTACCTGAACTGCAGCAACGCCTCTGCGGGCGCGCACGGGGCCGAGTGCCTCAGGAGCTGCCACACGCTGGACGTGGGCTGTGTGAGTTCCGGGGAGGCACTGCCGCCACGCCCCTGGGTGCCCCTCTGTTCCTGGTGTCCAGGGTCTGGCGGGGGATAGGCCCCCTGACGGCAACTTCCTGCCCACAGTTCAGCACCGACTGCGTGTCCGGCTGCGTGTGCCCCCCGGGGCTGGTGTCCGACGGGAGCGGGGGCTGCGTGGCCCCGGAGGACTGCCCCTGCTGGCACAACGAGGCCAGCTACCGGCCGGGCGAGACCATCAGGGTGGACTGCAACACCTGGTGGGTGGAGGGCCCGGGCGTGGCAGGAGGGGTGGCAGAGAGTGGCGGCTGGTTCGTCGCAGGCCGGAGGCCGGAGCCAGCCTCACTGGGAGGCTGCAAGGCGCCGCTGAGGCAGCACTGCCCCACCCTGGGGCAGCTAAGGGCTCCTGTTTGTCCTCCAGACGGCACCCCAGGGCTAGCCTCCAGCGGAGGGCCGGTCCACCCGCCCGCTGCTCAGGTGCCTTAGACGGCGACGGCAGCGGGGGGGAGGGGCGGCTGTGCCAGCACACACTGTGCCCCCTTCTCCAGCGGGAGGGCCACTGGGGACCCCAACTCTGAGGAGCGCGGGCCTGCAAACGGGGCACCCCCTGGTGTCCCCTCATAGCAAATGCAAGAACCGCAAGTGGGAGTGCAGCCACCAGCCCTGCCTGGGCACCTGCGTGGCCTATGGGGGCGGCCACGTCATCACCTTCGATGGCCAGCGCTACAGCTTCGAGGGCAGCTGCGAGTACACACTGGCCCAGGTATGCGCCCCTCCCTGCGCCCACTCCCGCGCGGGGCTGAGGGGCCACCCGCACAGCTGTGCCCTCTCCACCCAGGACCACTGCGGGGGCAGCGGCGCGTCCAATGGGACCTTCCGCATCGTCACCGAGAACGTGCCCTGCGGCACCACGGGCATCACCTGCTCCAAGGCCATCAAGATCTTCCTGGAGGTGAGCGGGTTACAGGAGTGTCCCCTGCCTCTCGGCTGGAGCCCCCGGCACCCCAGCCCCGCTGTGACCTGGCCGTCCTGACACACCTGTTGCGGACTCGGCTGACCAATCTCGCTAGAAGGCGTCACTATGTCCAGCAAAACACAGAGCCCAGGCCACCTGGGACAGAGGGCACCAGGGCCCAGGGCAGAGCGCTGCTGGGGGTGCTGCCCTCGGGAGGTAGCAGGGCCCAGCCCTGGCTGGAGGGGCTGGCTGAGTCTGCATCCCACGTGGGCCCTGGCCCAGCGCTGGGGCCCCAGCCTCTGCTGCGCCGGCCCCAACTTTGTCCAAGCCTCCCAACTCCCAGCTTCCTGCGCAGCCCCATGTCCACCGAGGGCACCAGGAGCACCCCACCCTCCTGGCCAGCCTGGCCTGAGCAGCCCGGAGCCTCAGCCTGGCCCTACTGTCGGCCCCTAACCCCAGTGTGCCCCCGCAGAGCTACGAGCTGATCCTCCACGAGGGGACCCACAAAGTGGTGCAGAGGGGCCCTGGCGGAGACCTGCCCTACAGGGTCCGGTTCATGGGCATCTACCTGGTGGTGGAGACCCGCAGCGGCCTGCTCGTGGCCTGGGACCGGAAGACCAGCGTGTTCATCCGGCTGGAGCAGGACTACAAGGTGAGGGTGCTCATGGGCCCTAAAGGGACAGGCCAAGGGCTGTGCCTGCTGCTGACAGAAAAGCCGCCGTTTGCTCTCGGCTGAGGCTCGGCGGGGGCGCAAGCCCCTCCGCTCCTGCCCCGCTGCCGGCACATCTGCCCACCCCCCACCTGCCCACGCCTGCAGGCCCCGGCCCCTCACGGCGCCCCCACCGCCCGTGTCCCCCAGGGCAGGGTCTGCGGGCTGTGCGGGAACTTCGACGACAACGCGGCCAACGACTTCACCACGCGCAGCCTGTCCGTGGTGGGCGACGCGCTGGAGTTCGGCAACAGCTGGAAGTTCTCCCCGTCCTGCCCCGACGCCCCGCCCCCCAGGACGCCTGCAGCGTCCACCCGAACCGCCGCCCCTGGGCGCAGAAGCAGTGCAGCGTCATCCACGGCCCCGCCTTCGCCGCCTGCCGCGCCCACGTGTGTCCCCGGCCCCGGGGCGGGGGGCAGCGGGGCCCGCAGGGGGCCGCGCAGGGGCCTGGGCTGGCCTTGAGCTCCGGGAAACCGCGGCCTCTGCCCCCAGGTGGAGCCGGCCGGGTACTACGAGGCCTGCGTGAGCGACGCCTGCGCCTGCGACCTGGGCGGCGACTGCGAGTGCTTCTGCACGGCCGTGGCCGCCTACGCCCAGGCCTGCCACGACGTGGGCGTGTGCGTGGCCTGGCGCACCCCCGACATCTGCCGTGAGTCGGGCGTCCGCGGGGCTGGGGCGGGGTGCGGGCGGCGCCCTGCAGGACAGCAAGAGAGGGCAGGGCCCAGGAGTGAGGCCGCAAGGCGGCGGAGGGGCCTGCCTGCCTCGGGGTTGACCCAGGGGCCGGCAGGCTGACCCCGAGCTCTGCGCACAGCCCTGTTCTGCGACTACTACAACCCGCAAGGGGAGTGCGAGTGGCACTACCGGCCCTGCGGGGCGCCCTGCATGCGGACCTGCCGGAACCCCAGTGGGCACTGCCTGATGGACCTGCCCGGCCTGGAAGGTGAGGGACCAGCTGGCAGGGCAGCCGCAAGGCCCCCCAGAACACCCCGGGACCCTGCTGAGTCCTCGCCCTGCCCTGTGCCCACCCAGGCTGCTACCCAGAGTGCCCAGCCAGCAAGCCGTTCTTCAGTGAGGACCAAATGCAGTGCGTGGCCCAGTGCGGCTGCTACAGCGAGGACGGCGACTACTACGAAGTGGGCGTGAGGGTCCCCACGGCAGAGAACTGCCAGCGCTGGTGAGGGGCCGGGGCGGGAGGGGCCGGGCCGGCGAGGGGCCGAGTGGAGCACAGAGCAGGGCGGGCGGTGCCGGGCTGGGGCCCACCCCAGTCCCTCGGCTGCCCCCTCTCCCTCCAGTGACTGCACCGCCAGAGGCCTCCAGTGCACACACAGCCTTGAGGGTAAGGAGGGGCCGGTTGTGCTTGGGGGCGCGGGCCGGGTGGGCGGGGCGGGGGCAGCACTGACCGGGAGGAGCCCGCGCTACCCCAGCCTGCAGGTGCACCTACGAGGGCAGGACCTACGGCTACCAGGACATCGTCTACAACACCACTGACGGGCTCGGGGGGTGCCTGGTCGCCGTGTGTGGGGACAACGGGACAATCCACCGGACGGCCGTGGACTGCCCCAGGTTGCCGCCGACCACGCCCTTCACCTTCACCACCGGCACGGCGCCGCCCCCCTCAGCGGGTGAGCCTGCGTCGCCTGGCCCCGCTGCTCGAGGGGGGAGGAGCCGGGCGCGGGGTGCGGCCCACCGGGGCCAGGGGCGGGGGTCCCCGGGCGAGAGGCCGAGGCGGCTGACGGCACCCGCCCGCAGGCTCGGCGCCCGTCCCCACCACCGTGTGCGTGCGCAAGCTGTGCAGCTGGTCCGACTGGTACGACAGCGGCCGCCCCCAGCCCGGCGCGGGCGGCGGGGACGTGGAGACCCTGGCGAGGCTGCGCGAGCAGGGCTTCCGCGTCTGCCCGGCCCCCGCCGGCCTCGAGTGCCGCGCGCAGCTGCTGCCGGACACGCCCCTGGGGGCGCTGGGCCAGAAGGTGGAGTGCGACCCGGCCCTGGGGCTGACCTGTCGCAACAGCGAGCAGGACCCCCCGCTGTGCCACAACTACGAGGTGCGGGTGCTGTGCTGCGAGCTGGCCCCCTGCGCAGCCACCCCCACGCCCCACTCCCCGTCCCCGCCCACGCCAGGCGGCACCACCACCACCCCCGGGTCCACCCCAGCCACCAGCACCCCCACCCCCTCTATGCCGTCCAAGGCGATCAGCACCCTGGGGACCGCCAGCCCCACGGCCCCGGGCACCACCCCCTGCCAGCCCCGCTGCCACTGGACAGAGTGGTTTGACGAGGATTACCCCAAGTCCGAGGAGGCCGGGGGGGACATGGAGACCTACGAGAAGATCCGGGGCGCCGGGCACGTCCTGTGCGAGCAGCCATGGGACATCCAGTGCCAGGCGGAGAACTTCCCTGGCCAGACGCCCACCGAGCTGGGCCAGCACGTGCACTGCGACCCCAAGGTGGGCCTGATCTGCAGGAACGAGGAGCAGCCGGGGCTGTTCAAGATGTGTCTCAACTACAGGATCCGGGTGCTGTGCTGCAGCGCTGAGCACTGCAAGCAGCCCACGGCCACGGCGCCCACGGCCAGCCCTTTCACCCGCGGGGCCTCCAGCGCCGCGACCACCAGCACCGTCTCACCCTCCACGCCTCTGACCACAGTGCCGGGGACCTGGCCGGTGAGTAGCCGGGGGCAACGGGTGCTCCCCGGGCAGCACCACAGCCACCCCTGTCCTCTCGACGGGGCTGATGTCCCCAGGCCCCAGCCACACCGGCGGGATGGTGATGTCCACCCCCGGGAGGGCCACTTCTCCAGGGCCTAGGGAGCCGGGCACCCCCAACAGGGCCTTAACTATCCTTCCCCAACAGGAAACCACACAGGGGACGACAGGGCTCACCTCGCGGGAGCAAACCCCTTCAATTGTTACGGTGGGGATGTCCACCACACCCCTGGGGACAGCCCAGCAGAAGAGCTCAACCGGCAGTACTGAGAGCCGGCCACCCACCTCACACACTGAGACCAGCACATGGAGGGCGGAGTCGACACCAGGGACTGAGACCACCACAGCGGCCACCGCAGGGACCACATCAGTGGCCACCACAAGGTCCACAGTAGTAGCCAGCACAGCGGCCACCACAGGGCCCACATCAGTGGCCACTACAAAGGCCACCGCAGCAGCCACCACAGGGACCACATCAGCAGCCACCACGGAGGCCACCACTGGCCAGAGCTCGACCAACTGCCAGCCCAAGTGCGAGTGGACAGAGTGGTTTGACACAGACTTCCCCAGCTCGGGGGTCAAGGGGGGGGACGTGGAGACCTACGAGAATATCAGGGCGGCTGGGGGCAGGATCTGCGCGACGCCGCAGAAGATAGAGTGCCGCGCAGAGAGCTACCCCGAGGTGAGCGTGGACCAGATCGGGCAGGTACTGACCTGCAGCCTGCAGACCGGGCTGGTCTGCAGGAACGAGGACCAGCAGGGGCCCTTCAGCATGTGCTTCAACTACAACGTGCGTGTGCTCTGCTGCGACGATGTCCGCCACTGCCCCAGCAGCCCAGCCACCCGGCCAACCCCCCGGCCCACACCCAGCCCTGGCACGCCCACAGCAGCCAGCCCCGCCGGCCCCACCATCCACACCAGCCTGGCGCCCCGCACCCGCGCTACCACCCGCACGCTGCCGCCCAGCCTGGCCACCGCCACCGCCTCCACGGCCAGGCCCACCCGGCCCTCAGGGAGCCTGGCCACCTCGCCCCCAGGCCCCATACAGACGTCAGCCCAGCCCACCTCTGGCCCCACGTCAGTCCCCGTGACCCCAACGGGCACATCCACGGCCTGCCAGCCCCGCTGCACCTGGTCAGACTGGTTGGACAGCAGCTTCCCGCAGCCGGGGGACTCTGGGGGTGACTTCGAGACCTACGACAACATCCGCACCGCCGGCGGGGCAGTGTGCGAGCGGCCCGTGGAGCTGGAGTGCCGGGCAGAGTCGAGGCCGGGCGAGCCCCTGCACCGGCTGGGCCAGGTCGTGCAGTGCCGGCTGGAGGAGGGGCTTGTGTGCCGCAACCGAGACCAGGCCGGCAGCTTTAAGATGTGCCTCAACTACCAGGTGCGTGTGCTCTGCTGCGACTACAGCCACTGCCCCGGGACGCCGGCCCCCACCGGGCCCACGGCCAGCACCACCAGGGGGCCACTCCCGTGGTCCAAGACTCCTGGCCAGGCCCACCCCTCCTCCCCCGGGACCACCCAGAGGGTCACCACCCCCGGCAGCGGACCCTCCTCCCACGTGACCACCCAGAGGGTCACCACCCCCGGCACCGGACCCTCCTCCCCCGGGACCACCCAGAGGGTCACCACCCCCGGCACCGGACCCTCCTCCCCCGGGACCACCCAGATGGTCACCACCCCCGGCACCGGACCCTCCTCCCCCGGGACCACCCAGAGGGTCACCACCACAACCCCGGCTCCGGACCCTCCTCTGCCTGGACCACCCAGAGGGTCACCACCCCTGGCACCGGACCCTCCTCTGCCGGGACCACCCAGAGGGTCACCACCACCACCCCCGGCACCGGACCCTCCTCCCCCGTGACCACCCAGAGGGTCACCACCCCTGGCACCGGACCCTCCTCCCCGGGACCACCCAGACGGTCACCACCCCCGGCACCGGACCCTCCTCCCCCGGGAACACCCAGAGGGTCACCACCACAACCCCCGGCTCCGGACCCTCCTCTGCCTGGACCACCCAGAGGGTCACCACCCCTGGCACCGGACCCTCCTCTGCCGGGACCACCCAGAGGGTCACCACCACCACCCCCGGCACCGGACCCTCCTCCCCCGTGACCACCCAGAGGGTCACCACCCCTGGCACCGGACCCTCCTCCCCCGGGACCACCCAGACGGTCACCACCCCCGGCACCGGACCCTCCTCCCCCGGGACCACCCAGAGGGTCACCACCACAACCCCCGGCTCCGGACCCTCCTCTGCCTGGACCACCCAGAGGGTCACCACCACCACCCCTGGCACTGGACCCTCCTCCCCCGTGACCACCCAGAGGGTCACCACCACCAACTCTGGCACCGGACCCTCCTCCCCCGTGACCACCCAGAGGGTCACCACCCCCGGCACCGGACCCTCCTCTCCCGTGACCACCCAGAGGGTCACCACCCCTGGCACCGGACCCTCCTCCCCCGGGACCACCCAGACAGTCACCACGCCCAGCACCGGACCCTCCTCTGCCTGGACCACCCAGAGGGTCACCACCACCACCCCTGGCACCGGACCCTCCTCCCCTGTGACCGCCCAGAGGATCAAGACCCCCAGCACCGGACCCTCCTCCCCCGGGACCACCCAGACGGTCACCACCCCCGGCACCGGACCCTCCTCCCCCGGGACCACCCAGAGGGTCACCACCCCCGGCACCGGACCCTCCTCCCACGTGACCACCCAGAGGGTCACCACCCCCGGCACCGGACCCTCCTCCCCCGGGACCACCCAGAGGGTCACCACCCCCGGCACCGGACCCTCCTCTGCCGGGACCACCCAGAGGGTCACCACCACCACCCCCGGCACTGGACCCTCCTCCCCCGGGACCACCCAGAGGGTCACCACCCCTGGCACCGGACCCTCCTCTGCCGGGACCACCCAGAGGGTCACCACCACCACCCCCGGCACTGGACCCTCCTCCCCCGTGACCACCCAGAGGGTCACCACCCCTGGCACCGGACCCTCCTCCCCCGGGACCACCCAGACGGTCACCACCCCCGGCACCGGACCCTCCTCCCCCGGGACCACCCAGAGGGTCACCACCCCTGGCACCGGACCCTCCTCCCCGGGACCACCCAGACGGTCACCACCCCCGGCACCGGACCCTCCTCCCCCGGGACCACCCAGAGGGTCACCACCACAACCCCCGGCTCCGGACCCTCCTCCGCCTGGACCACCCAGAGGGTCACCACCACCACCCCTGGCACTGGACCCTCCTCCCCCGTGACCACCCAGAGGGTCACCACCACCAACTCTGGCACCGGACCCTCCTCCCCCGTGACCACCCAGAGGGTCACCACCCCTGGCACCGGACCCTCCTCCCCCGTGACCACCCAGAGGGTCACCACCACCACCCCTGGCACCGGACCCTCCTCCCCCGTGACCACCCAGAGGGCCACCACCACCACCCCCGGCACCGGACCCTCCTCTCCCGTGACCACCCAGAGGGTCACCACCCCTGGCACCGGACCCTCCTCCCCCGGGACCACCCAGACAGTCACCACGCCCAGCACCGGACCCTCCTCTGCCTGGACCACCCAGAAGGTCACCACCACCACCCCTGGCACCGGACCCTCCTCCCCTGTGACCGCCCAGAGGATCAAGACCCCCAGCACCGGACCCTCCTCCCCCGGGACCACCCAGACAGTCACCACCCCCGGCACCGGACCCTCCTCCCCTGTGACCACCCAGAGGGTCACCACCCCTGGCACCGGACCCTCCTCCCCCGGGACCACCCAGACGGTCACCACCCCCGGCACCGGACCCTCCTCTGCCGGGACCACCCAGAGGGTCACCACCACCACCCCCAGCACCGGACCCTCCTCCCCCGTGACCACCCAGACAGTCACCACGCCCAGCACCGGACCCTCCTCTGCCGGGACCACCCAGAGGGTCACCACCACCACCCCTGGCACCGGACCCTCCTCCCCCGGGACCACCCAGACGGTCACCACCACCACCCCTGGCACCGGACCCTCCTCTGCCTGGACCACCCAGAGGGTCACCACCACCACCCCTGGCACCGGACCCTCCTCCCCCGGGACCACCCAGACGGTCACCACCACCACCCCTGGCACCGGACCCTCCTCTGCCTGGACCACCCAGAGGGTCACCACCACAACCCCCGGCACCGGACCCTCCTCCCCCGGGACCACCCAGACGGTCACCACCCTCGGCACCGGACCCTCCATCACCACCCCCGGCACCGGACCCTCCTCTGCCGGGACCACCCAGAGGGTCACCACCACCACCCCTGGCACAGGACCCTCCTCCCCTGTGACCACCCAGAGGATCAAGACCCCCAGCACCGGACCCTCCTCCCCCGTGACCACCCAGACAGTCACCACGCCCAGCACCGGACCCTCCTCTGCCTGGACCACCCAGAGGGTCACCACCACTACCCCTGGCACTGGACCCTCCTCCCCTGGGACCACCCAGACAGTCACCACCCCCGGCACCGGACCCTTCTCCCCCGTGACCACCCAGAGGGTCACCACCCCTGGCACCGGACCCTCCTCTGCCAGGACCACCCAGAGGGTCACCACCACAACCCCCGGCACCGGACCCTCCTCCCCCGTGACTGCCCAGAGGATCAAGATCCCCAGCACCGGACCCTCCTCCCCTGGGACCACCCAGACAGTCACCGCGCCCAGCACCGGACCCTCCTCCACCGTGACCGCCCAGAGGGTCAAGACCCCCGGCACCGGACCCTCCTCCCCTGTGACCACCGAGAGGGTCGCCACCACCAACCCTGGCACCGGACCCTCCACCCCCGTGACCACCCAGAGGGTCACCACCCCCGGCACCGGACCCTCCTCCCCCGGGACCACCCAGAGGGTCACCACCCCTACCGCCAGCACCGGACCCTCCTCCCCCGGGACCACCCAGAGGGTCACCACCACCACCCCTGGCACCGGACCCTCCTCCCCCGGGACCACCCAGACAGTCACCACCCCCGGCACCGGACCCTCCTCCACCGTGACCATCCAGAGGGTCACCACCACCAACCCTGGCACTGGACCCTCCTCCCCCGTGACCACCCAGAGGGTCACCACCCCCGGCACTGGACCCTCCTCCCCCGGGACCACCCAGAGGGTCACCACCCCCGGCACCGGACCCTCCTCCCCCGGGACCACCCAGAGGGTCACCACCCCTACCGCCGGTACTGGACCCTCCACCCCTGGGCCCACCAGGAGGGTCACTGTTCCCCACTCATCTGCATCCCCCGAGACCCCTGGCACCCCACACACCCTCGGCACCTCGCTGGCCCCCAGCTCCACCACGCCTGTCTCCGGCATGGCCACGGCAGCCACTCCCACCCGTGGGGTCTGTGAGCCTCGCTGCACGTGGACGGACTGGTTCGACGAGGATTACCCCACGCCCGACCCCGATGACGGGGACTTCGAGACCCTGGCGGTCATTCGCGCTGCCGGCCACCACGTCTGCACGCACCCCCAGGCCATCGAGTGCCGCTCGGAGCAGGCCCCGGACGCGGCCCTGGCAGCGCTGGGCCAGGTGGTGGTCTGCAACGCGAGCCTGGGGCTGGTGTGCCGCAACCGGGAGCAGCACGGGCCGCAGCACTTCTGCCACAACTACCGGGTGCGCCTGCTGTGCTGCGAGGTCGCCCCGGCCTGCACCAGCCCGGCACCCACTGTCCCCACGGCCACGCCCACCCTGCCCTGGGGGAGCCTGGCCACCTCCCGCACGCTGCCGCCCAGCCCGGCCACACCCTGCTTCTGCCAGGCCTTTGGGTCCCTCTTCTCTCCTGGTGAGTCAAACTCCCTGTGTCCCCGGGCCCCATCCTGGCCCACCAGGGTCCCCCCGTGCCCCTTGCTTGGGGCCTCCTGGGCCCGCCCGCTGCTCCCCCGCCCACCCGGCTGACGGCGTGGGCCTCGCAGGGGACATCGTCTACAACAGGACGGACGCGGCCGGCTGCCGCTTCTACGCCGTCTGCAACCAGCACTGCGAGCTGGACCGCTTCCCGGGTGCCTGCCCCACGGTCTCGCCCCCCACGCGGCAGCCCACCACCCCGGTCTCGGGCTGTGACCTGCTCATCCCTCCCCGGCAGGTGTGTCCATCCCCTCACCCCCGGCCGCGCTGGATGGGGCGGGATGGGGGCGGGGGCTGGACGGGGGCCCTGCGGGGTCTGGGCCCTTGCGGGGGCCGGGCTGCGGGGCCCACCGGCGAGCACCTCTGCTCTGGCAGGTGAACGAGACCTGGACCCTGGAGAACTGCACAGTGGCCAGGTGTGAGGGTCACAACCACATCACCCTGCTGGAGCCCGAGCCCGTGGACAGCATCATCTGCGCCAGCGGGCAGCTGCCCATCAAAATGTGGCCCGAGGACAAGCCGTGCGCCTACCACTACGAGTGCGAGTGTGAGTGCGGGCGGCGGCGGGGACAGGCACACCCCCCCCCCGGCCTGCGCACCGGCCCCCAGCTCCCGGGCCCCACTGTCTGCCCTGCTGTGGCTCAGCCGCCCTCTGGCTCCCCTGATGTGATGCTGCGAGGGGTTCAGGCCCTGGGTGATCTGAAGACCCTGTCCCGAGGGTGCCCCCGCACCCACTTCTGGGGGTGCTGGGTGATGCCGCCACTGTCCCCCACAGGCATCTGCAGAGGCTGGGGGGGCTCCAACTACTCCACCTTCGACGGCACCGCCTACTCCTACTCGGACAACTGCACCAGCATCCTCCTGCGGGAGATCTCCCCTCGCTACGGGAACCTCATGGTGCTCCTGGACAACCACTACTGCAAGGCCGCCACGCACGCCACCCACTGCCCGCGCGCCATCATCATCCACTTTGCGTCCCAGGAGGTCATCCTCACCACCACGGGCAGCAGGCAGGACCAGGGCCTGGTGAGTGGTGCGGCCCCTCCCACCCCCAGGGTGTGCCCGGCAGGTGCAGCCCAGCCCAAGGGCAGCCCGAAGGCGCTCTGCAGTGGGATGGGCACCGCGGATGCTGCGACAGGTCCAGCAGGGCGAGGTTCAAGGCAGGGGGCCCCTGGGGTGCCCCCAGCGGACGCCTGGCGCAGGCAGCTGGGCCCAGGCCCCAAGGGGCATCGGTGCTCCAGGGTGAGGGTGCCCAGGAGGGCCCCAAAGGCCAGCCTGTGTCCAGTGTCCCTGCTTACGGCTCCTCCGTGCCCTAGATCCTGTTCAACGGAGTGCGGGTGAGCCAGGACTTCAGCAAGGCCGGCGTGAAGGTGTCCCAGCGGGAGGCCACCGCCATGGCCCTTGACATCATGGCCGCCGGCGTGAGCATCAGCTTCAACGGGCACACGTTCCAGATCCAGCTGTCCTACAGCCGCTTCAGCTACAACACGGAGGGCCAGTGCGGTGAGTGGGGCGCGCGGCCCCTGCGCCCCCGGCCCCGCCCACCAGAGGCGACCGTGGGGCCGGGAGCCCGCAAGCCCTGGTGGGCCAGAGGGCAGCCGGCGGGGCCCAGGGTCAGCTCTGGCCCTCGCTCCCCAGGCACCTGCACCAACAACCAGGGGGACGACTGCCGCCAGCAGGACGGCACCATGGCCTCCAGCTGCCGGGACATGGCCGCCACCTGGCTGGTCCCTGACAGCAGCAGGGAGGGCTGCGAGGTGCGGCCCAGCCCGAGCCCCAGGAGCACGTTCCCGGGGCCCACCACCAGCCCGTGCCCCGCCCCACCTGTCTGTGAGCTGCTGCTGAGCCAGTGAGTCCACCCCACCCCCAACCCCCGCCACCCCGGCACGCCCACGGCCTCTGACCAGCCCTGCCTGCAGGCTCTTCGCCGAATGCCACCCCCTCGTCCCGCCCGGCCCCTTCTTCAACGCCTGCGTCAAAGAGAGCTGCGGGGTGGCGCGTCCCACCCACCCGTGCCAGAGCCTGGAGGTCTATGCGGCGCTCTGCCGGGCCCAGGGCGTCTGCAGCGACTGGCGCAACGCCACCCACGGGCTGTGTGGTGAGTGGGGGTGGCCGCCTGGCGCGGGCCCAGCTCCTCCAGCCCCTGACACCCCTCTCTGCGCCCCCAGACCTCACCTGCCCCCGGGGAAGGTGTACAAGCCCTGCGGGCCCGCCCAGCCCAGGACCTGCGACTCCAGGTGAGGCCCAGAGGGAGGGGGGCGGCCGGGGGCCTGGGAGGGACAGGGCCCCACCCCCACGTGACGCGTGGACTGCCCCCGCAGGGCCCCAGCCCCCGAGAGCACCGCGCAGGTGGAGGGCTGCTTCTGTCTGGACGGCCAGCTCCTCCTCGACACACACACGGGCCTGTGTGTGCCCCAGTGCCGTAAGCGCCCCGCCCTGCCGGCCCCGGGCACCAGCACAGAGCCCCCTCCGTGCCCCTCGAGGCCCGGGGCGGCCCCGCGGGGGGAGAGCCGGGGGGTCCGGGGACAAGCGCCGCTGCAGCCTGAGGCCTCCGCGCGGCCCCAGCACCCCGCGAGCTGCTGCTCTTTTCCTTCCAGCCTGCGTGGGACCCGACGGACTCCCCAGATTAGTGAGTGGGCCCGACCCCGCTACCCACCGCGCCCCTGGGCGGGAGGGGGTGCCTGTCCCTGCGGCCCCGGGGGGCGCCCTGCGTTGGCCGCAGCCTGGGGCGGGGCACGGGCAGGGACCCTGGGGACACGACCTGGTGTGTTGCAGCCCGGAGAGCGGTGGGTGAGCGACTGCCAGGACTGCGTGTGCGAGCCCCACTCCATGGCGGTGCAGTGCCAGCCCGTGCGCTGCGAGGCCCCGGGCCCACCCCCGAAATGTGCCCAGCCCGGCTTCGTGCCGGCGACCGGGCCCTTGGCCACCTGCTGCCCAGAGACGCTGTGTGGTGAGCCCTGGCCCCGGGCGGCAGCAGGGTGGGGACGGCGGGTGGGTGCCCGGCCGGGGGTCGGAGGGGCAGACTGTGGGGTGACAGTGAGGGCACTGGGGTGGACAGCGGCCGGCCCCCCGGGAAAATAATCTCTGGCTCCAACACGGGGCGACGACGCGCGGGGAGCACCGGGGAGGGCGGCGCCCTGACGGCCCCTCTCCCGCAGTCTGCAACACCTCCACCTGCCCCCAGAGCCCCCCGGAGTGCGGGCCCGGGGAGGAGCTGGTCCGCACGCGGGACGACGACCAGTGCTGCCCTGCCTTCACCTGCCGTGAGCCGGGGCTGGGGGCTCTCGGGGCTGGGGGCTCTCGGGGCTGGGCCGGGCTGGGGCGCGGGCGCTCAGCCCCCATCTCCCCGCAGGCCCCAAGCTGTGCGAGTACAACGGCTTCGTTTACGGGGTAAGGGCTGTGCGGCCTGGCCCGGGGCGGGCGGGGACGGTGGGGGCTGGCGCAGCCCTGTGTGCCCCAGGCCACTGCCCCCTCTGGCCACAAAAGCAGGGCCTGGGGACTCGGGTCTGGGTGGGGACAAGGGCGGCACGGATGCCCCTTTCTGCTACGAGCCTGGTGGGGCTGTGGCTCCGCCCGGCTGCCCCTGAGTGCCCCCCGCAGGTCGGCACCACCTTCCCCGCGGATGTCCCCTGCCACACCTGCACCTGCCTGGCCATGGGCACCCGGGCCCCGGTCGTGCAGTGCACGAAGGACGCCTGCGTCTCCACCTGCCGCCCGGTGAGCCCGGCCCCGAGGGCGGCCCGTGGCCGTGGCCAGGCGGGGGTGGGGGGGTCGCGGCTCAGCCCGCGCGGCCGCCTTGATTTCCGCCAGAGGACGCGGGCGGGGAGGGCGCGGGCGCCACAGGCAGCAGACCCAGAACGAGCAACGGGGCGGGGAGCTTCTGCCACAACAGCCCCGGGGAGGACTCGGGCTCCGAGCAGGGGCAGCTAGGGCAGGAGGCGGGCCTGGGTGCTGAGCTCGGGCGCAGCTGACCGCCCCGTGCCCCCAGGGCTTTGAGCACACCGCGGTGCCCGGAGAGTGCTGCGAGCAGTGCCTGCAGAAGGCCTGCATCACGCCCGACGGCCAGCCGGTCCAGGTAAGGGGGCCTGGCTCCCGGTCCCCTGCCCCGGAAACCCCCGGCGGGCGCGCCGGGCCTAGCGGATAACCCCTCCTCGCACCTCAGCCCGACCAGACCTGGGTCAACAGCCTCGTGGACAACTGCACCGTGTACCGCTGCGTGGCCGAGGGCGGCCTCTACGTGCTGACACCCGGGCCCGCGTCCTGCCCGGACGTGTCCGTCTGCAGGGTATGTGCTGGGCTCTGCCTGTACAGCTCCGCGGCTGACCGGGCCGCCCAGGAGGTCTCGCCCCCCACGCCCCGCCCACCGCCCGGCCGGCTCCCCAGCCCAGCATTCTCGCCCCGCAGGGCACCCTCAGGAAATCCGGCTGCTGCTACTCCTGTGAGCCCGAGGGTAAGTCCAGGCCCACCCCCTGCTCCAGCTCGTCTCCCCCAGCCGGCCTGCGGGAGCCGCCCACCCCCACCCTGAACAGCCACGCCTGTCCCCCCAGAGACCTGCCAGGCACAGGCCAGCATGACGGTCCTGAGGGTGGGGGACTGCACCAGCCAGACCGCGGTCAACATGCCCTTCTGCGAGGGCCCCTGCCCGGGCATGTCCAAGTGAGTGGCCCCGCCCACTCGCCCTCCGGGGTGTCGTCGCCTGAGCTGGGGGGGCCCCCCCTGGTGGCAGCAAGGAGGGAAGGGGGCCCAGCTCCACCTGCAGGAAGCAGGGCCAGGCAGGGGCTGGGCTTCCGGGAGGCAGCCAGAGGGGCGCGAGGACAGGCGAGTGCCCGGAGGAGGGGCCGGCTGTGGCCAGCAAGTCTGAGAAGCCAGCCTGGGGGAGAGGGGGATGACCGGGGGTGCTCGGGAGAGACGTGGCCCCGAGGGCCCCAGACCCCGGGGCGGCAGAGCCAGGCCCGGCACTCAGGCGGGGGCGCGGGCGCTGCCGCCGCAGGTACTCCCCGGAGGCCCGGGTCATGCAGCACCAGTGCACCTGCTGCCAAGAGACCAGGGTCCACGCGGCGGTGGCGACGCTGCACTGTCCCAACGGCACCACCGTCCAGCACAGCTACACCCACGTGGACGAGTGCAGCTGCACCCCGTCCTGCCTGCCCGCAGCCCCCGAGGACGGCACCCCCTTCCTCACACGCTAGCGGCCGCCGCTGCCCGGCACCAGTCCCAGCCCGCGCACCTCCCCAGCCGAGGCCAACCTCAGGGTCCACAGCGGCCCACCCTGCCAGGCTCAGTCTGAGGGGAGCCGGCCGGGACCCTGCCCTGAGCCCCTCCAGCTGCCTGCAGGGCCCCGTCAGGACCTCAATGCCTGCCTCCCCGGCCCCATGTCAGGGCCTCTCTGGAGCCTGGCTCCACACCACAGCCGGCAGGGTCCCTGCCAGCCCCCAGCCTGGGGCGGGGGCACCACCCACCAGCTCCCACAGCCAGTGGAGGCCTGTCCAGAGTGGCCAGTGCAGGCGGCGCGGGCAGGCCTGGGGGGAGGCCCGGGGCCGGCACCCGCGGTGCTTATGCGAGCTCGACCGCGTAGCAAATAAAACGCTGAGCAATGTGTTCACCCCGTCCTGCCTCCTCATGGCGCCGTCGGGAGCCCTGCGCCCAGCCACCACCTGCCGGGAGCGGGGCGGGCCGGGGAGCCAGCCAGACCGGGACAGACGCTGCCCTTGTTGGCTTCAAACGCGTGTCACCAGAGAGGAAGCCGAGCCAGGGGCACCTGCAGTTGCTCAGGCCCCAGCCTGCACAAAGCAGATGTACCAGCCGGGTTGAGGGCCCGACGCCGGACCCATATGGACAGGCAGGGTGAGCGAGCTGGGCCCGGCGCTGGTCGAGATGCCTGGGGTGCAAAGGTCTGCTCCGGTCGCTGTGGGTCCTCAGGCTGCTCTGCTCCTGGGGTGGCAGCACCTTGCCCCTGCGGAGGACCGGCCCCCGGGGGCTGGCCAGGGCCCCCAGCTCCTGAGGGGAGCTTGGGTGCTCAGTGAGGGGGGGCTGGGCTCCTGCAGTGGGCACTGCCACCTCCCTGGGTAAGGCAGCCCTTGTGGCACTGGGCAGAGGTGACTGGGTGGGCCGGTGAAGCTGCAGATGCCCTGATGGGCAGTGGTCAGGCTAGCCCCCGGGGGCACTTCTGTCTGACTTCCTGAGGAGCCGGGGCCAGGTTGCCCAAACCCAAGGAGAGGGCAGGTCCCCGAGGCCGTGCGCCTGGAAGCCCAGGTGCCACGGGATGCACCATGCGCCTGGGCCAGAGCACACGTGGGAGTCTTCCGGCCAGGGTCTCTCTGCTCCTCCGCGCTGTGCCGTCATCACCCGTCTCCCGGGTGGGGAAACTAAGGCACAAAGCCCCACGTGGGAGGCACAACCGGGCTCAGGCCGCTGCCCTGCAGCCCATGCTGATGCCCCGGGGCCCGCCAGGACCAGCACGCCGCTAGTGGTGGTGACGGGAGCATGCGGGGGATGGTCAAACTGGCAGGCAGGTGGGGCGCTGCCTGGGGAGGGGGCCCCATGCCGGGGGCGCAGACTGGGGAGGGAGCCCCACAAGGCAGACCCCCTCAGTGGCCTCAGCCTGACTTGCTGGTTTGGGGGTGCTGAGCTGCCCTGTCCTAGGCTGCCGCAGGCCTGCTGCTCGTGGAGGGCGCGCAGATCTGGGTCGTGCACATCACCTCTGCCGAGAGTTTTGGGTCGGCGCCTTTCTGGTTTCCGGCCCGAGGACGGGCGTCAGCGCAGGGGTGGGGGACCTGCCCAGCGGTGGGGGCGAAGCGGCGCCTCGGCTGGAGTCAACGACAGCAGGCGGGCGCGGAGTCCTGGATCGCGTGTATTAAAGTGCGTCACGTTCGCGAGGCTGCGCAGAGCCCCTCCCGGGCGTCCTGCCCGAGGCAGGCCCACACGGCCTCAGAGGCCCCACCACCCACACCCTCGGTGGCCAGCAAGGCCGGCCTATGCCTGCCCTCCCCTCGGATCCGCAGCCAAGTCCACCCAGGAGAGGCCGAGCTGGCCCAGGGTGGGCGACGCCGGCAGAGCACGCCCGCTCCCGGGCACCGGTGCGGCCCAGGCCCACAAGCACAGCGAGGGAGAGACAGATGATTCCAGCTGGAGTTCCAGGAACACCCCCAAGCGCACGGCTGCCGGGCTCGGGCTCGGGCTCGCGCCCTAGTCTGTCCAGTCAGGTGGAAGGGCCCCCGCCGGGGCAGGAGGGTGTGGCCTGGCCAGCCCTGCAGGGAAGGACGCCCACCCCAGCGCCGCCGGCCAGGCGCCCCACATGCATCCAGACGCGTGGTGGGCTGGGCGGGCAGAGGGCAGGGCGGGGCGCCTCCACAAGCCTCGCGGGCAGGGCTCCCGGGGCCGGCGGGCAGCCCAGGGGGCGGAGGCCACTGTGGGGGGCGGGCCTAGGAGTCCTCGCCCATCTGGAGCAGGGAGTTGATGGCCGCGTCCCTGTTCCCTCTCTGGGCCTCCAGCACCGAGCGGATCACCTCCCGGTCCATGTTGGGGAACATGTCCTGGATGGCCCTCAGGTCCTCCTCGCTGCAGCGGGGCTGGGCGCTCACGGCCGGTGGCACGGGCACAGGCACCACGCCAGGGCTGCAGACGGCGGGCATCCCTGCAGGCAGGGGTGGGGCGGGGGCAGGGTATTACTGGCGCTGGCTGTTCCTGAAACGCTGCACGCCCACCCAGCCAGCCACGGAGCCTTCGCGGTGCAGGGGGAGGGCAAAGCCGACCTGGGCACAGCACGGACCGCGCCCCCCAGGCACACCTCACGGTCCGCTCCCTAGCGCTCGGCCCAGATGGCACCCGCACGAGGGGCCGGCTCACAGGCAGAGCAGCGCGGGACGGGCGGAGCCCAGAGCGTGGGAGGGTGGCCGAGCTCTGCCGGGGTCCGAGAGCCCTTCCCGACTTCTGAACTTGGCACCATTGGCTGCTTCCAAGCCTCTGGCTGCGCCAGTCACTTTCTGCCATAGCCTGCCCTGCCCACGGTCGTGCCGTTTCCTTGCTGGACAAAGCTGTGTGCCCTCCCAGGAGGCTCCCAAGTGACAGGACCCCTGACCTGTGGGCCAACCACTTGGCACACACCCTCCTCCAGGCTGGCCTGACCCCGAAGCTGGGCTAGAGGTGGCCCCAACTCCACCCGCTGTGCCCCAGAGGCCACGCTCTTACTCCAAGCACGTCCTGCCCACGTCCTGCCCTCCAGCACCTGGGCTCTGCCCGGGCCAGGGTTCAGGGACGCTGTTGGCTCGTGGTCCCAACCCATACCTGCTATCCAGACAGAGATGAAGTGGGCAGGCTCAGACATGGCCACGGCAGAGCAGCCAACCCACCTGCAGAGCCCAGGGCCACTCTGCAGCGGGCCCCTAGCATGCTGACGACAAAGGCAGCAGGCAGGCAGACAGACCAGCACACGGCTTGGGTCACAGGCAGATCAGGACCCTGCCCCGCGGCCCTAAACCCCCCAGAGCTGGCGCTGCCGTGCACCCTGGACCCTGACCCCCATCTGGCCAAGGGGAAGCACGAATGCCCTTGATGCACCCACACCTCAACCTGAGCTCTGGCCCCCTGAGACTCCCCTGGACAGACACACCTGTGATGGGCACATAGCCCACGCCCTGCTGGTACACGGTGGGCATCAGAACCACGGGCTGCGGCGGCATCATCACAGTGGCCGGCAGGGCCTGAAACAGAGACGCGCCAGGGTCTCAGGGACAGCAGGGATCCCGCGGCCCGGCCCAGACCTGCGAGGTTGCAGGGCCTCCCGCCGGGACGGGCCTCACCGTGTACGACATGACCAGGTTGATCATGCCCTCCTTGTCATCCCCCTGGCGCCCGCTCAGGCTGTACCACTCGTCCTCCACCTTGCCCTGCTTCAGGGCCTCGGGGATGGTGATGTGGGTCCAGGCGATGCGGTCATCCATGGAGAAGGCGCGCTGTGGGGACACGGGGGCACTGGGACCACCACCCCTGGAGCCCCGCCCCAGCCCCCAGATGGCCCCTCCCCGGGGACAGGCTGCGCCTCAGCGGGCCGAGCCCGGCAGCGGGGAACCGGGAGGGGAGGGCGTGGGCCGCCGCCCCGGCTCACCTCGTCGAAGATCTCCAGGTAGAAGGAGTCGACGCCCGGGGGCAGCGTGCACTGCAGGACCTTGTTCCAGCGGGGGTTCCGGGCGCCGTTGTGGGCCGTGGGGGTCTCGTACACGGCGTAGCCCAGCCGCAGGCGGCAGTAGGGGTCCATGCGGGTCATGCCGTAGTTCTTAGCCAGCTTGGCCTAAGCAGAGCTGCTGTCAAGGGATGCGCGGGGGCTGCTGCTCGCCCCTGGGGGTGCTGTGTGAGCCCAACCCCCCAGAGGCCCCTGGGCCCGGGAAGAGGGCGCTGAACCAGGCTGCCCGGCAGCCCCTCCCTACACTCCCGGTGCTCCTGGGTCTCTCCCCTCAGCCATGTGCATCGTTGAGACGCGTCACGGAGGTCTGTCCACGGCTTTGCTCAGAGCCAGGCTGAGATCGAGCACCCAGCACGCTCCGGCCCTGCCCGGCCTCTCCTCCCGCCCGCCCGGTGCTGTCAGCCACAAGCCACAGTCAAAACCCGCAGGTTCTGGCTGCAGCGCCAGTCCTGATGGGCGACCTGGGCTCGCAAGCGTCTGCACAGGCAGCCCAAGGCTCGCGGGCCGGGCGCCCCGCCACGGGATGCTTTATGAAACGGCTGGAGAGGCTCCACAGGGCGCCCATCAGCACCCAGGAGCACCGCTGACCGAGTGGGGGGCTGGCCAGCATCCCGAAACCCCACTCCAGGGGGAGGCACACTGGGCCCCGTGTCGCAGGTCTGCGCGGGGCTTGGGCCTCACCACCCGCCTCTCCCGGCTCCGCGGGCACCAGTCCGGGGCCCGGCCTCTGGACAGCCAGACAGCTGTGTGGGTTCATGGGGCCTGCTGCCGGCCCCCCGTCCCGGGGTACAGGGCGCCCACCTGCACCACGGTGATGCTGAGGCGGCCCACGGTGCCCAGAGCCCCTCCATACTGCAGCTGCTGAGCGGTCTGCGCGTCCAGCTGGGCCTGCTGCTGCTGCTGCGTGGGCGTGATGCGGAGAAAGTCCTGCGGCAGCTCCCCGATGTACACCTGCGGAGACGGGCGGCGGGTACTCAGGCAGCCTCGGGGTTCCCGCCCTAGGAACTCGGCTAACAAGGTCCGTGGCCCTCAGGCCGGGTCCATGAACACCAGCGCAGGTCCGAGGAGCAAGAAGCAGCGGCTGGAGCCCCCTAGCCACTATCACCTGCCCCCTGGCCCTGCCTCCTTCAACCAGTCCTCGCTCCCAGGGGGTCACTTCCCCAGCCTGAGGGCTCGGGGCACAGGCTGTACCTGGGGCACAGCAGTGTGCTCGCCCCAACCCCCGGGGCCCAGAGCTCGGGTGGCAGGCCCGCCGGGGCCCCACCCTCGGGAGGGGATGAGGGCTGAGGCCAGGAGGGCAGGGAGGGATCCTCTTCCAACTAAAACAAAACCCTGATGGAGGCTGGGGTCGGAGAGGCGCTGGGCGAGGTGGCCAAAGACCCCGGTGACGGGCAGCCGTGCGCCCTGCAGATGCCCCTGCCCGGCGGCCAGGGGCCGTGGTGATGACTGCGGGGACACGGGGCCTGGAGGGAACGGGCGCTGTGACGAGACCCGCCCTGCAGAGACGAGGCCCAAAGGGGACGCGGCGCCTGCCCGGCAGCCCTGAGTTGGGGAGCGGGGGCGTGCAGGAGCCTGCCTGCAGATCAGGGTGCCTGGAACAGAGGTGGTGGCCACACCCGGGGTGGAGGCCAGGCGTCAAGGCTTGGGGAGGCTCCCGCTGGGCAGGAGAGCCGGACCTACCACCCCGCATGGCCAGCCCAGCCAGAAGGGGTGTGAGGGCAGGGCCGCCCGTCGGGAGGCGGCGCTGGGCACGCAGTGGCAGAGGATCAGCCCCGACCTGCTCTGAGCAGGGCCGACCACCAGGCCACAAGGTCGGGGAGACTGGGAGGGACCGTGGCAACGGGCCTGGCATGTTGGGAGGGAGGTGGGGAGGGCTGCCCTCCCAGCCCCTGAGGCCCCCCAGCCGGCTACGCTGCTGGCTTGCCCAGTGGCCGCCTGTGCCCCTCAGAGCGCCAGCTGCCCTGCCTCCAGGGGCCTTCTGGCGGCTCCGGGCGAGAACCTGGGCTGGGCCGGGGGCAGCCTCCTCCCCCCCAGCAGCAGAGCAGGCGACAGGCCAGGCTGACGGACCTGCCCCCGCTCCACAGGCGCCCGGTGCGGCCCAGCCAGGCGGCCGTCGGGCCAAGAGGAGGCCGCGGAGGCGTGGGCCACCGAGAGCACGCGACGAGGTTCCTGGCGTGGGCGTTCAGCTCCCAGAGAAAAGGCTCTGAGTGCCCAGGGAGAGACTTGACGCTGACCCGCAGCCCCGCTCCACTGCCAGCGCCAGACAGGAGCCGGCGGGCACCCCCACAGGCCCTTCTGGCACACCGGCCCCAGGGGCGCTGCAGCTCCACACCCGGACGCTGACGACAGGGCTTTGGGACCCCAACAAGCACCCTGACCTCCGCAGCCGTCCAGGGGACAGGTAGTGGGGGGCTCGAGGGAAGGGGTCACCAAGGGGATGGCGCTCAGGCCAGCAGGTGCCGGGCAGACGGGCTCCCTTCCCAGGTGCTGCCACCTCTCCATGCGCGCGGCGGTGCGGGCGCGAGGCGGGCAGCAGGCGGCCGTGCAGGGAAGAGCCGCCCCCGCGCATCAGGCCACTGGCCCCAGACCCGCCCAGTGCCCGGCTGCCATCCGGGGAGAAGGCCGCTGGGGGGCGGGGGCACAGCCGTGAGCTCCGTGATGCTGCCCAGCAACAAGCTCTGCGGCGTCCAGGGAAGCCGGTGTCCCCCCGCTCCTGAGCCCCGGCCCGCACATCCCCCAGGACGCCCACGCCAGGCAGGGCCAGCCCCGCGGGGAAGGCGGCACCGCCCCGCTGCCCACGACGTCCCCGCCGGCGCGCGGCCCTGGCCCGCCGCTGCCCGCGCACCGACGTGCGCACGGGGCCTCGCCACCGGCCGGCGGGCAGCGTCCGGTCCCATGGCCAGTCCCCCGGCGTCCGCCCAGAGCGGGAGGCCCGCCGGCCGGCCAAGGGGGTGGCAACCACCCTGTGATCAGGCTGGGGCGCCCCGGGGACAGCCCCACCCGGGCCCGCCGCGCTGCGCCGGGCAGAGGCGCCTGGGGCGGGCGGGGCCCGGCGGCCTGACCACGGCGTCCACGGCCCCCCGCGCTGCGTCTCCCCTCCGCGCCGCCAGCGGCCCAGCGAGGGCGTCTCCGGGGCGGCCCCCCGGGGCCCGGCCAGCAAGGCCGCCCACGCTCGGCACGGGCGCCCGGCAGGACGCGCCTGCGGGCGGCCTCGGCCCTGGGGGCGGCCCTCGCGGAGGCCGGGGACCGGCCGGGCCCCGTCCCCGGGCACCCGAGCGCCCCGCGGGGAGCGGCGCCGCGGCCTGGGGCCCGCCCCGTCTCCGGCCGTCTCCTCCCGCGGCCGCGGGGGCCGCCGGCCGCTCGGCGCGGGTCCAGGCCCGGGGCCCCCCGCCCGGGGCCGCGCCAGGCCCGGGCTTCCGCCGGCGCCGCGGAGCTGTCGGGGGGCGGGCGGCGGCCTCCGGCGGAGCCGTCTGGAGCGCAGGACCCGCCCCGCCGCGCCCCGCCGCGCCGCCCGAGGCCCGGGGCTCACCGGCCCGCGCTGCGTGCTGACGGTGGTCGCCATGGAGCCGCGGGACCCTCCCGCCGAGCCGCGACGCCAACGCTCGTCCCGCGAGGCGGACGCGGCCGGTCAGCTGACTGCCCGCCCGCCGGGCGCCGTCCACCGCGCAGGCGCGAGAACGCCCCGCCCCTTCCGGCGCCGCCGCCCGCCTCTCCGGCCCGCGCCTGCGCAGTCGCTCCTCGGAGCCGGCGGTCGCGCGAAATGGCTCCCGAGCGGGCCGTGTGCGCCTGCCCGCCGGCAGCCCCGCGCCCGGAGCCCCGCCCCCGGCGGACGCGCGCACGTACGGGCGGGGCGGGAGGAGGCCGCGCGGGGCCGGGGCGCGGGGGCGGCGCGCGGCGGGGGCGGGGCTGGCCGGGAGTCTCCCGCGGCCGGTTCACGAGGCCTCGACGGGACGACGCCCCGGGCCTCTGCCCCCGCTGGCCCGCGCGCCGCCCACCCCCGGCTGCCCCTGCCCGCGGGCCTGCCGCCCCCGCCCTGGCGCCGCTTCCCGGCCGCGCCCCGGCCCCAGCCCAGTGACCCCCGCGGCCAGGCCGTCCGGGCCGCCGAGCCGCCTGCAGCCTCCGGGACCGCCCCCGCCGCTCGCCACCCGCCTGCGCCCGGCCCCTGCGGGGCGCCCGGCGGGCGAGGGCCGGAGGCGGTTGGTGCCCGAGCTGCCCCCGCGGGCCACCGCGACTCTCGGGCGGGCGGCAGCAGCAGGCTGTCCGCGGACGCAGGGTCCTGCGGGTGCGGCCCGGGCGGGCGCGGGCCGATGGAGGGGCGGGTCAGCCGCCGGGCCGAGACGGGCGCCCCGAGACGGGCGCCCCGAGAGGCAGCGCCCGGGGCGGTGGCCACGCACCGCGCACAGGAGGGCCCGTGGCTAGAGCCCGGCAGAGGACAGGCCCGGCGGGGGCCGGCCGCCGTCCGTGGGCGCCGCCCGCGCACACCGAGCCACGGCCGGGGGTGCCGCCCGCAGGCCGCCGGGGCGCGCCGTGGCCACGCGGGCGGCCGCCTCCCCGGGAGGCCTCAGGGATGGTCACGCCGGTCGCCTGGACCGCGCTGGCCAGTGACGGTCACTGCTGGTCCCAGCGGCGCCGGCCCCGGGGCCCTTCAGGGTGGGGAGACTGGGCGCAGGCCCCGTGCCCGCAGGGCCGCAGCGCCTCTCCCCGAGGTCAGTGGCCTTTGCGGCGTTCCCGGAGCTGGCGCCCCGCGGGGGGGAGGGGGGAGCTGGCGCCCCGCGGGGGGGAGGGGGGAGCTGGCGCCCCGCGCGGGGGGGGGTGAGGGGGGGCTGGCGCCCCGCGCGGGGGGGGGCGGGGGGCCGCCGGCGTCTGTCTCCGAGCCCGCCGCCCGCTCAGAGCGCCTCCTGGTTGCCCCCCCCCCGTGAGTCTGAGCGGACCTTTTTTCTTTTTCCCAATCTTGCAGCTGATTGGACCATTCAGCACCAATCAGCTCATAGCTCACACCTGATTGGTTCATTCCACGACCCAGGAAGTACCCTGTTACCTAAAAGGGCTCTGAGGAGCAGCTGCCGCTCGGCCCGGGGTGGCGCCGCGCGGGGTGGGGGGAGCGCCCGCCGGGCGCCCGTGTCCCCCTCTCTGTTCGCGGCCAGCTCCCCCCCCCCCCGCTCCTCCCCAGCTCCTTGCTCGCAGCTCGGCCGCCTGATTGGCTTTTATTGGGTGCGGGTGGGAGCCTCGACCAGCCCATCTTCAAAATAACGGATTCAAACCCAGATTCTGGGGCCTCCCCGGGGCGCAGCGGCTGAGCGCTGGGTGGCGAAGCTGCCCGCGGCCTCTGCGGCGCCGGTTCGATCCCCGGCTGCTCCCCGGCCACCACCGGAGGAGGGTCCCGCATGGCGCGCAGACCTCTCCTGCCGCCCGCTGCTCCCCTCAGCAGTGTCCTTCGGCCCTTCTGCCTGCTCTGCTCCCCGCTCTGGCTCTGGCGGGTCCTCTCACCCTCCCGCGCTTCTGCCTGTGCCCAGGGCTTGTGTAGACAAAACAAGCAAACAAACGAGTAAATAAAGATAAATCTTAAAAAGAAAAAAACAAAACCCAAACTCCGGCCGTGGCCTCGCCCGTCCCGGGAGCGCGGGCGCGAGCACAGCAGCACCGGGGCGGCCCGCCCCACGCCCCACGCCCCACGCCCGGCCCGGCCCGGCCCGGCGCCCCGAACGCCGCGTGTCTCCCCTTCCCCCCCAGCCCCTACGCGGCTGCCCGCCGGGCGCCCACCAGGCCGCCGCCCCCCCCCGGGCCGCGGGGCGGGACCCAGCGCCCACCCGCCGCCCCGCACCCCGAGGGCTGCCGCGACCGGCCCGCGGGCCCCGGTGGCGGCCGCTCCCCGCGCCCGCGGAGGCCGACCCCGCGCGGGCTGCAGCTCCGGCGGCCGCCGAGGCGCGGCTCGGAGAGGACCGGAGGGCGCCCGCCTCGGGCGGGCTCCAGACTCGGCGCGCGGGCCGTGTCGGCGCCCCCGACTGCCCCTCAGAGGACGCCACTGACTGGCCAGGAGGCGTCTCCCCGGCGGCTCCAGCTCTTGAATTTAGAGGCGCGCGCAGCCGTCAGGGGACCCGCCGGGGCGCGGGGGCCGCCCGTGTGTCCGCGGTGGCAGCGGCTGCGCGGCCCTTTTAAGTTAACAGGGTACGGCCTGCTCGTGGAATGGACCAATCAGGTGTGACCGATGAGCTGATTGGTGCTAAGTGGTCCAATCAGACTTTTGCTACCAGGACCCAGCCTCACTCAAGTCAGGGGTGGCAGGAAAGCCTCAGAGCCCTTTCTCGCGAAGCGCACTTCCTGGGTTGTGCAATGGACCAATCAGGTGCTATGGGCTGATGGGTAAATATCCAATCAGCCACAGGATTGAAAAATGCTCCAATCAGGCTTGTGGGCGGGGCACCCCGAGGGAGCATATAAGGCAGGGCAGGCGGCGGCTGAGAGCGGAGACCCGGCCCTTGAAGAGGGCGCAGCGGTGACCTCCGAGGAGAAGCCGCTCCCGAGGACGCGGCGCTGCCCCGGCCGCTGCTGAGAGGGCCCGGGCCGGCCCGGCGTCTCAGAGCTGCTGCTGCTGCTGCTGCTGGCGGCGCCTGGCCACCCGCGGGAGCCGGGACGCGGGCGCCTGGGCTGGCGGCGGCCGCCGCGCCGGTCGGGCCCCGGGCGAGTGGTGCGGCCGCTGCGGAGGCCGCTGGCTGAGGCGGCCGCCGTGTGTGGCCCCACGAGCCTCCCGCCTCCTCGCGCGCGGGCTGAGCCCCAGGCCGCTCCCCGAGCCGAGGCCCGGCCTGACCCGTCCCTGGGCGGGCTGCGGGCGGCGCGGCGCGGCGCGGGTCGGGCCGGGTCGTGCCCCCCCAGGCCGGGTGCGGGCCGCGGCGCCCGCTGAGCCGCCCCCGGGGTCCCTTGGCCCGCCTCAGCCCGCCCGCCCGCGCGCGCGCCGGCGCCTTGAGCTGGTGGCCGGGCGGCCCGCGGGGACAGGGCGCCGGGCAGGCGCGCCTCGGGCCGCCCCTCGTCAGCCGGGGGCGGCGGCCGGAGCCCCCTCCCGGGCGAGCCCCCGGCAGCGCGGGGCGCCCGTTTCCCTGCGAGCCGGCCCTGGGGCGCCCCGCACCCCCCGCCGAGGCAGAAGCCCCGCCCTGGCGCGTCCTCGGGGCTGCGGGCGTCGGGGCGGCCGTGCCGGCCTCCCCCGCGCCGTCCTCCGCCGCGGGGCGCGGGCGTCTCCCCGGCCGCCTTGCGCGGGGCCTCGGCCTCTCCGCTGCTGGCTGCTGGCGTGGGCGGCGCGGCCGGGGGCGTCGCGTCTCCAGGCGGGGGCCGCGTCCCTCCAGCGCAGGCCCCGCCGCGGGGGCCCCTCTGCGCCCGGACCCGCCTGTCCCCGCGCGAGGGCTGGACGCCGTCCGTGCGTCCGCGGCGCGTGGCTCGCTGAGCGGAGCGCGCGGGTGCCCGGGCGACACGGGCGAGGCCCCCGCTCGTCGGGGTGACCTAGTCGCGCGGGCTGCCTGCCCCGCGTGGGAGCTGCGGCCACCCCGGCGCGCGGCCACCCGCTTGTTTGTTTTGCTTTCCTGGCCCCCCCCGGGGTCGAATCCCCACGGTCACCCGCGCGCCGCTGTCCCGCGGCCCCTGCAGGGGGTGGGCGCGGTCGACCCGCTCTTAATGGGCCCTGCCTGGGGGCGGGGGAGAAAGGGGTGCGCCTTCCCCCGCCTCTGCTCTCCGGGGCCCTCGCGCTCGGGGCTCGTGGGCCTGCGGTGGGCTTCGTGGGCAGCGGCGAGAGGAGCCCGTCTGGTCACTGCGCACGAGGCGCTGGCACGGCCCTGCGGGCATGAGCACGCGGCCACCCAAGGCCCGGGCACTGCCCCTGCCCAGGACGGTGGGCACCGAGGTCAGGGCTGTTCCCGGTGCCCAAGGCCAGTGCGCCTGGACGGCCCACGCGCAAGGAGCCGCCGTCGTCCAGGGCCCACAGAAAGCTGGGAGGGTAAAGGAGCGGGGCTCCGCCAGCTGCCGGCCGGGGCGAGAGTGTGGGGGCCCCGCGGCCAGAGCGCACCCCGCACCCAGGCGGGGCCCAAGCACAGTTGTTTGTGTGGCAGAGCCAGCGCCTGGGGACCCACCCTGGAGAGGGCGCGGGCAGAGGTGCCCGGGGACCCTCCCCTTAGGGACCTCCCTGTTCCAACACAGCCGCTGGCAACACGGACAAACACCGTCAGCAGCTGTCTGGGGGGCGGGGTGTCATCAGGCAAAGGCCGGCAGCCCTGCTGGGAGGCCCCCAGGCCAGGCGGGTAGCGGGTCCTCTGGGCACTTCCAGCTTAAAGAGTCAGGGGGACACTCCCCGGTTCTCGGGGAGGCTGGATTCCGGGGACGGGGAGGGAGCCGGCACGCAGGAGACTGGCCCCACACTCCCCGCTGCAGGTGTCCCGGTCCTGCTCCCGCGGCGCTGTCCACGGGGTGGGTGGTCATGGAGGCCAGCGCCGCGGGAGCCCACCGAGGCGAGGTCCCAGAGGCCCGGCCTCCGCAGGAGCGGCAGGGCGGCTGGGGCCGGGGCACTGGGGGTGGCGAGGGGCCGGCGGGTGGCCGCACGTGTGTCACCACGAGGGTAAGCACAGCTGGAC